CAAAATGCTTTCTAACGATGTCGAAATTCGAGTAGGCATATCAGATTGTAATACCAACCTTATGTGATTGATACACATATTTTGTATCAATAACTAATTAACTATAATTTCCTGGTATTTAAAATTGTTATTATGCAAATCCAATCTCACTTGATTTATTTCCTGATGCGTTGTTTTGATTCTACAAAAGTTGGACAACTTGATGTCATCCGTCAATAGAGTAGGTATTTTAATATTTTTTGTAAATATTTTATTATATTACAAAAGATCCAGGTTTTTTTAACTTTTCCACCCAATTTTAATGTATTTTTTCAAAAGCACGTTTGTAGAAAAACATAATAAATATTTAAAACATACCTTGGCGTGTCACAACTCCTGAATCAAATAAGTGATTCTATTTTAAAATATATTCAATTTATCTACTACAACAAACTATAAAACATTAAATAATGTATTTTTCACATTTTATCATAGATTCGAATAATAGTAATTTTTAAAAAATTGATAATCTTTGTACTCACTTTTACCCGTCAGTTCTGTGTCCAATGTTAAAATTCAAAATTCCTGCGAAATATTGAAGTTTAAACGCCAAGTCCTCGTATTAAGTGTTGGTAAAAAATTACCTACAGAGCCCGCCCTTTGCACGACACTAATCTTGAAAACAATGCAAGCGGCGAAGTGGTGAATGCACGTATAGTTCCAGTCAAAATTTCAGTACTGTGGTGAGTAGTTATTTTCTTACCTATATATAGGTATTTAATTGTAATTTATATAAGGCTATATGTGATTTGTTGATAAGTACCATCGACTAATAAAAAATATCAGTAAAATACTTAATTCCGAATTATAATCTCAAATTTGTATCCCATTCAATTTAAATTATGCTTGCGCAGAACTTGTTTATTTAATGTCATTATAAACTCATATAAATTTGGTGTGGGTCCCATATCTAATAATTGAGATATCGGTATACCCAAAATCCACCAGCCGCCACTGATGTGTGGTATTATTTGATTTTAAGATATTTAATCTATAATATGCTCAAAGTTGCAATAAATCTTATATTTTACAATAAATTATGTATTTAATTAGTACCCTGTTATACTCGTCACTTCCCTTGCATTCAAATTTAGAAAACTCAGATATTTCAGAAACTGTTTGAGAGTTTGAGACTTATTGGAAAAATTGTTAAACAAAGAACGTGTATTAAATTTTATCCTTGAAAACTATAAGATATAAATGAATAAAGTGCATATAAAAGATAGATAAAATACAAAATGTCATGTAAAATGACATCAATGACCTCTGTTAAAGGCCTGTTATATATTTATATACATAGATATATGTATATACATATATGTATGTTTATATACCAATTGATATCTTAAAGAGATGATAAAGGGAAAAACCAATAGGTCTTTTTTTCTGATGAAGTAGTACATAATACTTACATATTTTAAAATTGATTTAAAATACTTTTAAACATAAAATAATATAATGTTTTATTATTGGTTTGTTTAAATTACTTTATAACAAATTATTAAAATGAATTGCATTTCCTTTTGTTACAATGGATATTGGTTATATAGCCAATATAAATTAACCTGAAAGTTTATTTAAATTGTGTTTAATTTAACTACTTTGTCTACCTATCGGTAATTTATAACTCTTTGGTTTTGGTTTCAATTCGGTTAATGTAACACATTATAGTTAATACCAAAATTAGTTAAATTAAACTAACTTGTCATTTTTAAAATAACTAACCTAAAAAATATATCCTACTTTTTAACTTATAAGTAATTTTGCTAACTAGTTAAATGTTTGTTTTATTTATAGTTAATTTAAACTCTTGAAATAACCCTAATTTATAATATTTTACTTAGATTTTGGTTAATTTACTTGGAATGCTAGTTTTTTAACCAGTTGTTCTACTTGGAATGTTATCATAGGTCTATGTCTTTTCTTCTGATTTTAAACAGAGTAAAATAGGAAATAATAAAAAATTAAGTGCTAAAAAACTATTCAATGTAAATCTCAGTTTTTAAATCTTTTACTTATTGTTGTTCCCATGGAATATTAAATTCAACGCGATTTTCTCTACTAAATTTAAGTATGAGGTAAGTAAAAGGTAGGAAGGATCTAGAGTGCTTCGTGGAGAGGTTATAAGGTTAAATTAAATTAAAGTAACGTAGTACAGTCAGGGTCATAGGAGATATGATTCATTTTATTATTGCTAAAACAACTCACCAAAACACGCCTTAAATAATAAAGATTGTAAGTGCAATAAATTTAAAATTAGAAGTACTTAAATTAGTTTTTATTTTTGGTGGGAAATAATACCGTACTTTTTTAAAGATAAATCAACCTAACAAGCAAAGCATAGCTGTAATTTAATCTTAATTATAAAATAAACAGTATTGTTCTAGATTTTTATTTTATATCAAACGTGGATATCCCTGAGTTTAGATTAAAAGAGGTTAGATAATAATAAGGTACAATTAAGTTAGTCAAACAAAAGTGTGAACGGAAGTATGCTTAACAATAATAAATTAAAGAAATCTAGCACCATGAAGTCGTCTTAACCGTTAATATATCACCTACTAATAAGGGTATTATTATTAACTTAAATTAATCTGGTTAACAAAATTAAATACATCTGACCTATATGCCATAAATAATATTTAATATTTTGATATTTTTAATTTTACTTTAAAATTTTTCTAAATTATATTATAATTTATTAATAATTATAAACAAGTGTCAAAAATTAATGAAAACAAACTTTTTAAGAGAGAAAGTACAAGTTCATATCGGGTTCATCGAGAAAGTGAGTTTGTTGGATCTATAGGTAAACCAAAAATGTTTTTCGGTCACTTCACCGACAACTGCATACATTTACCGTACATTTTTTTATTTAAACTGGCCAGAAATACCATAATAAATCAACATTATTATTTTTATTCATTTCTATATAAGTGAAAGTACTTTCTTTATAAGCATAAAAACTAAATAAATAAAAATGAATTAAAGGGACCATCCAAATTAAAAATATTGCTTTAGCACAAACAGGTTTTTTATACATGCATACATTAAGAACAAAACATGTTTTTTAATTTATTTTTGTGCTTAGTTAGGCACTTTGGTACCGTTAAAAATATTTACGTCTGATACTGAAGACCTATTACTCTCTGCTAAATAAAAATCGTTACTTCAGACTTTGTCAACACAAAAACAATAACAAATTGATAAATCAAACGCAACCATAATGGAGCTATTGGCAATGTATTTGTATTTATTAAAGAGTTACATTTGGGTGAATATATTGAGATGTCCCCCAAGTGAAAATGAATATTTTTGGTTGTTTCACTGTTGGTCTAGAATGGGGTTTTTGGGAAGCCACCAGGTCTAGTAATAACATAACATAAGTGGTTCTGCACTAATGCAAGAATTTTTTTTTGAATATTACAGCTTCAAGGAAGATAGCTTCACGGAGGTTAGGATTTTGTATGTTTTTTTAAAAACATTCCTTTATAAATTTGAAATAAGTTATTGTATCTTTTGACACCTTAATATTTTAAAAAAATACAACTGTACCCATAGGTATACATCCATAAAATATATATAAAATATATATAAAACAAAACTACTTACTGAGATATTAACTTCACGGTGGATAGGTTTTTAAATAGCAAATTAATGAACTTAAACTTTTAAATTATAAAACAGCAACACTCTTATCTGCATATAAATTCTAACTGACCTTCAGGAATCACATGCATCTATAATGTCGTAAACAGAGGTTTTTGCTTATTTAAAATGAATAAAGCAAGCAAAAACAGATTCACGGAGGATATAATCAATTTTTGTAACACCTACATAAATGGTTATAAAAATTATTTCTTTTAATTTTTAATAATATTTTATATTTTGATTCGATTGCTTTGGATGTGTTTAATTTACTTAGTGAACTGATATTTTTAGTATGCTGTTACTACCTCAGATATTTGAAAACATATAGGTTAACCTAGAAAGAGTAACATTCACGGAGGATAGGTTTTAGACTTTTAAAACAATGTAAAAAATAATTAATTGCGGTTAAAAATCTGGAACCTGAGCTGTAATATCTACTTAATTATGAAAGATCAAAACACAATAAAAGTGTAAGTCAACACCATCGGGGGACATTTCGTGAGATTCACCCATTTATATTGAATTAATATTTAACATGAGTTTTTTAAAATACCGACATCTTAAAACTGAATTTTGTAAATTTGTCGTACCCTTTTTTAAATGTATCCCAATGTGCAAATTCTTTCCACCATTTTCCTACTGTGCGAATTTGTCCTGTATTTTTAAATTTACTCCACTGTGCAAAATTTTCCTACCATTTTTTTAAATTATGCCTATGTGCGAATATTTCCAACTATTTTTTAATTTTTTGAAGTACATTTTTTAAATTCTCTCTCTCCTGATACGTATATTGCATAATTTCGTTAAGGTGACGTTACTTTCGTTGCCACTTGATTTAAAAAAAATTATAAATAATGACATTAAAATATTTTCAAAATAACTTAAGAAAGGAAAAGTCATCCAATATTAATTCAAATTTTTGTGTATTTTCTCCTAATAAATCTATTTTAAATATTATTTAAATTTTTAATACATAATATTAAATACTTTCGAAAAAGTGAAAAATACTGAAAATCTTAGTATACTAATAAAATGAAAACCTCACATAAATTAAGATGGTATTAAATTTTAAATTTGGAATGGAATTTTTTAGTTTTATTTAGTGTAATTCAGAGAATTTTATGGTTGTTATTTTTTTACCCATAAAAGGAGTACCATTTAAGCTTGTAAACAAACAAATTATATTTTTTGCGCGTAAACTCAATATTGAACAACAAAATGTTGCTATGTTAAAGATATGCAACTCAGAAAGCACGTTTGGTATTGTTTGTGTAATTATGAATTCTGATCAAGACGCAAAATAAAATCCCCTTTATAAAATTTATTTATTAATGAACACTGATTTTGTACTTATAAAATACTTTAGTATCTAATTAAATTTTTAATATTCAAATTATATAACTATATGGAAACTTGTGTTGCACTTTATAATGTATTTCTTTAATTTTGTAACTTTATTGTGAATAACTAGTTCTATCTATCATCTACATGCATTTATTTATGTCCAATAACAAATTTTATTATCTTAGGTCATATTTTTGTTTGGTAACCTTATTAAAATTAAGTTCCCATACAGCAAAAGATGTCCATTGGACGTCAAATGGACTTACATTGGACGTTTGGATGTACGATGGTCGTCCATTTGACGTCCAATGGACATCTTGTGCTGTATGGGTTGTATTATCATTTACAAAATCCAGAAAGAGACTTGGGGCTTTTAGTCCCTAAAATGCGTATGTCAAATGGGCCTGCCCTGCCTTTTATAGCAGTCATCGTCGATATCGTCCAAATCAGCCGCGTCGGTATAACCGGAATCGTCGTATCTCGACCTGTCAGGCGTTCTGGTGCATCTACTTCCGGCTGTGGGACTCCTGGTGGCCAACCTCAACACCGGATCGTCATACCTCCTCGACACCAGAGTGAAATCATGATGCGCATCCACCAATTTCTGCAGCCTCCCCACCAATTCGTAGTCGGGCATCGGAAGAACTACGCCTAGAATCTTGGCTATGGAGTGTTTGAAGCTTTGAAGCTGAGCCTCCCTTCTTTGCACTTCAGACAGAGAATCCTTCACCCTAGCCAACTCGTCTCTGAGCAGCTGCACTGAGTGCTCACTGATGTTTCGCTCCTGCTCTATGGTTTCGCCTGTGACTCTCACTTGGTCTTTTAGAAGGGTCACTTTTCTGTTGTATCTAGTTCTCAAGGTTTCCGATTCTATGAGGCGTTTTTGAAGCTCCTCGATCTTTCTTCCACGCTCCAAAGCCGTAATCTAGGGAAAATATTTGTATGACATTCTATAAAAAACCTTGACATCCTACCTTGTAATCTGCTGCTTCAGCAAGCTGACTATTCAAGTCCCTTACGTTGGATTTAGCTTCGGCGAGTTGCAGCTGCAATCTATCAACCTGTTTGACAAGCTTTTTCACTCGCAAATTAGCTTCGTCTCTTTCGTTTTGAAGAAGGCATTTGGTTTTGGTGTTGTCTTCCTGTAAAGATAATTTTCTTCTGAGTAAGTCAAGGTGAAGGTCTTTCCTCTGGACTTGTTCGCGAAGATTTCGCACTCTTCTTTGAAGCTGATATACGAGGGCAGTCTAGAAATAAGATATACTTAATAGGTTTTGGTGGGAAAGATTTAAGGTACATTTGCTGTGTGTTTAAATGTTATGGCTGTTATTTTGTTTATACTCTACGATACATTTTGGTATTTAGGTGGGTTTTCAAAGATATATAAGTTTGTCAAAGCACACTTGCACAAAAACCAAAATTCAACTGCTAAATCTAGTAGGCCTTACATCTCGCCTTCGTTTACATTCTTCCTAACTATATATGTAAGTAGGAGATAAAAAATGTTTATTCATCAATTTTTCAAAAGTGATCATCTATCGAAAATCAGTTTAGGTTTTTGTAGCAAAGTGTTGATTTGAAATGTTATGGCTGTTATTTTGTTTGTACTCTACAATACTCTAGATACATTTTGGTATTTAGGTGGATTTTCAAAGATGTATAAGTTTGTCAAAGCACACTTGCACAAAAACCAAAACACAACTGCTAAATCTAGTAGGCCTTACATCTCGCCTTCGTTTACATTCTTCCTAACTATATAAGTAGGAGATAAAAAATGTTTAATCATCAATTTTTCAAAAGTGATCAACTATCGAAAATCAGTCTAGGTTTTTGTAGCACAGTGTTGATTTGAAATGTTATGGCTGTTATTTTGTTTGTACTCTACAATACTCTAGATACATTTTGGTATTTAGGTGGGTTTTCAAAGAGATATAAGTTTGTCAAACCACACTTGCACAAAAACCAAAACACAACTGCTAAATCTAGAAGGCCTTACATCTCGCCTTCATTTACATTCTTCCTGACTATATAAGTAGGAGATAAAAAATGTTTAATCATCAATTTTTCAAAAGTGATCATCTATCAAAAATCAATTTTGGTTTTTGTAGCACAGTGTTGATTTAAAATTGTGCTTTTGGGGTTCTTACGTCACGTAACGGTATGTCGTGAAAGGATCTTTCACGCCGTATGAGTCTCGGCAACGTTCCGTATCCACAGCAAAGCAGCTACTCGCACAGAAAAACAAAAACACATCAGCAATGCGACGGCATTACAACAAAAAGAAAAAACGACATAAAAGACGGACGGTTTTGTGCTGTCGAACAAGGGTATTTTTTGTTATAGTTGGATAAAGGATTGAAACTTTTAAAATAAAAAATGTTAATTTAAATTTACAGTCTAAAATTTTTCCACGAACTCCTTAGGTATTTATCTAAATATCACTTACCTTATCCACCAGTTTTTCGCTTTCTAATCTCGCGAGTTGCTCCGCTCTAAGCAGCAACGACTCCGTATGCAAATCGACGCCGATGTCGTGGGAAATTTCATCCATATTCAGCGCTCTCGCCAGACGCTCTAAGAAATTCATGAACTGCAACACACGCGAATTTTTTCCTTGTCAATCAGTCAAGGAGGCTGATAAACTTTTCACCGCCGTCTCGATACTCAACCGATACAAAATTTAAAGGATAATAAACATGAATACTTTATCAAGAGTTATTTATTACTTGATTCTAGACAAGATTCAATAGCGGTTTATATAGGAAGAAAGTTTATTAACATCGGTGAGATGTATAGTCTTGTATCTCTCAAAAGGAAGAACACCTCTTGGAAATTAAAAATCTCTATAAAATAAAGGTAAGGTTGATACTAACTGTGCTCTTGTCTCGCTTCAAGCCATCCCTGGACAACTCGCAAGCGTTTATCTCGCTGTCGGCCTTATGGAGCCGGCTCTCCAGCAAATTCTTCTCGTCTTCCAGAGAACGGATTCTGGAGTTGGCTTGCTCGTACAACGAAACCTGTCGCGACAGCTGAGACGACTCGTGGCTCAGCTTCTCCCTGAGACTCTCGACTTGCTATTCAAAACAAAAAATATCAGTGTTTTCTCGTGGATTATGATTTTTTTGCTCACTGCGTGTTTGTCCTTGCTGTCATTGGTTATTTCGTGGATTCTATCCTTAATGGCAGTCTCCAGGGATTCTACGAATCTGGAAGGGGTGCTGAGGAGAAGAGCTATGGATTCCAGGCTGTGCCTGTGTTCCGATTGCAGCCGCTGAAGTTTTTCTTGGTTGATTTTTAATTCCTCTGTTACAAATAATAATAATATAATTATGTTTTCTTGTGAATTGGTGCATTTGCGTTCGATAATGATAAGGAACTGAACCTTGCTTTGATTAAGATTAATCAGCAAGTGTTGTTTGTAACATTTGTAGAAAACTAAACGGAATGTAAAATAAATATCGCCCTAACACCACCTATACCATAATAGGCACTTACCTCTTATTTGGCATATCATGGATTCCTGCTGAGCAATATTTCCACTGGCTGAACCCAACGTTCTATTTGAAACTGCCAGTTTCTCTCTTAGCTCGTTTAGTTCTCTTTCCATAACTCTATAAATAAATATTATTTGTGTAACGTGAGATGAAATACCTCAAAACTGTTATTTTGTACCTGTGCTGCATTTCAATGGAATCCTTTTCTTGTCGCAAGCGATCTATCTCCAATAGTTGCGCCGCTGACTGCCTTTGTAGACAATCTTTGTCTTGAATTGCTCTATCAAGAGTTTCTCGACAACTTCTAAGCTCCATTTCGGTTGTGCCAAGAGTGTCGTTTATGTTATGCGTCCTGTTACGAAGTCTTGATGTTTCCTGTGCACACAAAGGAAATACTTGTTGTGAATGATTATTGCAAATTTGAATGGTTAGGTTTATTATAGTTGTGGAACATTGTAAGATATACTCGGGAAATTTCCTAAAGTTACACAGTTAAAATTTGTGTTAAAAAAATGTAAAAATTTACATAAACTTCCTAGTGTTTATAACATAAATGAGGAGTGATTTTTTAAAAGGCCTTATTTCCATTTTTACTTGAATGTAATTTTTTGAAAAAATCCCAAAGGTATGGTTAAAAGGCATATATTAACAGCGAAATATGACAGCAGGTCTGAAGTATTATTAAATATTCATCAGAATTTTTTTTTAAATAATCTATATTGCCCTAACCTATACAGGTTATAGTCATTTTTGTGAAAAATTGTTGCAAATGGAAATACGACCTTTTGAAAAATCACTCCTCAGTTGTGCTACTTCGCGTGTAGTGGTGATTTGATAAAATAAATGTACTCTCATACTAATACTGGCCATCTTATAGATATGCACGAAGTAGCTTTCCAAATAAAATAACATAATTTAAGATTACATTTTAAAAAATGACCTTTAACGTAGGAAAACCCGTGTAAAGATCTATAAATAAATGTTCATAATATGTTCAATGATTTTCATTGAAATGTTAATATAAATCTTTTAAGGGTCACAAAAGTGTCATTTTCTTTGCAAACTATCCACTATATAAAATATAGTGTTTTTCATGTATTTAACAATATAAAAGAAAGTAAGTAAACTTTTTATATTAATAATCGTAATAAGTAGTTTAGTAATTAATTTTATATCAAAACCCAGATATGTCGTAACATTTAGTGCAAAAAATATAAACATGTGACAATAAAGTATCAACATAATAACATAGTCTCATGACATAAACATTTCTGGTTTATAACGAATTTTTAAAGTTCTTTGCAATTTAAAATAATAATATTTTTACATCGGTGACAAAATTCCAAAATCGACTTAAATATTTTGGTTTGCTTAAGGATTATCAGCGAAAACTTCAAGTTAAACCAAAACAAAATTTAAAAAAATATATTTTCCATAATATTATTGAACTCAATTTACGATGTCTATATAAACACAAGCTAATTATAAATTCTTCATTATCCGCAAGTTTGTGAGTCAGTGCACTTCTTATAGTTATTATATCTTCTTATTGTTCAACGTACAAGTGAATAGAGTAACGTTCTTTTTTAGAAAAAATGGCTCTTTGTTGGGGTATAATTCTATACCCAACAATAGGAATACTCATATCTTTTATAATATTCCTAAAACTCTACTACAATTATTGTTTTTCGTACTGGAAAAAACGTGGTATATACTCTCCAACACCATCAATACCTTTTGGGAATGCAAGCGGTCTCTACACAGGGAAAGAATGTTTGGGTGAACTTTTTATGAACATTTATCTCAACATCAAATCTAAAGGTGTTAAACATGGTGGCTTCTACTTCTGGGGGCGTAATGTTTATATGCCCGTTGATAATGAAATCATAAAGAAGATGGTAATAAGGGATTTTGAGAATTTTCCGAACCATGGGTTGTATATTAATGAAGAGTTGGAGCCTATGTCGGGGCATATATTCAACATGGAGGATGGTAAGTGGAGGAATTTACGCGCCAAATTACCGTCAGCATTTACCACCAGTAAGATGAAGAAAATGTTTGGGGAGATGGTAAAATTGCAGAGTAACTTGACAGAGCATCTGGATATATATGAAACTCAAAGTAAGCCGGTTAATATTAAAGAGGTTTTGGTATTGTTTTCGACAGACATTATATTGAAAAATGCCTTTGGGTTGGAGACAAACTGTCTTCAAAATAAGGATTTGGAGTTCATAAAGCACGGAAGAACTTTCTTTGATGATCAGTGGAGCACCTTTAATAATACTTTGGTTATCACAACACCGCGCAAATATTTAAAGTGGATGAACTTCAAAGTGTTCAAAAAGGAAGGTACTGACTTTTTCACTAAAGTTTTTAAGGACATTAAGGACTTCAGAGAGAAAAATGGTTCTTCCAGAAACGATTTAACAGACCTTTTGATTCGCCTGACCAAATCAAACCCAGAAGACGATATTTTTAAAGATTTCAATGGAAAAGGAAGGATCGAAAATCTGACTTTCAACGAGTTCGCTGCACAAGCCTACGTATTTTTCGAAGCTGGTTTCGAAACATCCTCAACCACAATGACTTTTGCGTTATACGCTTTAGCAACGAATCCAAAGTGCCAAGAAGCTCTAAGGGATGAAATTAATGGGGTTATGAAGAAATATGATGGTAAATGTACCTATGAAGCCATGTTGGAAATGGACTATTTGGACCATGTCGTTGATGGTAAGAAGTTTAGGAAGGTTGTGAGAGTTCAATTATTTTATTTTGTTTTATTTAGAAACTCTTCGCTTATACCCAGCCTTCCCTATAATGCCAAGAATCTGCAATAAACCATATCAAGTCCCCGGTACTGATTTAGTCTTGGAGGATGGTACATTATGCATGGTAGCGATGATGGGTGTCCATAGAGACCCAGATTTATGGCCTGAACCGGAAATATTCGACCCAAACCGATTCACAAAAGAAAACAAAGCTACTAGACCTTCCTGCGCCTATATGCCTTTTGGAGATGGACCTAGAGTATGCATCGGTAAGTCTATAATCTTAAAAAAGGTAAATTATACCTCACAATTGTTTTTTGTAGGTAAACGTTTCGGTTTACTTCAAACAAAAGCTGGACTGATCAGCATAATCAAAAACTACAACGTAACCTTAAGCAACAGAACTATAAACCCCTTAAAGTTTGACACTCGAGGAGTCATATTGAAAACAAAAGGAGATGTTTGGTTAAACCTACATAGAATTTAAAAAAGTTTACCCACCTGTACTAACTCGGCAGCTTTGTGTACCAGAGACTCGGGAGATACGTGGGAAGTGTCTACGAATTCGGTACCTAAGGCCACAGATAACCTTCTAACGAGATCCTGAAGCTGCAACCTGGCGGCTTCTTTCTTCTGCTCCTGGGAGTTCAAGTCCAGTTCCAGGTTTCTTACTTTGACCTCGAACTCCTTGGCTTTTTCTTCTTGATACCTAAAATGAGTCAGTATGGTCTAAATATAAATAAAACTGTTTTTGGAACTTCTTAATCCATGTTAAAACTGCCTGTCTTATATACACAGCTATGAGCAAGACAGTGGTGAGATGTATCCTTAAGGTTACCTGGCATCTCTGTGAGCGTTTTGTATGACAATCTCGTTCCTGCCTTGGGCACCTATGAGATCCCTTTCCCTTTGCTCCAGTTCGTGTATCCTCTTCTTCAGCGAAGATATGATGGAGTTTTGTCTGGCGGATTGTTCTCGCAATTGGTCGGCCTCCATCTGAAGATCCAGGCATCTTTGATCCCGCGATCTTATTTGGCTCCTCATCTCTTCCAAGTCTGCTGTGAGGCGGTCCCTTTTGTACTGCAATGCTGCCAATTCGCTTCTAAGCGCTGTTGTCACATCAACGTCCGATTCGTCCATCTAAGTGTTATTATTAAGTTAATTTAAGTGAATACATTTTTTATGATTTAAATATGTTTTATTAACTAGTTTTGTAGTTTTAGCTTACCAAATATGAAAACTAAAGGTAGGAAATTAGGCATTATCTGTTCGTGTCTATAGTTTATAAATGAATGATATCAAAGTTTTGTGATCAATTCCTGTAAATAGCAGCAGGAAAACATCCTGCGCACGATATCTCCTTTTATAATCAGCCTAAATAAACAGTTTAATTAATGCATTAAAATGGTGTTTTTTGCATAAAAACATTTAAAAAAATAATAGTAAATTTCAAAAATGGCGAATGCGCCGGTATTAAGAACGTGATTAAATATTTTTTTACATACCTACCCATTGTTTTAATACAAACTATAACCGTGAAACTCAAACGTCGTATATCTACTATTATAGAAATTATATTAGCTAAAATAAGATAAAGTTGACAATAAAACAATCAATATATGCTGGGACGGTTATGTCCTGGTACGTTTTATAATTTTATACGAAATTTCTGATGAAATATATTTTTTTATGTGGGTTAAAGTCATCAATTTGATTAATATCGTTAAGAAATCAAAACATGGGGTGAAATCAACTTATATTTGTTTATTGTTAAAATGTAGTTATTTATTTGTAAGAATCATATTTATAAACATTATTATAAAAATTAGAAAATAATCATATAATCATATTTATAAACATTATTATAAAAATTAGAAAATAATTTCTAAAAAATAAGAAATATGCATAAAATTGAAAAAAACAAACATTTGTTTGCAATTAATTCACAATATTTGTAGAAATTATTTTTTTGAATTCTTAGTAAGAAGTCCTTATCTTATAAATTTAGTTTTGTTTACTTTTTCACAAGATGTTTTTAATTCCCATTTTCAGTTTGTTCGAGATTTTTTTAAACTTTTCAAGATTTGTTTATGGTCTCACTATTTCACAATATTAAAAGGAATTCTTCTTTAAGCTCCTTTTACATTTTTTTATTTCACTTACGATACTTATTTCACAAGATTTGTAGGAATTATTTTTTGGTCACCTTATTTTATAAATTTAGTTTTGTTTAACACAAGATGTTTTTAATTTTCATTTTCAGTTTGTTTGAGATTTTTATATTTCACAAGGAGTTTTTAAAGATTTTTTTTTATAATTTTCAAGATTTTTTAATGATTTCACAGCTTTTTACTACCACACAAGATTTGTAGGGATTTATTTTTTGGCTCCTCAGTAAGGAGTCCTTATTTAGTTTTGTTTGCTTTTTCACGAGATGGTTTGAATTTATATTTTCAATTGTTTGAGATTTTTTTATTTCACAAGAAATTTTTTACGATTTCACAAGGTTACTTTTTTACTACCTATTTCACAAGATTTGTAGGAATTATTTTTTGGGCTCCTTAATGAGGAGTCCTAAATTAGAAGTCCTTATCTTATAAATTTAGTTATGTTTACCTTTTCACAAGATGCTTTTAATTTTCATTTTCAGTTTGTTTGAGATTTTTTTATTTCACCAGAATTTTTTTACGATTTCACAAGATTTCCTTAGATTTTACCCTTAATTTTTGGACCTTTTCAATATTTTTGTATGATTTTACAACTTTTTTACTACCTATTTCACAAGATTTGTAGGAATTATTTTATGTATTTCCTAATGACTCCTAAATTAGAAGTTCTGATCTTATAAATTTAGTTTTGTTTACCTTTCCACAAGATGTTTTTAATTCACATTTTCACAAGAATTTTTTTACGATTTCACAAGATTTTCTTAGATTTTACAAATATTTTTTGAAACTTTTAAAATTTTTATTATGAATTTTCAACTTTTTTACTACCTACTTCACAAGATTTGTGGTAAATTAGTCCTTTAGTCCTTAGCTTATAAATTTAGTTTTGTTTACCTTTTCACAAGATGTTTTTAACTTTCAGTTTCAGTTTGTTTGGGATTTTTGTCAATATTTTTTTATGGTTTTATAACTTTTTTACTACCTATTTCACAAGAATTGTAGGAATTATTTTTTGGAATCCTTAATGAGGAGTCCTAAATTACAAGTTAATATCTTATAAATTTAGTTTCGTTTACTTTTATACAGGGTGAGTTTTAAATTGACGCGTTCCTTTTAACAGCGTGTAGAAATCAGATAAACAAATAAATATTTTAAGTAACTTTTTTATCAAAACTCAAAAATAAGAGAGTTATAGGCCTTCCAAGTTTTATTAAATTTTGAGCCGGTCCTGGCTATTGTTAACAAAAAACATAACCATAAAAATAAAAATTACAAAATAAACAATGCAAAATGTCATCTATGTCAACAAACATAACCATTTAAATCAAAATGACATTTAGCAATGAAAAATGTCAGTTTTTATGTGCCTCAATTATTGTTAAAAATGGTTCATAATTATAGCAATAATGAATTAGTGGAAATGATACTAATTTATGGAGAGTGTCGTCAAAATGCAAATGCTGCAACTTAAGTATTTTTTATTGCACCTATTTCACAAGATTTGTAGGAAATATTTTTTGGACTCCTTAATAAGAAGTCCTAATCTATAAGTCCTTATCTTATAGATTTATTTATTTTTTCCTTTTTAATTCACATTTTCAGTTGTTTGAGATTTTTTTATTTTACAAGGATTTTTTTGGTAAAACCTACTTGAAAATTCACCAATGAAATAAAACTTCCAGACAAGGACATCTAAATCAGTATTTCTAAAAATACCCCACCCACAACATAACCGATCCGACAGTGGGTGTGCAGTTTACAACAAAGACCTTGACATAAACCATCACCTTGTTTACTTCGATATCTTTGCACAATATCTCGTAGACCTGCCAGTCTTCTTCAGTGTTCCCGGAGGCGGCGGATTCCGACGGAGCTGCCTCTGCCATCTTCACACCGGATCACATCACCAATCGCACTTCAATTGTTTCGCTGCCGCTTAATTTGCTGCGGATACTTTCCGCTTTTGTGTGTATCGAGGGGTCGTACGGGCATACCCTCGAGTCACGCCATCTTTGAACGTCTAATCGATGTAACTATGGAGTTTCATGGAGTTTCATTCAGTGTCGACGTCATTATGGCTTTATAGGGGTTCCACAGGTGGTCGAGGTTCTCAAGAATGTTTTCATGGATTTGGAAATGTCGATACTTTTGTTGCGGATTTATAGGTGTTATGGGAACGATATAACAAGTTTTATATTTGGATATTGATATTGTTTCTTGATGAAATCAAGAAATAATAATGATAAATAAATTCACCCAGTAATTACGAAAACAAAATGAATTGAAAATAAAAAGCTCCTTATCCAAACCAATTTTATTACAAAAAAAGATAAAAAAAATTAAAACAAATTTTTCAGTTTTCTAGTACTTTAGCCCGGCGCATTCGCCATTTTTGATAAACATTAAAAAAATTGTTTTTATTCTATTTTGACGATTCTATGACAATTACAACTCGTCACCTGAGTATTGGTTTGTGCTATCTCCATTTTTTAACATTTTGAGGTTTATGCATTTTCGGAAAGTTGAAGTTGGTTTGTTCCATCTCCATAATAGTATTTTGATATAATTGTGTCAGTTTTTAGTTTAGGTTAGTCTAAATCCGAGTTTAGTATAAAAGGTTTAAAATTGGTTTACTCTATCTCCAAAATTTCGCTTACAGGCTTTCTTTTGCTCTATGTGTTTGTAAAAATCAGAATACAACTGCAGTTTTTTACACTTTTCAAAGCTTTCAAACATACGAATTTTTTAATTAAAAAAAATAATCCTGGTATAGATTCTTTGGGAAATTTTATGCCCTACAAGAATCCGCGACGTAAAAAATTTTATCTCAAACGGTTCAAAAGTTATGGTATTTTTAATGAAAAAAGATTTTTTTACGTGTTATTTCAATGGAAAACTTAGAATGCTCACCGACACCTTTTAAAATTGAGCAAAAAATTTTGCCTTGCAGGGAAATTTTTTGCTCGGTATGTAGGTTAATTTTAACCCATAAATCCGATAGGTTAGTTTTTTTGGCTCACCCTAATGTATATGACATTGTATTTTGACAATAATTATAATTATTATTATTAAAGTAAATCATTATTAAATAAAGTGTTTTTTAATTTAGTTTTGTTTCATGTCCTAAAACTTTGTTATATGTCCAATATTTTGTTTCTAAAATCCAAAAATAGCACTTTTTGTTTTATCTCCAAAACGTTTTTTCCAATATTGAGGCATAAATCCAAATTTTAGATAAGAGTTGCTCAATAGAACTAATTAAAGGCTAAACAAGAATATTGTTATTAATGTTTAATTAAGTTTCATTAAAAAACAAATAAGATATTTAATGTAAAAGTTTCAAACCCGTTTATCTCGATTATAACATATTGGACAAATTGAACAAATCAATACTCAGGTGACAGTTACTGTCAACTAACTTTAAGCTTACTTTAGCTCGTGATATGGAGTTTTGGTCACTATAGTCACAGCTTGCCAATGTGTATTTGGGTAATTTTCAAAATTTTTGTACATTTAAAGAAGAAAAAGTAAAAACAAAAACATAATCTACAAACCTGTTTTTTCCAAATTTTGTTTATTTAGGTGTATTATTTAACACCTAAAAGTGGGCACTTGGATTTTTTTAAATATGCCATTAAATTTACTAACATATTAAAAAAACTTATATAAAAATGCCTAATCATTTTGAAAATATATGTTTTGCTTGTTAATAATCCTTTTAAGGTTATATTTACACTAGGATTTGTTTAAAAAAAGAACATAAATTTATTATTTATAAAAAATGTTAAGTACAAAACTAAGTAAAAGCAAAAACTATGTTCTATTTCTCAACTTTCTTACATATGTACCTACATAAATATTTTTAATATATTTTCTGTACACAACTCACCTTTTTTAATGGACATTTTTTAAATATATTTATGTTCGATAACACTGTGCAACCTTTTGCAAAAACATAATCTACAAACCTGTTTTTTCCAAATTTTGTTTATTTAGGTGTATTATTGAACACCTAAAAGTGGGCACTTGGATTTTTTTAAATATGCCATTAAATTTACTAACATATTAAAAAAACTTATATAAAAATGCTTAATCATTTTGAAAATATATTTTTTGCTTGTTAGTAATCCTTTTAAGGTTATATTTACACTAGGATTTGTTTAAAAAAAGAACATAAATTTATTATTTATAAAAAATGATAAGTACAAAACTAAGTAAAAGCAAAAACTATGTTCTATTTCTCAACTTTCTTACATATTTACATATTTACTTAAATATTTTCTGTATACAATTCACCTTTTTTAATGGACATTTTTTAAATATATTTATGTTCGATAACACTGTGCAACATTTTCGGAAAAAAATTAAGATGAGAGATGAGATGGGTTCTGAAAGTATTTTCGGTTTCTAAAATCAAAATCATGAATTATAGCGTTTACAGAATGTTTAGATTGATTCTGGTTTTTTTTAATATCAATTTAAATTTTAGTAATTCTGGATCCCGAAATATCGTAAAATAATAAATAATTAGTAAATTTATAAAGATAATTATTGGTTTTGTATATTGTTTTATAAAGTAATAACAATCAAATAAAGAAAAAAAAATTAAATAAAAAAATAATGAGAACAATAAAATACAATTTTTTTAAAAAATTGAACCTTTTCCTGGATTTAATATGTTGTAGTGCAATTTCTTAGTTCTTTCTCTTCTACCATAATAATAATTATGGTAATTATTATTATTATTATTATATTAATTAATAAAATTTGTTATGTCTTTGTTGATGTTGATTCATTATATTTGTTAAAAAGAATATGTTTTTAATAATTAATATAATAATAATAATAAAAATTCCCATAATTATTATTTTTATATTAATTATTAAAAACATATTCTTTTTAAAAAATAGAATGAATCAACATAAAAGACATAACAAATTTTATTTATAATTTTATACCAAAATTTCCATTGCCATATACCAGCAATAATCTGCCAACATCGAATCAAACCTCTTTCCTCTATAACGATTTTCCATTTCCATTATTGTTTGATGCTTACACCCATTTTTAATGTTTGTTTTATTTTTTATTATTTCTTTTTAATTTATTGTTATGACAACAACTTCCTACCAGTTAATTGGTTTAAATTAATAAATAACGGTTTTTCGCGTTCCAAAATTAATAAAACCTAAAATCGACATTAAAAAAAACCTGAATCAATCTAAACATTCTGAAAACGCAAAAAGGCATTGGAAAGAAAACCACTTTCAGAACCCCATCATTTTTTTAGCTGTAATGGGAGTAAAAAAATAAGAAATTGGTACTTTACAAACTTGCTTTTAAAGCCAGGTAAAAGTTTTAAACCTTATACTTAGTATAAGTAAGTTCTGTAGAATCAAAAGCGGACATGTCCTGTGCCGTGCTATGGCTTTTGATTTTTTAGGACCTAAAAGTGTCATGAAATTTAAACAAACCAGAAAAACCACTATTTTTTAGAATCATCACGAAATATAACCTTGGAGAAAGTGAGTATGGTAAACATGAAAACAACATTGCTAAATTTTTGAGGTTTTTCTATAAGTAGTAAAATATTTTCAACTTAAAATGTAAAAATGTCAGGGCCATTTCATAAATTGATTTTTAAACAATATATAGTCATCATTTATAAGCATTTAATCTGTTAAGTGGCAATTATTAAATATGATTGAAGTTACAGTGATATTGATATGTGTACTTTTAATAACAATAATAACTTTTTTCGGTGTAAAAAGAGAACATTATAGAAAAAAATACCAGGTATTTTATAGTCTACCCACTCCATCACCAACTTTGCCATTAATTGGAAATTGTTTTTTATTTTATAAATTCGATTACAGTAAGTAAGTACAAATTTAAAATATTTTAACTAATTTTCTTATTATTCAGATTTATTGAAAGTGTTTAATTTGATAAGTGAACAAGTTGGTAATCCCTGTGCAATTAACTTGCCAAGTAGGCATTACTTTACTTCTTGCCCGGAGGAGTTAAAAATCATCCTAAACCATCCAGATGCTTTGGAGAAAAGCACTCTTTACGATGTTTTTAAAATTGTTTTTGGAAAAGCATTGCTTTTGGAATCAGGTAAGAAAAATACTCGCATGAAAGTGGAAATTTCTTAAACAGATCACCCATAAACCAAATCTTAAATGTAGGTTCCTTTTTCCATTTTTATTTTATTATTATAATCAATTGTCTAGGGAATTTTAAACTCAAGCTTAAACTAAATTTTAAACCTAAGCTTAAACTAAAACTTACACTAAACTACTATAGTAGTATACTGAAAGAATTGGATGCAAATCCAAACGGGTGACTTGTTTGAGAAATGATTACTCATAAAATGTACAACTTTGAAAAATTTTAGTTCCACAATGGAAAAAAAATCGGAAACTGCTATCCAAAGGGTTCAATCAAAAAGTTCTTGACGGTTTTGTGGATACATTTTACAAGATCAGTTGCAACTTAAATACCAAATTACAAAATAATAACTCAGATCTTGTTTATACATTTCAAAAAAACTCATGGGATAATTTTAATGGTAATATAAATAACCAATGCACGTTTTTTTATAATTATATTTATTTATTTATTTATTTCAGAAAATCTTTTTGAAAATACAACGAACAGTTTAGATGAAGAGACTAACGAATTTATTGATATGATAACAAAGTAAGTTTTTAAATTATTAGGCACTAAAAAGGGTAAAATAGAGGACCCAATAGCATATTTAAGTAACCGATTTTATACACTGAACAAAAATTCTTGTATCAAATAAATTATTTGATTCAAAACAATATTTGTCTCATATATGTATAACGAAGAGAATATATTTTTTTAAATAGTAAAGTATTTTATTAATTTACTTTGATTTACTTCAAGCATCTTTTCTTAATGTAATAAAATTAAATTTCTTTAAATAAAACTTTGATTGTTTAAAAGCAAGAATATATAATCTTTGAAATAAGGCAGCAATATTTACTTAGGTAATTCAAGAAAATGAATTTTCTTTAACCAAATAATTGGTGGTTTCAAAGCAAGAATATGTTCTTTTAAAAATAAATTAGTGGTATTCTTAAATAAAAGAGATACACACTTAATTCAAAAAAAATATTTTTTTAAAAATGTGATATTGAAATAAGGCAATAATTTTCTTAAATCAAGATGTTTTCTATTACCAAATATTTTTTTTAATTAATGGATCTAAGATTTTAAATTTTATTTTATTGATTACAAAATATTATTTATTTTAAAACAATGCAAGAAGTATCGTTAAAAATAAAATGTATCTATCTTAATTTTAAGCTACTTTTAGCAATGTTTCAAAAAATCTATCATTTTGTATTGAAAATCAATAAAATTTTAATTAAGGATACGTCTATTAACTAAAAATTATTTATTTTAATAATAAAAACATCTTTATATTTAGGAATATTACTGCAAAAGAAATAAAATTTAAAATAGGTCTAAACACTTGAATATCCTGTAATTTTGTTGTCTATAGATTATAATCTTAAACAAAACTTTATATTTAAATACTTACAGATTATTCAAAATTGAGCCAAACTTACTGAAGAGCCAAAGTATACGTTGTATCGTTTCTAGGTGGTGCAGTAAGCAAAAAAATTATGTTAGAAAATAAAAAAACAAACGTTGAACAAACACATTTATTTTGTTTTAATAAAAAATCTAAAATATATACATTATTATAAATTAACGTAGGGAACTTAATCATTATTATCGACATATTTTTCATTTTAAATAATTTGTAATATTTTAGGCATAGAAGAAAAAAAATATCAATTTTAAAAAATAATTTAGGGCTATTGCAAATGAACTCCACCCTATATAAATCAAAATTAATGTTATACTCCAAAGTGTGTAACAAAATTACTTCTAAAACACAATCTTTTTAAATGTTATAAAATAAATTAAGTTTATTAACTTAACACAGATATTTTGGTTATCACTGCAAAGCCTATTTATTTATTAATAATCCTTAATGCATATTAGTAAATATTTAAACAATAAACCTACCTACCTACACGTAAATGCGACGCTAAATTTAAAAAAGGGTGGTATATCAATAACAACTTAAGTTAATTACTTACCTTCAATTTTTTTTATAATTTCCTTCGATGCTGACCACTTTTCTAATAATTTTTCAATGACATACGCCCTGTCCCTCACAATGAGAAAGAAACACTGCATGATTAGGCATAAAATTTCAGAGGAACGTGTCGGCATCTCCACTCCTACACGATTTCAAAAATATGTTTTCTTGGCAAAAGAAAATACTGTTTATTAAAACAAATAAAAAAATAAGAGTATCTTATTCTTGATATAAAAAATATTAACAATTGTACCAAGAAACCAACTAAGATTTCCTTTAAGATTATTTAATATTTGGATTGAAACATGCAACTTTTTAAAACAAGAAATGTTTCTTAATATTAGAATATTTCCAAAACTACAAAATTCTTTTTTAAAGAAGTTAAATATTTTTAGTTGAAATAAATATTCTTATTTTAAAGCAAGTTGACTTGAATTAAAAAAATAATTTCAAGATGATAGGTGTTCTAAATATAAGAAAATTTTTTTTTCAGTGTAGCATAAAATTTATACCACATTTTTTGTAAGGCCTTATATTTTTTGTTTTGTAATGTTTTTTATTTTTTTTTTATATATAATTTTTTTTAAATTTTAGTGGACAACATACGATGACACATAGGGTTGGAAACTTAATAAAAATGAACGATTTTCTTTATAAATTCACAAAAGATGGAAAATATCTTGAAGGAATAATGACACGAGCCAAGGACTTTTTACAAACTGTAATGAAATTCATAAGTTGTATGCTTATCCTAATTTTTTAATATTTACCATTTTTAATACACGTTTTAGATTATCGTTAAATACAAAAAAAAATCGGAAAGAGATGGTAAATAATTATAATAAATCTTTTATTTTATTTTAACGTGACAAAAATTATTTTAGACCAAACAAATATTGAAGAAAATACTGATTTGATGAAATTACCTTTGTTAAAGTTGATATTAGCTAAAACAGATGATGAATACATTAAAAAGGAGTTGATTTTATTTGCAGCTGCTGTAAGTAAAAAATTTTGAAACATAAAATAATTAACTAAATTTTTTTAGGCTACAGATACGACCGCGTATTCCATGGCATATACATGCATTTTACTAGCAATGCATCCTGCCATACAGGTAACTAAATAAGCAATGACGAACAGAAAATTTATATTTATTTTTGAAGGAAAAAGTATATAAGGAAGTAATAAATATTGTGGGCAAGGACGAGGAGATAACCTATAACATTTTGCCTTCATTAAAATACACAGAAATGGCCATCAATGAAGCGCTTAGGTTACTTCCTGTAGTACCTTGGATAGCTAGAAAATCAACCGCTGATATAGATTTAGGCAAATATTTATTCAAGATAAATTCAATTTTTTTAATATAAACGTTTTAGGCACAAAAGTCATCCCTCCTAATACCGATATACACTGTTTTATCTTTGGGACGCATAGAAACGAGAAATTCTACCCCGACCCAAAAAAATATGATCCCGACAGATTTTTGCCAGAAGAGGTCGCCAAAAGGCCTCAATTCGCGTTTCTTCCTTTCTCTAGAGGGCCAAGGAACTGCCTAGGTAGGCAACATCGCACTGTCGATTTAGTATATTTTTGATACGTTATTATATTTAAGGCTGGAAATATGGCATGATGGCAATGAAAACGACCATAGCGAATATTGTTAGAAACTTTCATATAAGTACGAAGTATAAGTCCATTGATGATATGGAGTTCGTGTCCAGCATTGTTATGAGCCCAACGCACCCTTTAGATTGTCAATTTAAAATAAGAAAATAAAATAAAAACTTTTTTTTTATCCATTCAATACTGTATTTTACAACTTTTCGATTTTAAGGTGACCAACTTTCTAAAATGAAAAACCAGGACAAAACCTCGCCCTTCCAAAAATAAACAAAATTTATTTTATTTAATGTTTATTATTTGAAAAAAAAAGATGTACATACTTACTAATAACGTCAATAATAAAAAAAATGTATAAAGTTTATACTATAAACCAGGACAAAATCTGCAAAACCAGGACAAAATCAGTACACAACTGAAACCATTTTGGGGCGCCCCACAGTTTTTCAATTCTCGAAATTTTCGGCAAAATATCAATGAGTAGTCGGATTCTCCTAAAAATCCGTATATAGAGATTTTTTGGGTCGCTGATAACGAATCTGGAATCAGAATTCCAAAATTCAAAATGGTATATCCAAAATGGCGGACATATTTGTCAACAAATTGACGGAACAAATTGAAAATCACCATACAGGGGTTTTTGTGGTCGCTGATAATGAATCTGGAATCAGAATTCCAAAATTCAAAATGGTAGACCTCAAATGGCGGACATTTTTTTTAAATATTGTCGAAATTAATTAAAAATCCGTAAGAGGTTCTTTTTAAAATGTAATAAAACATCGTTTAATAAAATAGCTTAATTTAGTTTATTATAATTACATTTATATAATATTTTTTAATACCTACATATATATTAAACAATCTCCGTCACTGGATTCGCTCGTTGTATTATTAGCATAGCATGGGAAACCATCAGAAGATAGCAACAGTTTTATTGCTTCGCGGGACAAAGATTTGCTCTTTTTCGGAGCAATTTTTCTGAAGCTAGAAATATACGGATCGAAAGATGCCATAAGCCAATGGAAAACATCTTTCATCATTTTCTCCCAAGAAACTTTCAAAATTTAAATATAACAGATTTTATACTAAATATTTTAAATTTGTATTATTTATTTTACTTAATATTTTAGCAACGATTTCTTAATTCGATAAAAAAAATTTCAACACAAATAACCACAATTCAAATTTGACATTACCACACTACAATGCACATGCGGAGTTGTTTTAACGCACCTACAAGAGGTGGGTTAAATATGTAAAATCGGTGTTAAATATATTAGTAGTCACGAACGATTTACGCAAGTGAAAGTCTAGACACCGCTGTTGTAATAAACGTTTTGAGTTAAATCCGAGTTAATCGAGTAAACGTCATGAACGCAACCCAGAAATAAAAAAAAATCTTATATTTTGTAAAGCAAAAACAGAGATACGCGCTCGACATAGGCTTAAAATCGCGAGGTTTTTTACCACAACCGAGCCTGAGCGCCCAAGAACATGGAGTTTTAAAGAGCCGGGGGCAAGTTGGGGCAGCTAATTTATTGATGGCTTGATAGACAAAACTCTAAGCTATTCAACAGATCTTGAACTGATGCCTTACAATTCATTACATTTTTTGTAGCTCCATTGTTCTAAAAGCTCGATTCAAAGTTTGCGATTTTAACAGACCGATCTTGTCGGTTACAATAACCCGTTGTACAAGCAAAATCTACAAAAAACCAAATACATATCTGAATTTTAGATACCTTGAAGATCACCCTTCATCAAACCGCATAACAATCGGACACACCAAACACAAGTTATTCACTTTTAAACAATAAACAATTTTCCGCAGCGATCGCGTGTAAAGTACCTTCAACTGAAAGCGTCAAGTTTTAACTGATGTACAAGACAAAATATACGTATTTTATATAATTTTTTTTCAATACAGGATGGAGATAGGTATTAACTACCCATCTTACTCAAAATTTACCTGAAAAAAAATGTAAATTTTTGAGGTTTTGCCGATATTTTCCAGAATTCAAACACTGCGCGCCCGCCATATTTTTTTGTTTTCTATCTGCCATCTTGGGCGGCCGCCATATTGGATTTAGTATGACGTCACTAACCTTACCGTTGTCTACTCGTCAAACGCCTTCATTTGATACCCATGTCAAAAAATATGAAATCCGCCATTTTGGGCGGCCGCCATATTGGATTTAGTATGACGTCAGTCATCTTATCGTTTTCTACTCGTCAATAAATTACAAAATTTTATTTATTAAACGATACATAAAACAGACTAGGAGGTAAAAAACTGTACACGATCGATGTTTAGTATATTATGTATCAATTTGATAAACGCCATTTTATACACGAATTTAATTTAGGCACGAGCGAGTGCTTAAATTAATGAGTGTATAGAAAAGTTTATAAACGAGGTGCATACTATACTTTTTCTACGACAAATACTTATTATCTTAAAATGATTTAAATCAAAAATTTGTATAGAGCGCCATCTATGAAACAATGGGCGAATCTGTGTGTCACCGTCAAATGTCAAATTTTTACATTTTATAAACACAATTTTAAAGGTTATAAATCGAAATGTATTTCTTGAAAATTGACAGTTTTTCACAGTGAAAGTAAAGAAAATGTTTTTATGAGCCGTGCCAGAATTTAAGCTATAGTTTACTGCCGGCGAAATTAAAAGGTCAGTACAATGTTCATATAAACTTTTCAAATATTGGCGTTGAGAAACTATTTAATACTTTTGTATTGAGATGATAAAATAATTTTCACATTTAGTATTATTTTACAAGAAAGGCACTTTATTTTAACGATTGTATGACATTTGACAACTGTCAACTAACTTAAAATTAACTTCAGCCCGTGACTAAAAACCTGTTGCCAACTTCAGCCCGTGACTAAAGCGTCGTAAAGCCACAACTTGTCAATGTGTATTTAAAAGGTCACTTAGTGTCATGGAAACATGTACGATAAAGGGCGTTTTAAAGGTGGGAGTAGAAAAAGCATAGTATGCAACTCTTTTTATAAAATTCTCCAGGCACTCGTTTTTATTAAACACTCGCTCACAAGCTTTGTCGTTGCCTAATAAAACTTGTAACCAAAATGGTTTTTAAATAACTTGATACATAATTATTATTATTATTATTATCAATATTATTATTATAGAACGCTTAAAGATAAATAATTTTTTTTTATGCCATAATTATGTTGCTAATATATATTTATTTTTGTTTGAATATATATATTTTTTTAATATATTTTTAAATTTACTTAATATATTTATTTTTTTACTTAAAATATATTTATTTTTTAAGAACAATATATTTATTTTTTTGTGTTAATATTAATAATATTATAATATTATTATGTTTTTTTGACATCTGCTAATATATATTTGTTTTTTTGACAGACAATTCAATGTGGCAACGTTGCATTGTCATTTAACCCGTTGTTCATAGATGTCGTTGTTGTTTTAAGTTAACACATACTTCCATGGAAGTATGTGTAAGTTAACTGATACTTTACCGGCAATATTTTTTGAATGTTTGAGGTTAGATTCTATCAGCGATTGTTTTTATTTAAAAACGAAAGAAAAATTCGGTGAATTTTCGGTGGCTACTCAAAACAAGTGTGCTACGTAACTCTGGACTACTTCTTTCCATTATTACTAAAATTTCGCTTTTACAAAAAATATTCCAGAAAATTAATAAAGAAAAATTTATTTTGTATTTACCTGTTTTAAATAACCGCAAAAAATTTACCGTCTTCACTATTTCTTTCGTTTATAAATAAAAACAAAGTCGTTAATGGAATCTAACCTCAAAAATGCCGGTAAAGTATCAATAAACTTACGTATACGTAAGTAAACTTAATACAACAACGACATCTATGAACAACGGGTTAAATGACAATGCAACGTTGCCACATTGAATTGTCTGTCAAAAAAACAAATATATATTAGCAGATGTCAAAAAAACATAATATTATTAATTATATTATTATAATATTATTAATATTAACACACAAAAATAAATATATTGTTCTTAAAATATGAATATATTTTAAGTAAAATAATAAATATATTAAGTAAATTTAAAAATAAATTTAAAAAATATATATAATCAAACAAAAATAAATATATATTAGCAACATAATTATGGCACAAACGGCGCCTCATAATTACCATTGAAAAATACATTTTATAAGTACCTATATTCAGACACGGTAATCACTAAGAGTGCTATATTTATTTTTACATAATCTTAAATTATACAATAGGATTTGCAAACATGTTTAAATATATTACTATAAATATATTAAGTATCACATATTATGACTATTTATATAAATTTCTACCGATCAGGTAGAAACAAAAATACCCTGTATAAAGTGCATTCATTTAACAAACGGAGTAAATAAAAAATACAATCTCGCACTATCCAAATTTTGTATTTACTACTCCCTATGTCATGAATAGACTTTATATTTATATTAGGTATTTTAGATTCTTCAAACATTAACTTGAATTTGATCTAATGCTATCAAAAGAGGTTCTTCAAGATCTACCCAATCAGGTTTTACCTCAACTTCAGCATTCACTTGACTAGAAAGACTTAAACCGCGAGAGCTCCTCCGATTTTGACTTTGATTCCTGCAAAGAAAAATACAATTTTTATGACGCTTTTAAATGTACAATAAATGATAAAAAATCTGTAAAAAAACAACACATGCAGAGTAAAATAAGTTCAACACGATATTATTTGAGTAGGTGCAACATGCAAAACTAAGGTTTGGATGGTTAAGTTATCATGCAAAATTTGAATGAACTTACCAATAACACTACGCCCAAAGACCAAGAAAATATCTCTTTGACGAGACAGAAATATCTATATGCGCCTTTTTGTAACTCTAGTTTAACCAATGTAAATGCACAAAACATTTTATAATTTTACAAAGCCTTATGGGTGATGATATCCAAAAACTTTGGGAAGATTCAGGATAAAAAGGTGTGTAATAAAAAACCAAATCGACATTGATATCTCACATTTATTCATAAAAAATTAGATATTTACCACTTGGCCCGCTTGCCCCAGTCTTTCGGGACCCAGTGCAGGCATTTGGGGTCAATCCGGATTTTTCTCGACTCCATCGCCCTGTGGTGGTTTTCGATTATGTCTCTGCTCAGGGTTATGATATACTGACCCTTGTAGTAATTTATCAGGTTCAGATTTTGTAGTGTGGATATCACGTCTTCTTTTTTAATACTGGTCAGTTCGCAAATTTCACTGCAATAGTAAACCATATGGTTTAATGTTTGTTAGGTGTGAGTAAATGCTGATTGCATGAATTAAACACGAAATCTCTTCCAGTGATATGGTGAAAATAATGGTAGTACTATTACTTAATGAAATATGAATTTATTTATAATAGAACATTATTTTTTAGTGTCATATTATTTTAAGGTAATTTACCAATAAAAAACATAAAAAAATTTCTTGGGTTATATTTTTTATTCAGGAATTCAGAAATTATTCGTATTTGTCAACACTTGAGTGAAATTTTCAATTAGATAAAAAATATCATACAAGAATTTTATTCTGTGAATTAAAAATCATATATCATAGTAGATATTTAAAAATTAAATTAAATTTTTTTTAGTTAAACACATACTTTTAATTCGCTAAACTAAAAATATCATAGGAGATATTTTTAATTTATTTTAACATTTATTTTTTAAAATAAGCAGATATTTTTAATTGAATGTAATGTTTTTAATTCAGATTGAAAGTTTGGACACCCCTGGTACTCCAAACTAATTCTGTCGCTAGAGGGCGGCACAATCACCAGAATCTACGATTTTTTATTTTACCAACAATATTGTTTTTTTGTATGGGTGAAATAATTATTAACGATTTTGTTCTTTTGATGTTTAGAGTTTATTTAAGTGCATGTGTTTATTTTATGTGTTATGTATTTTATGATATATACAGTGCAATGATGAAATACAAAATAAAATTAAGTTCATATAAGTTTAATGTTTATTTCTCAAAATTGGACAAAAACCCAGTCAGTAGGTACGTTATCTTTGAAATTTGAGATTATACATCATTTTTAAATAAATAGGTAGTTTTTTCACAAAAGAGAGGAAGGCAGAAGTCTTACTCGACAAATTTTGTTCAATTGCACAGCTAAATCGCGCACGTTATTTGTGTTTTACGTTGCAAGGAAAAAATTAAAAAACTTTTTTAGTACTCGATTTCGATTGATTATTCCTTATATCATTGATTAAGAAACTCAACGCTTAAATGCTTATTTAGTTACGTTAGTGTGTGTATTTTATCTAAGGGATCATCGTGAATTATTGTGTTTTTAATTGTAAATAAAATTCAAGAACTAAATCGTTGCATTTCCATGTTTTGCCAAAGGATCCAATTCGGTAAGTACATTTGTTGGTGCAGAATCAACTAATGATAACTTTACCTAACATAATTTATATTTAAGTTTGGACATTTTTAAGAAATTAGTAAAAAATAATTTTTGCACAACATAACCTTAAAATCAACCCTTTTTATATTTGAGTTCTCTAAAAAACGCCGACAACTGCAATTTAAACAACAAAATATACCTACGAATTCATGGCAACATAATATTATATATAATACATAATATAATGGTATTTACCGTTGAGTGGAGACTTTAAAGAATTCTTAATCAACGCTTTTAATAATGCTAAATGCTGTTTAAATTTAGACAATTTTTACTGAATTGAAATATTTACACTTTTCACGTTAATCACTACTAAAATGTGTATTTATTGTATCTAATAGGTACAATTTATATTTACAGAGACTGTGTGCAATTTATTTCTTCATTCAGATTAACATCGGTAAAAACTCAACCCAAGATTTCCTCTCGAAATACACCCAACAAAACAACAAATCGAGCCACGGTTTTTTCCGGCTTTATTCTCAAAAACACCCGAAGAAATTACGACTTAATATCTCTTGACAAATTTATTTTAAATGATGGAACACACAGAAAGGATGTTGGAACAAACCTTACGGATTCTAGTTTAAAAGATTTTATTTAAGTAATGTAGGTAGCACTGATGTTACTAGATAGTTAGATTTGACGTTTGTAATAGTTTATACCAGTTAATACATTTATTCTTTTTATTCATTTCGATATCAATCTTGTACACTGTAAAAATCACAAGGATTTTCTCGAGCCGTTAAAGAAGATGGCGGCTGTGGCGTCTTTATAATGTTTTCGAGTATTTTTCACTTAGGCGTTGCCTGGGCCCATAACCTATTAAGGTCGTGAAATACTAATACTGTTTTTATGTTTAAAATAAAGTTCTTGTTACCCCACAATTTACAATAATTAAAACCATAAAAATAATTCTTTCATTACTCACTTAATAGTTATTTGCGGTTTTTCGTTGTCACCTACAGGTTTCATGTCTAGTAATATTTCCAGAATAGTTTGCGCCCAATAACTTCTATAGGACAAAAGTCCCAAATCTGAAAGTGGTTTTTCCGGGGAGCCAGTTTTACCCTCAAACTTGGACAATTCATAACCTCAAAAAAAAAATAACAAAAAACGACCCAAATTTCCAAACAAAAGCTTACTAAATTCGATGAGCAGTTTTCCATATCCCTTCCGTTGATATGGGGGCATGGTTAATATACAGGCAACATTGTAATCCTCCGTGGACTCCTTCTCCTTCGAAAAATACCCGACTATGTGAAACCCCCTATTATCAAAGACAGTCATAACGTAAAACAAAAACGGATCCGTATCGTAGTACAGAGTTTTGTGATCCAAGAACAACTTCGCCAGCAGACACAAGTTTTGAGCGTACACTTTATTTTTCCTCCCGTCAATCTCGAAAAACGAAATTATGTCTTTCCGGTATATTTCATTGCCCGGGGGGTGCCGCAAGTTGCACTTTTTCAAGTGCCGTTCCAAGCACTTTCGACTCTTCCTGTACTTCAAACAAAACTCGCAGATGTAAATGCAATCCAGATTGACCATTTCCTGCGGATACGGCGCGAAATACCACGGCTTAATTCTGTGCTTCCCCAGCTCAATCAAATCGATGTTTTTCATCCTCGTTACGATATCGTCGTGGTGCGAAACCATACTCCCCGATTGCCTAGGCTGCGGAACGGGCCCCTCATTCGAATCCTCACTCTCCAAGCTCGGGATTTTTCTCTTCCTGTTCATTCTCTTCTGCAACGCCGCCGCCAACACGGCGTTGCCATTCAACAACTCGGTATTGTTAACGGGGCTGGATGGTCTTGATACTGCCCCACTCACATTTGCTGATTGTGACTGCGTTAAAACTACAGGGCCGCTGCCGATTTGCGCCTTTTTCGGCGTGGACACCCCTGTATTACTCCCACCGCCATCTTTTCTCGGAAAATGAACTTTACGTGTATCTAAATCGTGTTCTGTCACCCATTCGTCCAGTCTTTTGTTAACTATGATACAAATGATATTAAATAAATAAAATATCTTATTTTTAACTAAACTTACAGTCAACATAGTGTACATAGTATTCTTTCACCCCAATTGCTTCCTTAATACTTATTATTTCAGCCAAAGCTAAAACACGAAAATCTTGAATAAAAAACTAAACAACATCGAAAAATACTTACGCCAATCATTCGTGCCTTTCATACGCACGGATAAACGACATCCTTCGATAAGGGAAGACTAAAATAACGAAATTAAAGCGATTTATTGTTTTCCTTATAGGTTATGTGGTGTCAAAGTATAAACAATACTCACCACTGAATCGCATATTGTATTGTAGTCATTTTCCATTTCCACTTTCATTGGATATATTTTTTGTTTACTTTATTTTAGGTAAAGTATTTAAATTTGTTAAATAAATTTGTATAAATAAAAACAAGGAAATGTCAAATTTGATACTATAGACCTTTGGCGATAGAGAGATTGATGTTTAGAAAAATATTTCGAAATCGAAATATTTATGAAATCTACATCATATACAATTCTAAAAAAAAAATTTATTTGATTTTAAATTAATAGTAGTATGTATAATATACTAATATATTATATTTTAGTTATTTAAGTTTGCTATTGTCTATTTTTGTATGCTCTATAGTTGACTTAGTTTTATAATATTAAAAGAGATGGCGCGCTTATTTAATTATTAAAACGCAAATTAAAAGTAGGTAATAATGTGTTTTTTTTAATTATTAGGTTTTACTTTGTGTTGTTTAAAAATAATTTAACGTTAAAATTTTGTTTTTTATTTTATTTTATTTTCCCTCAAGTCTTTTATTAATTTAGTTTTATAGCGGATATTGAATTGTGTTTATTCTAATATTTTAATAAATCCATCGTTTTAAGTAATTTTCTTTATTCAAGATTTACTTTTTTTGTTTGGTTTTGATTTTAAATTTGGGGAATTTTGTTTCTAACTGTTTTTTGACATTCGGGCACATGCGCCGTAACCTACAATTTTCGCTGCAGCCATTTATGTTGTTCGCATATTATCAACTATAAAACGTAATATTCAGGTAATTACTGAATTATTATAACATTATTTGCTAACAAATGATAAGGGATATGCAACAGAACAATAATAAAACTGAATAACTTCTGGAAGTCATTTAGAAACTTGATTTTATTCCAATTTTTGAGTGCCAGCAAGACTCGCCTGGGGCTTTCCTGACATTCATGCTTTTGTACGAAAATGTGGTCTATAAAATCTGATAAGAAGGTCATAGCACCAGGAAATCCGCCTATTTAGTCGGGAACTTGCCAGGCTTTTCACGGATTTGACAATTTTCTGGTATCTATAAATAGTTACCTCCATTTTTGTATGTAATACTTACACATACTTTACATGTTGTAATCTTATATCAGTAGTTGAATCTGTAGTTGGTGTAAAGTGGCAGGTTTGATGACCCAATGAATTAATTTTAATAAATGCAAAACCAACAAAGTGGTGGACAGGTTAGGGGGGACACCATTGTTATGGTTCATTTTTGAGCCTCTTAAATGTAATAATATAATAATTAATAATAAAATTTTTTGTTAAATTGATATAACCCCCTAAAAAAATGTCCAATATTGTGGTGAATAATATGTTAAATTATTTATAAATCAAATTAAAAAAATAATAGCTCTATTGTTATGTACTGCCCATTTTTATTAACAAAATGTCTAAAAACAAGGATTTAGGCGATTTTTTAATTAGGAAGTACCTAACAAACTAAAATAACAAAATGAGCGATAATTTTAGAGATCACAAAAAGTGTGTTTTTTTTCAGTATGACTGACTCAATGAACTTTGGTCCTGACTGGATCCGCAATCTATCCTCCGAAGGAAATACCTCAGGGGGAACAGGTGGTGCACATCGATATCAGCTAGCTGATTTTCGGTATGTAAATAAGTAACTTTTTATTTATAATTATCTTTTGTCAAAAAAACAAAACTTAAAATTTTCATAACTTTGTTATTAAGTTAAAAATATTGACAATATTAATTAATGATATTAGGAAATTTACATTTTTTATTTTTGTGTTTAATCCTTTTATTCTAAACACTAAAAAAATTAAAAATATATAAAAGTCTATCTAAATCTAATTTTATATATTTAAGAACACCCAAATACTTATTATTTCATATATTTGTCAGAGAAAATTTAGGGACATTATTTATACAATTTTTAATTGTTACTAGAATCTTATGTTTATTATAAGTACTGTATTTGAAGTTTAAGTCCTATAATTGTAATTTTACATTACATTTTAAAGAAATTATCAATATTTTTTTAGTTGATATAATTATTATAGATTTAATTTATTTATTTTATTTTAGATATGGTAGAGAAGAGATGCTCGCATTATTTGATAAGAATGTTAGACCACCTCTTTCTTTAACAAATTTTAAATATTTGTACTCAGAAACAACTCTACCACCATTGGCATTAACCCCTACCACAGACGAAGAGGTAAATATTTTGTTTATTTTTTTGGGATAATTTAAGGTTTTTAATATAATCAGTTCTATAATTTTTCTGAACAAATTAATTATTTTCTAATTTTTTTATTTTATTTAGCTTTTTAAATTTCGTTAATTTTCTTTTTTTTATTTCAAATTAAGTATATTTTTCAGGTTTAAAAATTTGTCATATTGTCTATTTTTAACCTTTTTAAATGTAGTTTATATAATTTTTTATATATGGCCAAATTTCCATTTTGATTTGGCTGATTTTTTTTTATATTTAACTATAAATGTTTCTTAGTTTTTCAAATTATTTTACCCAACCAAACAAAGTTCAAATTTAAAAAAAATGGCCTTTTCCATGAAATAAGCACAACTTTTTTAAAAATTGACATTTGGTTGGGTAAAAAAAATTGAATAAATTATGAACTTTTTTAATGGGGTAGATAGTGGTCAATTTCGCGTGGAATTCATATTTTTTAAGTTATTTAATGCCCTAGTGCATTAAATGGGGAAAAAGTAAGGTTATAACCGTTTGACGGATGTCACATTGGTTAAAAGAGAGGTTAAAAATGTTTTACAGTTGTCAGATAAATAAAATGTCAAACAAAATTAACCTTAAATTCTGAACATTTTGACGCTGGTATGCAATTAGTTTTATAAACACTCATTTATTAAAAAATAATAAAGGGTGAGTTTTAAGTTGACGCGTTCCTTTTAACAGTGTGTAGAAATCAGCTAGACAAATAAATATTTTAAGTAACTTTTTTATCAAAACTCAAAAATAAAAAAGTTATAGCCCATCAAAGTTTAATTAAATTTTAAGCCGGTCCTGGCTATTGTTAACGAAAAACATAACCATAAAAATATCAAAATAAACAATGCAAAATGTCATATTTGACAACAAACATAACCATTTAAATCAAATTGACATTTTGCAATAAAAAATGTCATTATTTACTTAAGTTGCAGCATTTGCATTTTGACAACACTCTCCATAAATTAGTAACATTTCTACTAATTCATTATTGCTATAGGTAATTATGAACCATTTTTAACAATAATTGAGGCACAAAAAAACTGACATTTTTCATTGCTAAATGTCATGTTGATTTAAATGGTTATGTTTGTTGTCATTTTGCATTGTTTATTTTGTTATTTTTATTTTTATGGTTATGTTTTTTGTTAACAATAGCCAGGACCGGCTCAAAATTTAATTAAACTTGGAAGGCCTATAACTCTTATTTCACGGTGCTGTTCTGAGAGGTGATTTTTGGACTTTTTTTTTATATTCTTGTTAATTAGGTCATAACTAAAATTTTAAGAGCAAAATAAAAAAATTTGACGGTTAATTTTGTTTTAATTGGATGTTTATTAAAAATATGTATGCACACTTTCAATTCTCCAATTAAAACTTGCGATTTTATTTAAATATTTTCATAACTTTTTAAATCAGATTAAAGATTAGTTAATTTCCTAAAAAAAGGTCTATACATTTTTTATATCTTTTACTGTTTTGTTGTAATACACGTTTAAAGTTTTAATTTAAGGTTAAATGTATAGTATACATTTATTAAACAATAATTCTAAGGGTGCCACATTTTATTTAGGGCCGATTTATTAATTTTTGATTTATTTGACGAATAATTTCTTTGGATACTAGATATTGCCAAGACATAAAAGTTATCGGCCCGATAAACTTTACTAAAGAATAAACTGGTCCTTAGTTAAATTTCATGAATTTCTTCGTAAATTTTACTACAATTTTTCATTTTTGTTTATAAAAACACAACTAAACAAAAATTATAGAATACGTATACTGAAAATGACAATTCAAACATCAAATAAATTTTTAATAGATCTAAGTTTCATGGCAACCTTTAAGGATATATTAATTAAGGGAACATAAATGTATACGTCAAAGGTTAGATTAAAAGTTTGAACGTTTATTGCAACAAAACAGTAAAATATTTAAAAAAAAATTGTAAAAACCTTTTTTTTTAGTTATGCAAATATTAAATATTTAAATTAAATCTCTAGTTTTAATTGGATAATTGAAAGAGTGCATAATATTTTTAATAAACAGCCAATTAAAACAATTCAAACCGTCAATTTTTTTTTTATTTTGCTCCTAAAATTTTAGTTATGACCTAATTAACAAGAAAATAAAAAAAAATTAGGTTTCACAGAAAGTCCAAAAATCACCTCTCAGAACAGCACCGTGATTTTTGAGTTTTGATAAAAAAGTTACTTAAAATATTTATTTGTTTATCTGATTTCTACACGCTGTTAAAAGGAACGCGTCAACTTAAAACTCACCCTGTATATAATAAGTAATATTTGGACATATGTCAAAAAACTTAGCCTAAAATTTGACAGTCCACCTTAAAACGTCAAAATAGCACATTTGAGGTTATAATATTAATTAGTTGGTGATTAATAGTAAAATTGCAATTCAACATTGTTATAACTGATGCAGAGATCGTGGCAAAATCGTCCGACAAACGTATCGGGTCCGACCAGAGGCAGGGGCGGCGGTTCGTTGGAGAGGGGCGGTCGAATCGCCAGGGGCAGGGGCGGCTATCAGGGGTACGGCCGGCCCGCCAGCGGTTACGACGGCCAGTGGGGCGGCGGTCCAGCCGGCGTCCCCGAACAAACCGACTGGAGCCCCAGGAAGGACTTCAACCCGACAAGGGGTCATTCCATGGACAATTGGAGGAGGATTAAGTAAGAAACAGTTTTTTATTTTGTCCATTTTTTTGTGATGATTCATTATGACTAAGGGGGTAACTTTTCTATAGTTTGTTTTTCAGGTTTGCTTTCTCTTATTTTCTATTTTGTTTTGGTTTTATAATTTCCAGAACTCCCACACCTAAAACTTATAAAATTCCTAAAATTTGGCTTAAATCTTGAAAACTCCTAAAATTCTCCTAAAATTGCCATCAATCTCCTAAAACTCCTAAAAATTAAATATAAGTAGGCCAACTTGACTGCATTTAATTAAGGTAATTTCTTTTTAAAAAGTAATTTAAAAATATATATTTTTGGGTTCTAGTTTATTATATTTATATATAACAACAAAATATACCTAAAAAACAAAATCCATGTAGTAGCTGAGCTACTGTAGCTCCTAGTCTTCTATAAAATTGTCATTTTTAGCCATATTTCGTTTGATATATAACACGGTATATTTTTGTAAATGATAGCTAAAATAGTAAACAATATAAATATAGTTTTGCTGTATTATGCAAACTTTATATTTTTTCTATTATGAGATTTTTGAGTAATTATTAACTAAATGGTTAAAAAAAAAATTCTCAAAATATATTTAAGCCATATTCATCGACGAGTTTTTTTAAATAAAATTAAAATTGTGTACGTCAGATATATACAAAAGTAGTAATTTTATTTAAAAAAAACTCGTCGAGCGATTTGGCTAAAAAACTAGTCAGTGTAATCTATTTGTATAAAAGAAGTGATATTTATTTATATTTTTCTTAAAAGAATTATTTTGTTTTCTTATATTTTAAGTACCTACAGTGTAGAGTTGTTTTTATTGAATTACTTAAATTCATTTGCATACTTTATTTCTCCTAAATTTCTCCAAAAAAACCTCCTGAACTCCTAAATAAAATTTGTAATTTAGCCTTGGGAGCCCTAAATTTCTCTAATTTAAGAATTTTAATTTAAGTTTTCTCAAAATATATTTTAGCCATATTCATCGACGAGTTTTTTTAAATAAAATTAAAATTGTGGTAAAATTTCTACTTGTGTATATATGTACCTCAGATCAGGGTTGTTCCAAGGTACACAATTGTGCAAAATGCTACACTTTTTAACAAGTAGCTACACCGGGGCACCCCAATGGCAAATTTTATTGTTTTGCTACACTTTTTTGATAAAGTAAACAAAAAACTACACAATTATAAGCAATCAATAAAAAAAAAATTCTATCTACAAGAAACCACAATCCACATGTGTGGATTGTTCAAGAAACCATCTTGAGTTACTCAAGTTGAGTAGAGTCCTTATCATAGATTACATTTATTAAAGATAAAAATCTATGGTCCCTATAGTGTAAAACTACTGTAGAACTCTGGTAAAACTGCACGAGTCACCATCTATATTCTAATAACCACCAAAACGAATTGAATTTTTCGAATTCGCCAATCTGGCCAAAGATGTCGCAAACGCCGACGCCCCATTTTAAAACTGCACAATGCTACACAATTTCATTATCGAGTTCTACACTTTGAAAAATTAGCCAGGAACAACCCTGCCTCAGATATATACAAAAGTAGTAATTTTATTTAAAAAAACTCGTATAAAATAAGTGATATTTATTTATATTTTTCTTAAAAAGAATTATTTTTTTTCTTATATTTTAAATACTGTACCATTTTAATATCCATTTCCCCTTAAATAATTCACATTTTTCTAATCCATTATATTATCTCTTTTCAGTAACAAATATAATATCCCTTATATTTGTTACAAAACAGGAAAATTATCTCTTATTTTTCAAAATCAAAGAATAAAATTCAGACGGTAAAATGTATTATTTGATTTAATTATATTAAACCTAAAATCATTACATTGTATTAATTTATAACGAAAATCTTAATTGTTTATGCAACTATGTAAAATCTATTTTTAGTATGACCCAACAATATGTTTATAGGTTGGTATAATAAACATTAATAGCTTAAATAATATTATTATATCTCGTTTTTATTAACTATTATACAGGGTGAGTTTTAAGTTGACGCGTTCCTTTTAACAGTGTGTAGAAATCAGCTAGACAAATAAATATTTTAAGTAAATAAATTTTAAGCCGGTCCTGGCTATTGTTAACGAAAAACATAACCATAAAAATATCAAAATAAACAATGCATAATGTCATATTTGACAACAAACATAACCATTTAAATCAAATTGACATTTTGCAATAAAAAATGTCATTATTTATCTAAGTTGCAGCATTTGCATTTTGACGACACTCTCCATAAATTAGTAACATTTCCACTAATTCATTATTGCTATAATTATGAACCATTTTTAACAATAATTGAGGCACAAAAAAACTGACATTTTTCATTTCTAAATGTCATTTTGATTTAAATGGTTATGTTTGTTGTCATAGATGACATTTTGCATTGTTTATTTTGTTATTTTTATTTTTATGGTTATGTTTTTTGTTAACAATAGCCAGGACCGGCTCAAAATTTAATTAAACTTGGAAGGCTTATAACTCTCTTATTTTTGAGTTTTGATAAAAAAGTTACTTAAAATATTTATTTGTTTATCTGATTTCTACACGCTGTTAAAAGGAACGCGTCAACTTAAAACTCACCCTGTATATATTTACACTTTTGAAATTAGGAAAATAGGAAAAACCTTAGACTATACACTGTGAGGAAAAAACCTTTTTGTTGCAGAGAAAGGGAGGACGACGACGGTTGGAGGATCGCACCGGCCGGCGGGCGCGGCCACGGCCACGAGAAGTGGCAGCGGTCGACGAGCTGGCGGGGCGGCGACGGCGAGGAGGGCGCCGAAAGGGGAGCGGCGCCGCCCGAGAGGGGCGGCCGTCAAGGGGGCTGGCACGAGAACAGAGGGCCGCCGTCGCAGAGACGGTCCTGGGATAACGAGGACCATTTGCCCGAGTGGGCGACGGAGCATCCCACCGAGGGGGGCGGCACTTTCGACGAGAGGGGGGCCTTCCACGGATCGGACGACGAAATGCCGGTGAGGGAGTTTTTTATGTTTTTTTTTTGGTGTTTTTTATTTCTTTATTTATTTTTTCATACTTTTGGTATTTTTTTTTTAATCTTTCTTTAGTCAGAAAAAATCAGATTGTTGTTTTTTAAATTTGTCACAGTTTTTTTCTGATATTTTCAAGAAATTTCGGTTTCTTTTAGATTTATCCTAAATCTGTCATAGTTTTTCATTTTATTTTGATTTTTCTAATTTTTGATGATTTTCACTCATTTCGTGTTTTTGTTTGTTTGTTTTTTTTGGTGTTTTTAAAAAATCAACTTTTACAAATTTCGGTAATTTGTTTAATTTTTTTTTCTTTTAGGTTTATCGTAAATCTGTCATAGTTTTTAATTTTTCCAATTTTTGATGATTTTCGCTAATTTTGTGTTTTTATTTGTTTTTTTTTAATCTTTTCTTTAGTCTGAAAAATTAGGTTTCTTCTTAGTTTTTAAGTTTGTTTTAGTTTTTTATGATTTTTGAAGATTTTCAGAAGTTTGGTTTTTTGGGTTTTATATATTTTGGTAATTTAAAAAAAAATCTTTAGTCCGTCCTTTCTAAATAAGGTTTCTTCTTGGTTTTTAAATTTGTCACAGTTTTTCATTTCTATAATGATTTTTCCAATTTTTGATTTTTCACTAACTATGTGTCTTTCTTTTTTTCTTTTTAAGAACAATTTCTTAAGTCCTTAATAATATAGGTTTTGGTTTTTAAGTTTGTCAGTTTTTCATAAATTTTAATCATTTTTTATAATGATTTTTTCCAATTTTTAAAGTTTAATTTTTTGGGTGTTTTATCTTTTGGTAATTACAAAAATCTTTAGTCCTAATTAATTAAATAAGGTTTCTTTAAAAACTTTAATTTCTATAATGTTTTTACAATTCTTGACGATTTTCACTAATTAATAATTAATGTTTTTTTTCTTTTGGTATTTAAAAAAAATTTCAATCTGTGAAAAAATAGATTTGTTCTTGGTTTTTAAGTTTGTCAGTTTTTCATGATTTTTAATCATTTTTCCAATTTTTGAAGATATCCACAAATTTTGTTTTTTGGGGTTTAAATATGTAAATCTGTCATAGTTTTTAATTTTATTTTGATTTTTCTAATTTTTGATGATTTTCACTCATTTCGCGTTTTTCGTGTTTTTTTTGGTGTTTTTAAAAAATCAACTTTTACAAATTTCGGTAATTTTTTTAATTTTTTTTTTTTAGGTTTATCGTAAATCTGTCATAGTTTTTAATTTTTCCAATTTTTTATGATTTTCACTAATTTTGTGTTTTTATTTGTTTTTTTCTTTTGGTATTTTAAAAAATCCTTTCTTCAGTCTTTGAAAAATTAAGTTTATCCTTGGTTTTTAAATTTGTCACAGTTTTTAATGATTTTTCCAATTTTTGATGATTTTTACAAATTATGTACCTATTTGTATTTAAATTTCTAATATCTTTTGTTATTTTTTTAAACCTTTTGTTTATCCATGGTTAAATTTTCATTATTTGTAATCTACCCTTAATCTACATTTATCTGTAACTTACTTTCTATACTTATTATTATATTAATATATGAATAAAAACAACACTGTTTTAAAGTTTCACTAATTTATTTATGTTTTTAATAATTAACAATTGTTTCGCTACACTGTAGCTTCTTCAGAATTAGTGAAGAATCTGAATCTGAAGAAGCTACAGTGTAGCGAAACAATTGTTAATTATTAAAAACATAAATAAATTAGTGAAACTTTAAAACAGTGTTGTTTTTATTCATATATTAATAATATGGAGTTTCATCAAGTAAAGGTCGAAACAATCAACAACTTATTATTATACCTTATACAATTTTGTATTTTATAACAATGATAATAAATATATACTATTATTATTATTTTTTATGATTTTTCCAGTTTTTAAAGATTTTCACAAATTTTGGGTTTTCATTTATTTTTTTTGGGTTTTTGGTATATTAAAAAAATCCTTTCTTCAGTGAGGTTTCTCCTTAGTTTTTAAGTTTGTTACAGTTTTTTAAGATTTTCACAAATTTGGGTTTTTGAGTTTTTATATCTTAAATACATTAGGTTTCTCCTTGGTTTTTAAATTTGTCACAGTTTATAATCATTTTTTATAATGATTTTTCCAATTTTTATAAATTATTGTTTTTATTAGTTTCTTTATACTTTTTTGGTATTAAAAAGTCTTTAGTCCTTGAAAAAATTGTTTTTAAGTTTGGTTCAGTTTTTCAAGATTTTTAAATTTTTGATGATTTTCGCAAAGTTAGTGTTTTTGTTTGGTAATTTTTTAAATCTTTGGTTTAGTCTTTAAAAAATTAAGTTAATTATCAGTATTTTTTTTATTTTTAATCTTTGATGTTTAAAAATTAAGCTTTGGGCTTTTAATGATGAACAGTTTTTTTATACCCCCAAAACTCATTTCTGGCACTTACAACATTGTTCCAGGGTAGCATTTAATTCAATTTAACTTTTTGTATCAATGTTTTGATGAATAATTATGTTTTCATGCGCTTAGTTTGATGGAAAACCTAATAAACGAGATAACCTTCAAAAATCGACTTCCCAGCAATACATCTCCAACAAGAATCAACCGCCTCTATCTTCATCCAAGTCTGCCATGTCATTGAGTAAACCTCCAGAATATGATAAAAAGAGAGATGTAAGTTAAAATATATATTTTTTTCATTTCTTAATGCTAAATTGTTTTATCTACGAAGGAAAAGCATGACGAGAACCTGAAAAACGAGAACGGCGAAAGGGAAAGGGAAAAATCAGTTCCCAACATTTCGGACAAAATCGATAAAGATCCCGCGATGATGGAAAGGGCGAAATCCGAAGGACCTCCTAGAATTCTTGAAAACCTCGACTCCATGTTGAATCCAATGAATCCGATTCACAACAGGTGCGAAAATTCAAATGAAATTTTAATCGGCAACACGTCGTTTTTGTCTTTGCGCAGGGTCGACGAGGATTTCGAAAAACTGCAGGAAGATTTAATATTGAAATTGGTGGAGAACGAGGAACCCATGAAGCCGCCGCAAAACCAAAATAACTTCGATATGGGCCCGGTGCAACCTCCTCCGAATTTAGCGCAGATGATAGCCGACAAATGGTTCTACCAAGACCCACAGGTAAAAAAATATTATATTTTTTGATTAACTGTTAGAAATATTAAATGCGCCATTCCTCCATGTAAAAGAGTATAGTTTTTTGACTGTATTAAAGCTCCTTTAATGGTTTTAGTTAATAATTCAAATCTAAAATAATTATAAATTTGGTTTCTTGGTGTTTAAATTGGTCACAGTTTTTCATGATTTTTATTCATTTTTTATAACGATTTTTCCAATTTTTGATCGTTTTTTAAAATTTAGTGTTTTTATTAGTTTCTTTATACATTTTTGGTATTTAAAAAAAATCTTTAGTCCTTAAAAAATTTGGTTTCTTCTTGGTTTTTAAATTTGTAACAGTTTTTTATGATATTTAATAATTTTTTATAACGATTTTTTCAATTTTTGATGATTTTTATAAATTTATTGTTTTTATTAGTTTCTTTTTACCTTTTTTGGTATTAAAAAAAATTTGATTCTTCTAGGTGTTTAAATTTGTCACAGTTTTTCATGACTTTTAATCATTTTTTATAAGGATTTTTCCAATAATTGATCATTTTTATAAATTTAGCGTTTTTATTAGTTCCATTTTTGTTATTAAAAAATAAATTGGTTTCTTCTTGGTGTTTAATTTGTCACAGTTTTTCATGATATTTAATAATTTTTATAACGATTTTTCCAATTTTTGATGATTTTTATAAATTTAGTGATTTTATTAGTTTTTTTTATATCTTTTTGCTATTTAAAACAAAATCTTTAGTCCTTAAAAAATTTGGTTTCTTGGTATTTAAATTTGTCACAGTTTTTCATGATTTTTAATCATTTTTTATAACGATTTTTCCAATTTTGATCATTTTTATAATTTTAGTTTCTTTATATCTTTTTTGGTATTTAAAAATGAATTGGTTTCTTCTTGGTGTTTAAATTTGTCACAGTTTTTTATGATTTTTAATTATTTTTTATAAAGATTTTTCCAATTTTTGATGACTTTTATAAATTTATTGTTTTTATTAGTTTCTTTTTACCTTTTTTGGTATTAAAAAAATGGTTCTTCTAGGTGTTTAAATGTGTCACAGTTTTTCATGACTTTTAATCATTTTTTATAGCGATTTTTTAAAATAATTGATAATTTTTATAAATTTAGAGTTTTTATTAGTTTCTTTTTTGGTATTTAAAAATAAATTTGTTTCTTCCTGGTGTTTAATTTGTCACAGTTTTTTATGATACTGATAAAACAGTTTTTGTACTCATCTTTCGAAATTATTGGGATTCGGTCATTTAGTTTTGTTCGCATCGCAATTTAACATTGTTTTAAAGCAAAAAAATAATTATCCAGATTTTAATGATCTCAATAAAGGTATTGTTTATCACAAAAACTATGGCACGCCGTTTTAACATTTATTAAATAATTTTTTAATTTAAAATTTTATTGGTTTAAACTAAAAATTTTAGGTTTACATTTATAAATTTAAATATTTTTAACTATCATGTATTAAAATTTAGTAACTTAAATTTCACTTCCTTATCAAACAATATTATTTACAATCAATTTTTGCAAACATTTCTAACCATCATTTTTTAATAAAAATAATTTCTTAAGTATAATTTATTTGGGCAGAATTTTGTAAATCCTAAATAAATTTGTTATAAAATTATTTAGATTAAATTGGTAAAGTTAAATTTTTTAGTATTTAAAAATAGTGGCAAGACATTTAAAATAAAAACACATAAAACATTTTCTATCAAAAAAGTTAAACTTTTTTAATCTTAAAACAATTGATAATCAAAAAATATTTTAAATATAAAAGTTTAAAATATTGGGTGGTTTTGATATTTTATTCAAAAAAATTATTGGTTTAAATTTGTAAAAATGATTTAAACGAAAGTCGATACAAAAATTCTCACATTACATTTAAATGTTAGTTTTTTATTTTAAATTGGTAATTTTTGGATTAAAACTTTATCGACTATCATTTAAATGACTCTTGAAAAATTTAAACTAAAAACATACCGTAAACACGGGTGGCTTTGGCTCACTTTCAAACTTAAGCTTAAAATTGTTGTGGTTTTAACAATCATAAACATTCAATTTTGTATACCAAAATTTGAGTCTTCAGTTGCTCTTTCATAATAACTATGTTATAATATTACATAGGGCTGAGTTTCAAAAATAAAATTAAAAACTGGGTGTGCAAAGTTATCCCCTGGTTGCGGGTTACTTTGTCTCACAGTGTATTTTCCGTATAAAATGAATTCAATATTATATTTTATTTTTATTAGACACGTGTTAGCAGCGACATATATCTATTGCAAGGGATTACCAATAAAAAAAATAAAAAATCGACCTGTAGTTAACCAAGGATCATCATTCCAATGGATTGCGCATAATATAGAAATTGTAACGCGTGTATTTCTAAGAGTTTTGCACCGATGCGATATATACAATTTTAAAGTGTAATAAATCCCATTTCTTTCTTTAAAACACTGATTTTTCTGTAATATAAACTCAATGCAATCGCTCAATTGACAGGTTTAGACCAACAAATTATAGATTATTAAAAAGTTAAATTTTTTTTATTTATTTTTTTTATTTTAAAACTATTTAATATTTTAAATATTAAAGTTAAAGTTTAATATATTGGTTAGTTTTAATATTTGTGAAGAATCATTTAAACGATAGTCGATAAATTTTTAATACAAAAATTCTCACATAATATTTAAATGTTAGTTTTTAATTTTAAATTGGTAATTTTTGGATTAAAACTTAAAACTATCATTTAAATGACTTGAAAAATTTAAACCAAAAACTTTTATTTTTAACAAAGTATTTAAAAATCAATTAAAGTTTTACAGTTGCATTTTATATTTAAAAAATTGTTTGACTATCAGTTGTTTTGAGTTTAAAAAAATATATCTTTGTAAATTTCTGTTAAAACATCATTAATTTAATCTTCAAATTATTATCTAATAAATTCTAAAACGGCGTGCCATAAAAAACTAATAAAAATACTCTATGATCGAGCTTAAGACGTGTTGTGCCAAAGTTTTTGTACGATTCAAATGCGAGTTGTGATGGTTTTTAAAAACCCAACAGGGCCAAATGCAAGGGCCGTTCGTGAACCTCGAGATGGGCGAGTGGTTCAAGGCGGGCTACTTCAGCAACCAGCTGAAAATCCGGCGCGCCTGCGACGAGCGCTTCTTCCTTTTGGGCGAGCTGGTCACGCTTTGCGGCGGCGCCAACCCCTTCACGTGCGGCGTGCGCTTTCCCGTGCTGAAAAACGACCCGCAACCGCCTCAAACGGAGTCGGACATCCTCAACCACCTGCACTACGTCGCGCAGATGACCGCGTTCAAGCAGGCGCAGCAGCAGCGCGGCAACGTCGCCGAACCGTGGAACCCCGCGGCCGCGGCTGCGCTCTCCATGCAGCAGCAGGAGCTGGCCGCGCAGAGGCTGCTCCTGCAGCAGCAGCAGCAGCAACAACAGGTGAGTTTTGCTGATAAGTTAATAAGTTATACCAATCGGTAGGGTCAAATGTAGACAAGGAACTTTTTCGTCGAGATTTTCAACATTACGTCACCCTAATATAACAAGGTTGTATGTTAAAAAAAACGAATAATTTAAGTCCATGTTTCTACAGGATTATACGTGGCCTACGCTTCACATTCCACTTAAAAATAATTCTATAGAGTGTATATTCTATGTATACATATATATAGAGTTATTTTCAAGTTGTATGTCAAGGGTGGATTACATAAAACCTTATAGAAGCATAAATTCAAATTTTTCGGTTTTTTAACATACAACCTTGTTATATTATGGTGACGATTAGTATGATAATTTTAATAATTTTAAGTTTTGAATTGTTTGACACAAATAACAGAACCATGGTTGTCAATTTTAACTCTCCGTAGATACGTCGTTTATTTTGTTTCAAAAAGAGAACGCAGCGTTGTCGAGTTTTTTAATTTACTTGCCGAAAAATCGTTTTGTAATTTTTTTATGCTTTATTATGATTAAAATACCGTACCGCAATATTTTTATCACACCCTGTATTTTTAATTTTGGTTTTAATATGTGTTGTTGTTTATATCATCAATAATCATTATTAGTAGACTTTTAGGATCATTTAAAAGAGAAAGAATGCGGTGTGTATAAATAAAATAATTTTTTTTTAATATTAAAAACGTTACAATTTGAGTTATAAAAATAATATCTCATCATTTAAATTGTGTTTAGCATTTGATAAATTAGAAAGCTGTTTTTATTATGATTTTTTTTCACTTAACATTTTTGGTTTTTCATCACAGCAGGTCCCCCAAGAAATGCCATTTATGCCTCAACCTCCAGCCACAAACCCCTTAATGCAAATGATAAATCAAATGCAACAAGTAAGTACAGTCGCTTTATAATTTTGTTTTCGCCAATTTTTTTTATATTTATTGTCATAATGATGCAACGTTTCCGGTTTTTACGGTTACAGTTAGCTCTACGGTTACGAATACATTCACGGTTATTCCAAAAAAAATTACAGAATTACAAAAAATAAAGTTTATTTTTCAAAATGAAATTAATATACACGTTCAGTAAAGGTTAAATAATAATTTAAGTAAAACAAAAACAGAATTTCCAATAAAAATTTAAAACAAAAGGAAATAAGTAACATTTTAAACCTAAAAACAGTAAAGTAAAACCTAATTAGGTACCTGAATAATATATTTTAAAAAATAAAAAAGTTAATATTCAAAATTTAAGGCAGTATTTAAAAAACAACATCTGCAAATTCTGCGGAATCAGCCTGTTCCTGTTTGGTATCGTTAAATACTCTTCAATCTTCTTTTTACATGCATTCACAAAGTAGCATGAAAAACCGCAAATGCCGTATACGGTTAAGAGTCACTATTTTTTTCCTGTTTTTTTTTACATCTAAAAAAAAATCGTTTTTTACATCTAAACTCTCGATTGAACTGAACGCACCTTTTAGGCCAACAAACTGCCCGGCCAGACGCCTCTGGCGGACAAGCCGCCCAGCAGCAGCCTTCCCGGGCAGCTGGACCCGCACCTGATGCACATGAACAACCTGATGATGCAGAGCCGGCTGCCGACGCCCGAGGCGATCGCGTCCGCCCTGGCGGCCGGCATGCCGGGCGGTTCCGGGGCGATGCCCGGCATGCCGGCCGGCCTGGGCGCCATCAACTTGCTGCGGCAGAACGCGCACGGCGCGGCCGTCGAGCAGGACAACGAGCCGCTGAAGAGCTTGCTCAAGCAGCTGCATCAGAACAGCCAGCAGCAGCCCAAGAACGTAAGTGCATATTGTCCAGACATATTTTAGAGTGCTAAAAATATCTTTTTTAATGGTTACAAACGTATTAAAGAGTAACAAAAAACAGTTTAGTAACTACAAATCATAATTTAGAATAACAAAAATAAAATATAAAATGTTAAAATACATTTTGGAATGTTAATAACACAATCCACTCAACAAGGTCTGTTCTATCTCATGGGGTCAGAATTTCTCAAACGGGCCACCTGAATTAGGTCAAAATTAGTTTTTATTTGTAGATACATTTTTTTGATAGTATTTTACATCACTAACACAAATCCTAAAGGATTTTGTAAAAAAATAATTTTCAATTGACATATTCATGATATTAAAAGTCAAAGTTTTTAATAATTAAAAAATAAAAAAATTCATTATGGCTGAACTAATTATCCGATTCCAACGATATAACTAGCGTTGGAATCTTGTTTTGACATAGATTCTTTGTTATTTTTTTCAATTGTCCTATTTTCATTTAGGTCGATTTTTTTTTGTTTTTTTTATACCAAATTCGGAAATAATTGCCTTCTGCGCCAGCTATCGACTCGAGAAAAAAAACACATATACTCCAATCATTTCTCGAAATTATGCTGCTGAGAAAAAAATGGCCCGCAGGTTGACAAAAAGTTATTCGTCCTTTTGTGGCCGCGCGCGGTGTCAGCTCACGCTCCGAACCGTATACGCTGTACGCGCTTGTGACGCGACGTCTTACGGTGGTCTGGAACCTGCGGGCCATTTTTTTTTCTCAGCAGCATAATTTCGAAAAATGATTGGAGTATATGTGTTTTTTTTTTCGAGTCGATAGCTGGCGCAGAAGCCAATTATTTTCGAATTTGTTATAAAAAAAAACAAAAAAAAATCGACCTAAATGAAAATTGTACAATTGAAAAAAATAACAAAGAATCTATGTCAAAACAAGATTCCAACGCTAGTTAAATCGTTGGAATCGGATAATTAGTTTAGCCATAATGATTTTTTTTTATTTTTTAATTACTAAAAACTTTGACTTTTAATATCATGAATATGTCAATTGAAAATTATTTTTTTACAAAATCCTTTAGGATTTGTGTTAGTGATGTAAAATACTATCGAAAAAATGTATCTACAATCAAAAACTAATTTTGACCTAATTCAGGTGGCCCGTTTGAGAAATTCTGACCCCATGGTAAAAATACTAAAAATCACTGCAAAGAGTTTAACGGTGGCCATTTTTGTTGTTTACAATTCTTGTGCTTTGGGTTTGTGCTGTTTTAAACGTTGGGTTTCTTACAGAGGCCCTTTTAAGCCTCAAATAAGGCCTTTAAGTGCTAAGGACAACCATTTTACTCCTCCTACCTTATTCTATAAGGGCTGTCAAATGACATTTTGAAGGTTAATTTGTGGGTTATAATTTAACCTTAAAATTGACATTTGACAGTTTTATGACAGCCCTGAAAGAATAAAGTTTATTTTTTACAATAGAGGAGTAAAATGGTTGTTCTTAGCCACAGACCACCAAAACAAATTGCCATTCAATAACAATGCTTTTTTTGCGGTCAACAAACGGTCACAGTCTAAGCGTCAAACTGGAGATAGAATTTTATGTTTTCTTCCAGTGACGTCAACAAACGGTCACAGTCTAAGCGTTAAATTGTATATATAATTTTATGTTTTCTTCCAGTGACGTATGATATGTAAACTATCTCATAATGAAAGGATAGATTTGGATTTCTTTGGTTTGTTTTTTTACAAACAGTACTGTCGCACCATTTTTAGTAAAAAATAATGTATTTAAACTCAATAAAACATGATAGAAATACACAAACGAAAACCACGGATTATAAAACACAAAACAACAAGCTGTCAATATGACGAATTTATTAACGTTGTTAATATTTAATCATATTTAATCATCAATGATTTAATTTTAATAATTATTAAATGAATATTTTCTTTAAATAGAGAAAAATATCTAAAGAAAATGATGAACAAATCCTTTTTACAATTTTTTTATTCAAACGAATTACTGGTAATTTTTAATGTTGAACGTCCAAAAAGGCGTGTAATATATACTTCTTCGATGGTGTTTAGAATGTGAAAGTATGCTTTACTCGCTTTTTAAACGTAAACAAATCCGTCCATTTGTTTTGGTGGTCTGTGTTCTTAGCACTTTAAGGCCTCTTTTAAGTCTTGCTATGAGAAACACAACGTTTAAAACGATTATTAATCTGTATAAACAGAGCACAAACCCAAGCACAAAAATTGTAAACAACAAAAATGGCCGCCGTTAAACTGTGCAGTAATTTTTTGTATTTTTAGTACGAGATAAAACAGACCTTGTTGTGTGGATTGTGGTTAATAACACATTTATAAATGTCAAGAAATATTTTAGAATGTCAAAAATATTTTTTAATGGTTAAAACATATTAGAGGTTAATAAAAACCGTTTAGAAAGTACAAATCATATTTTAGATTGACAAAAATAAAATATAAAATTTTAAAATATATTTTAGAATAATAAAAACATATTTATGATTATCCAGACATATTTTAGAATGCCAAAATATATTTAATAGTTAAAACATATTAAAGGGTAATAAAAACAGTTATGAAAGTACAAATCACATTTTAGAATGACAAAAATTAAATATTAAAATACATGTTAGGGTGTTAATAACATATTTATGAATGTCAAGACATATTTTAGAATGCCAAAAATATATTTTTTATTGGTTAAAAACATATTAAAGGATAATTATACTAGTCTAGTAAGTAGAAATCATATTTAAGAATTACAAAAATAAAGCATAAAATGATAAAAAACATTTTGGAATGTTAACAACATATGTATAAATGTCAAAACATATTTTAGAAAGACAAAAATTAAATATTAAAATAAATTTTAAAATGTTAAAAAGATATTTATGAATGTCAAGACATATGCCAAAAATATATTTTTTTAATGTTAAAAACAGTATAATAAAAACAGTTTAGAAATTATATTAAGTATTTCAGAAATAAAGTATAAAATGTTAAAATACATTTTGAAATGTTAATAACATATTAATAACATTTTAAAATGTTAAAAAATATTTATGAATGTCAAACATATTTTAGAATGCCAAAAATATATTTTTTAATGGTTAAAAACATATTAAAAGATAATAAAAAGTTTAGAAAGTAGAAGTCATAATTAAGAATTACAAAAATAAAATATAAAATGTTCAAATACATTTTAGAATGTTAATAACATATTTATGAATGTTAAGATATATTTTAGAATGCCAAAAATATTTTAAATGGTTAAAAACATATTAAACGGTAATAAAAAACGGTTTAGAAAGTACAAATCATATTTAAGAATACCAAAAATAAAATATAAAATGTTAAAATATATACATTTTAGAATGTTATAAAGTAAAAATCCTAGTTTCTCAAAAAACTTGTATGACTCCAGATGTGGCAACAAAACCAATTCTCCAGCTCGCCGCCCAACCCCCAGTGGCAACCCACGCCTCCTGATAATGTGCCTATGACGATGTGGGACGTCCACACTCCCCCCTCGTCCGACGAAAACCTCCCGCCGCCCCATCAACAACAGCAACCTCCCGCGATGGAACAGAACGGCGGCGTGCCCGCCCCTCCCGCGTCGCAGGAAAAAATCAACCCCAAAGAGAAGGAGCAGCAACGCCTGAAGGAGGAGCAACGCGAGCTGAGGAGGAAGAAGGAGCAGGAGGAGAAGCAGGCGAAGAGGGAGGCGGAGGAGAGGAGGAAGCAGGAGCAGCGGAAGCAGGAGGCGGAGAAGAAGGCGTCGGAGGAGAAGCGCAGGAAGGAGGAGGAGAGGATCAAGAAGGAGCTGGAGAAGGCGAAGAAGGAGGCGGAGGAGAAGAGGCTCAAGGAGTTGGAGGAGAAGCGGCGCCTCAAGGAGCAGCGTAAGGCCGAGGAGGAGCAGAAGAAGAAGACGGACGAGCAGAAGAAGTTGGAGGAGGACCAGAAGAGGAAGGAGGCCAGGGAGCGCGAAGAAAGGAATAAGGTACCTTTCGTTTTCGTAGTAAAACGTGCTGTAAACACGTTTCTTTTTGTTTCAGGCCGCCGAGAAGCGTTTGGCGCAGCAAGAGCAAGCTAGGCAGGCAAAAGCGGCGCCGTGGTGTCAGTCTAATTCGACCGCTGGTGCCTCTCTGGCGGAAATCCAGAAGGCCGAGCGAGAAAAAAGAGCTCAGGAGGCCGCGCTGCAACTTCAAAGGCAACAACTGCAGGTAGGTACCTACTTTTTAATATTTCAGTTTGTAGACAGGACCTCTTACGTTGCCTGAATTTGAGCAACTCCAATTTTTAAAACAAAATCGAAATAAAATTGGAAGGAGCTATAGCTCTTCCGGAATTTTTTTATTCTTTATTCTTTTTTGACAATTTTTTTCGGTTTTGCCAAGTTTTTTGTGATGTTGCCAAATTTACAAAAATTCACAGAACCTGGGAATTTATAAAAACTTTCAGGATGCCTTCAGAAAGTCTTTTTGTACTATTTATTTTGGAAATTTTTAATAAAACTTCAATTTTCAATTTTTTTTTTAAATTTTATGGATTTTTTTGAAATTTTCGCAACGCCGGAAAAAATTGTTAAATAAATTTGACAAAAAATTTAAAATTTTTTATTTTTCAAAATTTCAAAAAATAAATAGTCCCAACGACTGAAGACTAAAAAATTTCCAGGTTCTGGGTATTTTTGAAGATTTGTCAAAATTCCAATGCCTTTTTTATCAAAATCGCATTTAATAACTTCAATTTACTATTATTAAACGGAAATTTTTAAAATTTTGTATAGTTGGGAAATTTAATTAATGAAATTTGGAAATTTTTTTTAAATAAATGGTTTTTCAAAATTCCCAGGTTTTGTGAATTTTAAAAAATTTGGCAACATGGCAAACATATTTTTTAAATTCCATTTTCTAAGAATTTTTATAAATTTGGCAACACCGATTGAAATTTAAAATTTTGTATTTTTCAAAATTTCACAAATTAAATTGTGCAAACAAAATCGCAAAAAATTGGAAGTTTTTTTATTTCTAATTCTTTTTTGACAATTTTTTTCGGTTTTGCCAATTTTTTTGCGATATTGCCAAATTTACAAAAATTCACAGAACCTGGGAATTTATAAAAACTTTCAGGATGCCTTCAGAAAGTCTTTTTGCACTATTTATTTTGTAAAATTTTAATAAAACTTTAAAAATTTCCGTTTAATACTAAATCCGATTTCCTGTAATTTTTTTAAAAATTTGGCAACGCCGGAAAAAATTATAAAATAAATTTGAGAAAAAAATTAAAATTTTGTAATTTTCAAAATTTCAAAAAATAAATAGTCCCAACGACTGAAGACTAAAAAATTCCCAGGTTCTGGGTATTTTTGAAGATTTGGCAACATCGCACTAAAACACATAAACAATCCCAAAAATTGTGTCAAAATCGAAGTCAAAGACCAGTGGTATCCGGAAACCAAAATAATTTTTATTAAGTTTGGAAATGTCATTAATTTGAAATTTTTTATATAAATATAATAAATAGTGCGACTTTCTGAAGGCATTCTGAAAGTTTTTTGAAATTCCAAGGTTCTGTAAATTTTAAAAAATTTGGCACTATGGCAAACATATTTTTTAGATCCCATTTTCTAAGAATTATTGAAAATTTGGCAACACCAAAAAAATATATAAAAAAATTGAAATTTAAAATTTTGTATGTTTCAAAATTTCACAAATTAAATAGTGCAAACAAAATTGCAAAAAATTGGAAGGAGCTATAGAGCTCTTCCCGAGTTTTTTTATTCTTAATTCTTTTTTGACAATTTTTTTCGGTTTTGCCAATTTTTTTGCGATATTGCCAAATTTACAAAAATTCACAGAACCTGGGAATTTTTAAAAACTTTAAGGATGCCTTCAGAAAGTCTTTTTGCACTATTTATTTTGGAAAATTTTAATAAAACTTTTTTAAAATTTCCGTTTAATACTAAATCCGATTTCATGGGATTTTTTTTTTTAATTTGGCAACGCCGGAAAAAATTATAAAATAAATTTGAGAAAAATTTAAAATTTTGTATTTTTCAAAGATAAACAAAATAAATAGTCCCAACGACTGAAGACTAAAAAATTCCCAGGTTCTGGGTATTTTTGAAGATTTGGCAACATCGCACTAAAACACATAAACAATCCCAAAAATTGTGTCAAAATCGAAGTCAAAGACCAGTGGTATCCGGAAACCAAAATAATTAATATTAAGTTTGGAAATGTCATTAATTTGAAATTTTTTATATGTAAATATAATAAATAGTGCGGCTTTCTGAAAGTTTTTCGAAATTACAAGGTTCTGTAAATTTTGCAACACGGCAAACATATTTTTTTTAAATATCATCTAGGATTTTTTTGTAAAATTCAAAATTTTGTATTTTTCAAAATCATTCGTTTTTACTATTTATTTTGTAAAATTTTAAAAAATTCAAAATTTTAAAAAGTTTTATTTTTTTCCCAAATTTATTTCATAATTTTTTTCCGGCATTGCTAAGTGTCCAAAAAATCCCAGAAGATGGGATTTATAAAAATATGTAGGGTATGTTGCCAAATTTCTATAAATTCACAGAACCTTGAGAAAATATTTTTAAAGCCCTTTTATTTAATAATAAAAAAAAGTTCGAAAAATAACTTTTAGGGAATTTTTTTAAGTAAATAAAAAATATGCTGTGAAAGACCACATTTTTTTTGTATACCCTGAAAATTTTGTACAAATCAAACGAACAGTAACGAAGATACAGCGCTTCAAAGTCGGTAAAAATGACTCCTTTTTTATTATTTTGCTGAAAAGTGGTCATTTTTGACGACTTTGAAGCGCTGTATTTTCCTTACTGTTCGTTTGATTTGTACAACAGTTTAGGGTATACTAACAAAAATACGGTCTTTCACAGCATATTTTTTATTTACTTAAAAAAAATTTCCTATAAAAGTTTTTTTCGAGCGTTTTTTATTATTAAATAAAAGGGCTTTAAAGATATTTTTTGAAAAACCCTTAAACTCGTAAACTGAGATATAAGTTAAAGTATTTTCATCCTAAATTTTATAAAGATTGGTAAAGGCGTTTTAGAGTTGGATTTTTTACATGTTATGCGTTAATTTTTACCTCAAAATTGACAAAATACGTTACCCAGTGTTTACTTCCGCCTTAACTGACGCAACCTCTCCCGAATCCTTAGGAGCAGCAGCGGCAGTTCCAGGAGCAGCTGGAGAAGCCGACCGGCATGCAGCTGAGCTGGGCCAGCAGGCCCGTGGAAGCGAAAAAGGTGAAATCCTTGGCCGAGATACAGGCCGAGGAGCAAGAAAGACTGATGAAGCAGGCCGCCGAGGCGCGCCTGCAAAAAGAAAAAGAACCACCCGCCACCTTGAACACCGGCAACAGTATTTGGAACAGTTCGAACCTGACGTGGGCCAGCACCGCGGCCCAGCCTTCCTCCCAATGGTCTTCTAACTCCTCCAGTAAGTGCAAGTTTTTATCTCATTTTTTCATTTTGCGGAAATACTTCAAAGTATATATTTTTTTTACAAATATATATTTTTTTCTTCTTAATTTTCATTACGTATAATTTATCATATTTGAATCGAAAAAAATACGGTTTTTATTTTTTTAATGGTAAGTAAAGTTCATTTTTTTTATTTGGACTCAGAGCTGCAAGATCTCAGAAAACTTAAATCGTTTTTTTGATTTAAATCGTTTTAATGACTTAAGTCATTTGGTAATAAGTCATTTCTCTAAAACTGACTTAAGACTTAAAATTTAAGTAATTTTTAAAATTATTTGTGACTTAAATATTTTTTCAAAATAGAAAAAACTTAAGTCATTAATAAAAGGCTTAAATCAGTACATACGATTTAAGTCAGATAGAAACGATTTAAGTCAAAAAAAAAATTAAGTCTTTATAAAAGTCGGTAAATTATTTAAGTAATTTAAAAAGATTTAAGTCTTTTTGAAAAAGATTTAAGTCTTTTTAGAAAATATTTAAGTCAGATGTTTCATATATTTTTTGTAAATTTTTAACAGCGGCATTTTCTTTTGAACTGCCAGGGGTTCACGCGGCAGCAGATCAAAAACTCCTTTAATGTCCTACCTACAATTGCTACCGCCAGTGAATAAAAAAACCGCCGCGGTAAAGTTAGCTTTTCGGAACCGTTTGACGGCTATATTAAAAAGTGTCCTGTCTAAAATGAATGAAAAAAAAGTGGGGATTTATAATTTTGTTTGCCAACATTCGTCGTGTTATGCGTGCGTAGTTAGGTCTAATTTGTGATTATTAGTGCAAAGTGGAAACAAACGATTAACAGGTAAGGACGAATAAATATTATAAAGACGTGTTTATATCATACAGGGTGTTTCGGTTTGTTTAAGTAAATAATAACGACAAAAAAAAGTGATTGTGTGTGAATAAAATTATTCAAACGTGATTGTGCGTGAACGTGAGTAGTCTTAAATTATTACAGTCGTGAGTGGTCGTAAATCGTAAACAATAGTGAATCGGGAGTAGTCGTGAGCGGTAGTGAGCAGTCGTAAATCTTGAGCGGTCGTGAGTCGAGAGTTTGGAACCTCCCATCATTACTCCCTTAAGGGAGGAAAATGTTTTTTCTAGATGGATGTTGAACCAGCTAAACAACAAGTTTTTGAAATACGGCGATTTTAAGAAAAATGCACACAGAGTTTGAATCTATTTCCGTTTATAAGTTACCCATTTATGTATATAAAAAAGTAGTAGTGTATGTCTACTCTAATAAAAAAGGTGATTTAAGTTTTTATTTTGATTGTCTACTATATACTCAAAAAATGTGTTTGAAGTTTTTATTTTGTTTGTAAGTGAAAATAAATCGTTTTAAATTCTTAACATAGTGGTTTATTATCATCTGTATCTACAATAGATTAATAATATCAGTATCATTAATACCATAAAATTATTATTAACAATTAAAAAATCGTTGTATTGACTTAAGGGTAATTATTTTGATTTAAATCACAATTTTTGATTCAACTCATTTTATTGACTTAACTCTTAGATCACGATTTAAATAAAAAATATAGACTTAAGTCATAAAAACGACTTACTAAAGGAATTAAGTCATAAGATGACTTAAATCACTTTATATTGATTTAAGAATTTGCGAAAATGACTTGACTTGAAAGAAAATGATTTAATTCAGAGACTTAATACTATTGTAGTTGTTGAATATGCTTCAACTGTTGCAGGAGGATTCTGGGACGACTCTTCCCACAAGCCTCAGCAACCTAGCAATAACCCCGCCAAACCGTCCACGGTGTCGAGGAGCACCTCATCGAACGCCATAACCTCGAACAACGCAGCCGCGACCAAACAGCAGCAGGCGCAGAAGCAGTCGGCGCAGAAGCAGCAGACCAAGCAGCAGCAGCAAAAGAAAGAGGAGGGGCAGAAGAACAACAACAACAACAATAACAACGGCCCGACCTCCGACGAGTTCATGAACTGGTGTTACAAGACTCTGTCGAATATTTCTGCCAATGTCGATAGTAAGTACCCCATTCGTTATCTTTAAAATAGGCACCGTTTATTTCTTTGTTTACGCAAATTTTTGAATTCAAAATGTAAAAAACGCATTTTGGAATGAGTCATTTCAAATAAAAACATCAAATGATGATTGATTTTTTATTTTGATAAAAAAAAATGAAGATGATCTTTTAGGTATCAAATATGAAAATCCGTTGCCGTTTTAATTTTTGGATTCTTTACTTTTAATCGGCAGAAATCTGAAATCGTGTCAATTTCTTACTCTCTTATAGTGGGCCAGAACTTTTTTTCTGTGACAAATATTGAAATTATTTTAATTTTGTTTTACTGTTCAGTAAGTGTGTTTTCGATATAAATTATTATTATCCAATTAGTTAATCTCATAAAAGATTGGTAAACCACTAAAGATTCATGATGATTTGCCAATTTTTGTGATTTTTGTCTGGCTCCTGTGCCTATTCTACCAAATCTAGAAAGTTATTTTTTTTCAGGTATCAAGTACTTATACAATAGACAACGTAACTATTATTTTAATTTTCTAAACTATTATTTTCTATATTAAAAAATTATTGAAACTTGATAATTCTTAAAATTAGTCAATTTTGCCCTCAGAAATCATTATGTTGAGGAAAATAAAAAATCTGAAACTTTCAGGAAATGTAGATCCCACCTTCATCTTTTCAGTCCAGTCTTGTTTTGTTATTTTTATTCCTTTAAAAGATATATTAATTTTTTTAATGCCCGTTTAGTAGCGATATTATTAGTTTTATTTATAATTTAAAATTTAGATGGCTTTCATGTTTGGTGGAAAAGTGTCAGAACTGTCAAAAATATTTCAAAAATATTATTTGTGCGTATTTCTTTGGTAAATTTTGTATATAACATAATATGTCATATTATGTTATATACAAAACTTTTTAAAATCGCCAAAGGAATACCACAAATAATAATTATGAAATATTTTTGACAGTTATGTTATATATTTATATATCATTGAGTAAAGAAGTCTTCTTTACTTCTTTATATATTTGGTAGTTATGATATATTTTATGTATACATTATAATGAAGTATTTAATTGGTTAATTGGCGTTTAAAGAAGAAAAATGTAAAAAATTTATTCAAGATCCTTATGGTTTATATCGTAAAGTATAATAAGTGAAATTAATAAAGAGTTAATTTAAACGTATTAAAAATGCGTTAAGCAGTTTTTTGTCGGTTTCTTTCACAATTTAAACCAAGTTAGTCTTGTTCTATTATTTTGATTTCTTTAGTAAGGCACTGAATAGTTAAAAGTTATATGTATGTATTTTAAATGTTAGTGTTGGAAAGAAAATTACACAATCTGTAAATACTTCTTTAAATTTTAGTTTTAAGGTAACTGGTTAAAATAAAACATGTTATAATAAAGGGTTTTATTAAGAATATTTTTTGGTTTTTGCTTATTTTTAACAATTTAATACTTCTCAGAACTTTAATATTTTCTATGAGAAAGAGGTACAAAATTATGATATTTCTTGCATTTTTAATTGCAATTAAATTCATGAATCTCGAACACTCTGTCATTTATTACACTTGCAAACTTTTTGAAATCACAATTTAAATAAGCTCAAATAATATTCATGAAATATTTTTGACAGTTCTTACATTTCTCCACCAAACATGAATTGACTAAGTCAAAGCCATCTAAATTTTAAATTATACATAAAACTAACAATATCGCTTTTTAACTGCATTAAAAAAATTATTATATCTTTTACAAAGATAAAAATAACAAAACAAGACTAACTAGACTGAAAAGATAAAGGTGGGGACTACATTTCCTGAAAGTTTCAGATTTTTATTTTTTCCTCAACATAATGATTTCTTAGGGCGAAATTGGCCAATTTTGAAAATTACCAAGTTTCAATAATTTTTTTAATAAAGAAAATGATAGTCTAGAAACTTAAAATAATAGTTACGTTTTCTATTGTATAAGTACTTGATAGCTGAAAAAAAGCAACTTTCTAGATTTAGCAGAATAGGCACAGGAGCCAGACAAAAATCACAAAAATTGGCAAAGTATCATGAATCTTTAGTGGTTTACCATTCTTTCATGAGATGAACTAATTAGATAATAATAATTAATATTGAAAACATACTTACTAGGCAGTAAAATAAAATTTCAATCATTTCAATAATTGCCACAGAATAAAAGTTTTAGCCTCTTATAAGAGAGTAAGAAAATGACACAATTTCAGGTTTCTAAAGGGTGCCGATTAAAATTAAAGCAACTAAAAATTAAAACGGCAACGGTTTTTCATATATGATACCTAAAAGATCATCCTCAAATTTTTCCATTAACAGGGCTCCCACACCTCCTAAAACTCATAAAATTCCTAAAATTTTGCTTAAATCTTGAAAACTGCTAAAATTGCATTCAATCTCCTAAAATCCTAAAAATTAAATTTAAATAGGCCAACCTGACTGCGTTTAATTAAGGTAGTGCTAAAAAAAATCTTTTTTAAAAAGTAATTAGCATGCTAAAAATACAATACTGAACATAATAAGTTTTTCTAGACAGATATAATTGTTCTATGATGGCGAAGGTAGTTAACTACTTTTAGACAAAAATGGAGTTAATGACTTTTGCCAGAACGGTGACGATATGTTCCTCAGATATAAACAAAAGTAGTAATTTTACCTCAATTTTAAAAAAATCTCGTCGAGCGATTTGACTAAAAAACTAGTCAATATAACTTATTTTTACAAAAGAAGTATTAATTTTTTCTTATTTTTTAAGTGGTAAAGAGTTGTTTTTATTTAATTAAAGAAATTCATTTCCTTACTTTATTTCTCCTAAAATTTTTGGGTTCCTAAATAAAATTTGTAAATTAGCCGTGGGAGCTCTGTGTTTATTACTTTGTTTACACAAATTCTTGAATTCAAAATGTGAAAAACGCATTTTGGAATGTAAAGTTTTTTGTTAAAAGGTAAATTTTCATATAACTTGTTTCGATGCTGTATCCACTTATTTTTGTGAAAACTAATTCTCGCTAAAGGTTTTTTTAGTGTAATGAGCATGTAGCATTTTAAGGTAATGGGAACTTAAATTATGACAACCCTAATATATTAATTTTTTCCTAAAATGCAGGCTTTATGTTGCAAATGTCACGTAAGTTACCGGTCACCAACTGCAATATCCTAACATTGATGAATATTTTAACAAAATGGCTGTTGAAACAAATAATGTTAGTGCTTGATTAACTAAAAATAGACTTTACTGCCGATTTATTTTAATTTACGATTGTTGACTACTTTACTGCCGATTTCGGATAAAATAATTTTTTGTCAATCTTAATTCTATTTTTAATTAATCAAGCACTAACATTAGTTGTTTGAACGGCCATTTTGTTGAAATATTCATCGATGTTAGGATATTGCAGTTGGTGACCGGTAACTTACGTGACATTTGCAACATAAAGCCTGCATTTTGGGAAAAAATTAATAGATTAGGGTTGTCATAATTTAAGTTCCCATTACCTTGAAATGCTACATGCTTATTACACTAAAAAAAACCTTGAGCGAGAATTAGTTTTCACAAAAATAAGTGGATACAGCATCGGAACAAGTTATATGAGAATTGACCAAAAACTGCCACGCTCCGCTTGTTCCTCAGTACCGACGTTCGCGTCGTTCCTGCGCGACATCGAGTCCGCCTTTGACGTGCGCGAGTACTGCAAGGAGTACCTGGGCGAGAGCGGCGCCACGCAGCAGTTCGCGTCGCAGTTCCTGGAGCGGCGGCGCAGCTTCCGGCCGAACAGGGCGCACGCGCACAAGGACGACATGTGCTCGCCGGCGCCCGCGATCACGCCCGGCGCCCCACCGGCCATCTCGAACGAGTTCCAGGAGGTCAAGGTAAGGTAATGGTCGCTTTTATTCACTCATCGGTGTCGTCAAGTGTGCGAGGTTTTGTTTTATATAAGTACGTTATGTCGGGTGCCGCGGTCCGTTTCAAGTCGATGCCCGCGATTTCTATATTGCAAATTTTTATTTGCAGAATGTTCAAAATTTACAAAATTTTCGACATTTACTAAACGGCCATTTCAAGCACGGTGCCCCTGAATAACTTTTAATTAAAAAGTTCAGACGTATCCGATTTTTACTCATATTTGGATAAAAAATCAATTACAAGACAATTTTTTTTCAGGATAAACTCAATTCGCTTGGCACTTTTTTAGAAAAATCATTTTTTTTTTAAACATTAATGATTTTTAATCAATTTTTTGTGATTTTTAATTAGTGAACTTCAAATAATGACTAACTGCTGTTAATGTATTTGTTACATAAAATGTGTAATTTGTTAGACTAAAATAAGGTTTGTGATTTGTCCTGTCTGTCCGCTTGAAATGGCTGTAAAGTTAAAAGTTGGTAAAATAGCGAAAAACATATCGACTTGACATGGATTGTCCTGTAAATGTTTTTGTTGATGAGGTGTTGGGGTTTTTGTAGAGATGGAAATTATTCGTGAAGGATTTTTTCCGGATTATTCGTTTTGTAACTTTTGTAGTCTATAGTTTGCATTGATTTCAAAATCTTAAATAAATGCATAATAATTAAAATTTAAATGCATTTTTTGTCAATCTCTAGTTTTATTTTTATTATATTTAAAAATTCGTAATACAAATCATTTTCTTAAGAAAAAAACAAAAACAATTGATGATATTAAGTGTAGATTTCTGCCTACTATGATTTAACACAATAAAATGTTTCCCCTTTTTTAAGAAAAATAAAAATGATATTTTTTTTATTCCATACAGGGTGTCACCATTTTTTTTTTAATCATTAAATTTTTTATAAATAAAGGGTTTTAGAGGGCGCTGTTTGCAACGTCCTCCATAAATCGAATTTTGCGTCAAAACGTGTTTTTTTTAATAAGTTATCAACTTTTGAATATAAGTAAATTTAGTAGACACCTTGTATATAATAATTTTTAAGAAAGGCATTTTATCATGGTAAATTGGGTTAAATCGTCATATTTGGAAATCTACCCTTAACATTTTCCCCTTTATTAACAAGACAGTACAGGGTGTACATCAATAAATTTAGCATTTTCTAAAATGCTAAATTTATTATCTATATTATATATTATAGAGATCATACATTTTATGTCACCTTTGCATGCATAAGGGGGATTTTACACTTTCGTCTAGGAACACACAGATCAGAAAGTTATGACGTCATTGTTGGAGGGACTAATTGACTATCTAATACATTGTTACCACATAGTTAAATTGAACAAAACTTATTATTAAAGTCTTTCAAGTAGCTTATGCTTAGTGGCACTACTACATACAATGCGACACTTAAAAATGTTGATTTATTTTATAAATAAATTAATATTTCACTACTTCCACACTATATTTTGTTTTGAATTGGGAATGTGGCAACAATGAACTGAGATTCTGCGATTAGTCCCTCCCTCCACCATCAATGTGCATGTCCAAAGCTTGCAGACCGGTTTTTCCTAGACGCGAGTCGATTTAACAACCATTTAATATAAAAAGGGTCACATTAATAAGTTTCATTAAAAATATATTTAAAAAACTGTTAATTTTGATAAAAAAATATATTAAAAAAAAACACAACTTTATGAAATCATAAAAGTTTTTTTTCTATTTTTGCCTTAAAATAAATTTTTAAAATAAATCACAATTACACAGGGTGTCCCAAAAATGTCACCCTACCACAAGGTAGGAAGGTTATTTTAAGTATAAAAGAGAAGTTTTAAAGATATTAAGAATTTAAGTTTGAAAAACTTGTCCATAAATCTCGTGACGCTAAAAAAAATGTCACGGGACAAAGTAAATCAAATAAAATTGCTTTTTTATTCCATTTTTGGTAAAATTATACAAAAAAAAAATTTTTGGGGGGTAGATTTATATACGAAGTACGAAATTCGCAATTTTAGAAAAATTGAATTTTTCTGCAAATTTCTCAATTTTTCCGTTTAAAATGCTAGTAAGTAGTGTTTGAAATGCTCGATAAAAACGATTATTTCGTTTTTCAAAAAAAAATTATTTATTGGACAGAAAGTATCTTTAACTTAAGTTACTTTGAAAAAGTATCTTAAAAAGTATCTAAGTTACCCAGTAAAGTAACCAAGATACATTTAAGTAACTTAGATACTTTAAAGTAACTAAGATACTTTCTTAGAGAAAATTGGGGGAATTACAGAATGATGAAACCTACAACTAGTTGAATTTTTATAATTTCATAATTTTTATTTAAACTTAAAAGTAACTTAGATACTCGGAAGTATCTCAGATACTTTCGGATAGTATCTTAGATACTTTTTAAAGTATCTTGTAAATAAAGATACTTTTAACTCAAAGTTAACAGAGGTAATTATTATTTTGTTTAAGTATCTTGGAAAAGTAACTAGATACTTTTCAGAAGTAACTTTCCCAGCTCTGCTTGTGGTTTTTACTCACAATTTTTTATTGTGACGGGCGGGACAAAACCGAGTAATGTAGTATAGTAAATACTATTAAAAAATTAAAATAAAAACCTTATAACCTCTTTTGGGACATCCTGTATACATATTTGTGATTTGGTAAATTTTACAGCTCGAAAAATCTAACTTTGTTCATAAAATGTCTGAAAATGAAACTTCTTAACTGTTGTTCATTGCAAAATTTTGCTGCTTGCTGTTGAAATTGGGTCGAAATGTTCGATTTGTGAGGATAACCGTTTGTTGCAGGGCAAAAGCAAGAAAAACAAAAAATCAAAAATGCAAAAAATCGACGCCAGAGCTCTTGGATTCAATGTGACTTCGGCTCCTGACAGGATTAATGTGGGTGATAGAGATTACGGTGATAATTCTTAAAGAAATAAGATTAGTTATATGTATGTGTACCAGAATCAGAATTGTTATAATCAATGTACCTTTAATTATACATATATAATTCTTTTAAATACATTTTTTTTTTAGTTTATTGGCTTATTTATGTGTAACACATTTTGTTTTACAAATTTTACTGTTTAAATATTAGTTTTACATAAAATTGTTGTTTTTATTTGTAATGAAACCCGTGGCAGTGCTTTATTGTTTATTTTGTAAAAAAATCCAACATTATGGGATACACAAGAAAACTGTTGATGCATTAAATCATACTTATAAAAACATCCAAATTTAAAATCATACTTCTGCGGTTAAAAACTATTTTCGCCATGCACCTCGACCTCTTCCACGCGACATTCCTCTTGAACCTCTATTACCTCGTCCTCTTCCTCCACTTGACCGATCTAAGTAAAAAAGTGTTATTTTTAACTCGTAAAAAATTAATTTTCACGTACCATAACTTTGGAAGTTGTTGCTGAACTTCCCGCTAGGTGGCTGATACATTTTCATGGTTTCTCCACTCCTATTAGGTCTCACGTGTTTAGTATTAGTGCCATTTCCATTACTAGCGTCGAAAGTAATGGGAATGTGGCGTTTTGCTACCCCACTGGAAGGGGAAGTAGCTACCGTAACCTAAAACAACCCCGAACATTAACATCAAAAAAAAAAAAATCGAAAAAAAACGCACCTTAGCTTTCTTCTCAATCTCATTCTTAAAGGACAACGCTACGTTGCATTTGTAGACCGGGGGCGAGTAAAACAAGTCCCTTATCAGGGTGTTGATATTACTCAACACGGACGGCGCTATTTTCGCTTTATCCGAGCTCTCTTTGTTCAAGTTGACCTTCGAACTGAGCACCGAATCCAGCGATTTCCGGCAACCCTGCACGCCTCTGGAAAAATACGTTAATCTCGCCCTAAAATCTTTCAGAACGTTTTGATCCGACGTCAGGAAGTCGGGGCATTGTCTGGCCAATCTGTGGAAGGCAAACAAAAGACATTCCACGGTGGAAAAGTCCAGGTTGGGCATTTCCGCCATGTCCGCGTTTTCCGGGGGAGACGGCATGTAGTCCTGGCGAAAATGTTCAGCATTAATACAAATCGGTTAAATGCGGTTGCAGTTAATCAAAAGAACACATTTTGGTTTTTCATTTATTTATTTATGTACCTATTATATTTCGACTGATTAATTAGCGAAATTGTGATCAAATATATTATCAAAATTATTATTACAGCGATCTATATAAAGTGAACTACGTCACAGTTGCTATTCAAAATCCATTTATTAACTTCCACGACCGCAGCCTTTTTATTTAATTATAAAACTGACATACCTAGTGTATTTATATTAAGTAAGCCTCATAAGGAGTACTTAAAGTACTCCTTATGAGGCTTACTTTAACAGACAATTAGCAGTCTTTAATACAAGTGTGTGTAGTTTTGTTAATTTACATTTTGTGACGTTTTGTTAAACCATGAGCTGCCACTGATTTAAGTAAAAAAAAAAGATTTTTACATCCAAAGATTTGCATTGGAAAACTGCATGATATTTGAATATATTATAAATCTGAATTTAACTAAAACTATTTTAAAACCACTAAAATGACCAAATACTACCTAATGATAACCTATATAACCCAAAATTACTTTTTGGAACTACCTAAAACAACTGAAAACCGTCTTAAAATGCCCTTAAAACTACATAAAATGTCCCAAACTGTACAAGCCTTTGAAGGTTTTAGATAATGATGTTTGTTGAATAAAAGAACGGACTTTTATTGCCTTTGTATTTTTTACTTTAAGTTCTCTTCAGGTGGAATGAATAAGACCTGGAGCTACTTAACTGATTTAGTAGTCTGCCGTGCTTAATGAAAACGCCGTAACCAACAATTTTGAGATTTTTGTTTTACGGCATTTTCTACTAGAACAATTCATCCTGCGTCTATCCCCTGTACTCAAAAAACCGTATCTATATTTCATATATATTTTTGAGTACCGGGGATAGACGCAGGATGAATTTTTTTAGTAGAAAATGCCGTAAAACAAAAATCTCAAAATTGTTGGTTACGGCGTTTTCATTAAGCACGGCAGTAGTACAGATCTATTTATATCCAAGCTTTGTTGCGTCTGGATACACCTAAATTGTTAATACGAAAATTTCGTTTAAGATTAAAAATTAATAGAGGGGCAAAACAAATTGTCCATATGCAAAGATGTATTTTTTGTTGAACAATAGTTATTTGTTTTACAAGTGTTGAAAAGCGACTTTTTCATGCGAGTTTTTAAGTTGCCCACGAGGCCGTTAGGCCGAGTGTGCATTAACACGAGCTTGAAGAAAGCTTTTCTCACAAGTATAACACAATGTTTTTTCTGCGTCCCTTTTATTTTTTATTATTTTAAAATACAAAACAAAATAACCTAAAAACTTTTTTGACAGCTGAATGTCAAACGATGATTTCCGGTTCTTTTCACACAGACCTGTCACTTTTCACACAGAAATGTCACTTTACATTCGTGTTTTGCCTTGCCAATGAAAAGATTCATTTTCTAAGCAACGATGCCACCATGAAAAGTGACTTTTACATAGTGGTCGTAGAAAAAAATAATATCATTCATTACCCTTAAAATATTGAAAATCTGTACAAGATGCAGCGAGGAAAAAATGATTTTTACACCCAAAGATTTGCAATGGAAAACAGCATGAAATTTAAATAAATTATAAATCTGAATTCAACTAAAACTGTTTTTATAAACCTCTAAAATGAGCAAATACTGCCTTGAAACTGCCTAACGATGACCTATATAACCCAAAATTACCCAAACTGCATTGAATTTGTAATAGATCATCTGTCTTAAATTACCCAAACTGTTGGGAACTACCAAACGACCAAAAACCGTCTAAAAATGCCCTTAAAACTACATAAAATGCCCCAAACTGTACAAGAATTTGAAGATTGTAGATAATGATGTTTGTTAAATAAAAGAACGGACTTTTATTGCCTTAGTATTTTTTACTTTTAAGTTGTCTTCAGGTGGAATGCATAAGTTAAGTAGAACAGGACCTGGAGCTACTTAACTCATCCAGTAGTAAGCACAGATCTATTTATATCCAAGCTTTGTTGTGTCTGGATACACCCAAATTGTTAATACGAAAATTTCGTTTAAGATTAAAAATTAATATAGGCGCGAAACAAATTGTCCATAACGAAAAGATGTATTTTTTGTTAAACAAAAATAAAATCTTTCTTACCTTTAATTTATCGAAAATCTGGACATGCAGCGAGGGAAAAATGATTTTTACACCCAAAGATTTGCAATGGAAAACAGCATGAAATTTAAATAAATTATAAATCTGAATTCAACTAAAACTGTTTTTATAAACCTCTAAAATGAGCAAATACTGCCTTGAAACTGCCTAACGATGACCTATATAACCCAAAATTACCCAAACTGCATTGAATTTGTAATAGATCATCTGTCTTAAATTACCCAAACTGTATAAAATGACACAAATTGTATTAGAGCTGTCTAAAATGACAAAAACTGTTTGGAACTAGTAGTAGAAACAGGACATGTAGCTGCTTAACTCATTCAATAGTACAAGCTTTGTTGCACTTGTATACACCTACATTGTTAATAGGAAAATTTCGATAAACATTAATAAAGGCGTGAAACAAATTGTCCATAACACGAAGATGTATTTTTTGTTAAACAAAAATAAAATCTTACCTTTAATTTATCGAAGATCTGGACAACATGCAGCGAGGGATTCTCCAGCTTTCCGCAATGCACACTCAGTTCCGATAACTGTTGCAATAATTTTATCTTCGCTTTTTCTCCGTCCTTGATGGTTCCGATATTGGCCCACTGCGGCAATATTTGGTCGCAATAATAGACCAGAAACTTATCCGAGTGCACGTTGGCGTTGAACAGGGGCAGAACGTAGTCGACGCACATCAAAATGCGGTCCGTGTCGTTGTTCTCCTCGTCCAACGGGTCAAAGTCCCTGTCGATTTCGGCCCTTTCCGCCACCAAATTCACGATTTCCTGCTGCCCGACGATCGTCCTGCCCAGCTTGCTGGACTTCAAGTAGGGGAGGATCACGGCGAACTCCGTGGCGCTGGAATCCTGTATGTAGGGTTGGGAAAATTTCACTTTTTGCTTGTACTTGAAATTTTCACGACATTTATGAAATTTATTAAAATTTCCTAAATGTCTGAAATTTCATGAAATTAATTGAAACTTTCAATAAATTTCAATCACTTTAAGTGTAATATACAGGGTTCCCAGCATTGTTTGCTACTTCTTTTTAATGATTTTATGACAAATTTTTCAAATTTTATGACACTTTTTATGACAAGAATTTATTATTATTTTAATAAAAAATATGTAATTTTTTAACGGTTTATTATATAAAAATAAATATTTTTTCTCGCATCAAAATAAATATTTCTTCTATTATATTTTTAATGTATGTTACTTTAGTATCTTACTATAATAGGTATTATAATCTCAAAATAAATAAAACCGCATACTATTTTTTTTTTGCTTTTTTGAGACCCATGTTAATCATTGTTTGAGCCTCCAATATTTTAGATTTTTTAAGAGTAATCTTATTGTTAAGGGACTTTGATAATTTCTTATTTCCTTCAGAAATTTCTTGCTATTTTTAACTCTGCTTCCTAACTTGCCAAACTACTATCAATTTCTTCAAGTCCTTCTTTGCGTTTGCGCTTTCTGCCTTCCTTTTATAAAGTAATATAGTAAATAACTTTACCATTCTCATTATTTATTTCAAATTTTGAAATTCCCATAGATTAAACAAAGTTTTCCTTCATAGTATGAAGTTTATACGTCAACAACCAAGGCCGTTTTTAAAACATTTGCGTTTTATTTTACAGGACCGGCTTTAAAGTTTATTTAACAAAATTTCCATTCTATAAAAAAGATCAAAGGTGAGAAAATTGTTCAAAATAATGAAATTTTATGATTTCTATGACAAAATGTAGTTTTTATGACATTTTAGGAAAATTTAACCTATTTTATGATATTTAAAAATTTTATGACAAACAGGAACCCTGAATATATTAATATTGAAATAAGCCCACTCGGTGACCATGGCAAATTGCCTCTCTTACCTCCTACCCCTCTGTGGGCCCCTGCACCAATAATATAAATAGCAAATACCTATGTTTACCACAAATTTCTTGAGATTTCCTTTTAAAATATTTTTTAAATTACTAAAACTAAGAGATATATAGCACTTTTTGGTAAGCTAATGAGATTGTGCCACTTTCATTGTTTTATATTTATATATATTTATTATTTTTATACTGAAATTTTACAAAAATTGAAGAAACTTCATGAACCAAAGGCATTTTTTATCCGTTTTCCGATACAATTATAGCAAAAGTAAAAGTTTAAATTAATCATGACTTTAAAAAAAAATTTAAAGTCTGATTTAATTTACAAATTAAGTTGGTAACTGAATTAAATTATTTAAATTAATTTATGCATATAAGTAACAATAATTACTTATAGTGTATTCAAATCCAAGCCGAACTAAACAAAAACGCCCAGACGCTTGATAACTCGTTCTTATTGGTCGATTCGGAATCTGTTGTAAATTAATATTAAAGGCCCCAGGGGAGGCCGCATGTGAAATTTATGCGAAATTTTCAGTAAATTGCGAAACTTTCAATGAAATTTCTGAAAGTTTCACAGGCAATGTTGAAAGTTTCGAATTGAAAATTTCATTTGAAATTTTTAAAAATTTCACTTTTTCAACTAAATGAAATATTTCAAGTTTGAAACCCTACCTGTATGGCCTTTTTGGCCTCCTCGATCATGATGTCGTCCAGCTCGGCGTTGGGTTTGTCCTGCGGCACCTTGATCAACTTTTCAAACAGAAACGCTATGCACTTCTCCCTCAAAGAGTCCTCTGTGGTCGCGTGAATGTGGTTGAATATGGCCTTTACTACGGTGATAGGCTCGAGCCTGTACACTTGCGTCAAACCGTTACATGCTACGGCGTAATCTTGATCTTCCAGCTGCAGTAGCTGCGCCAGAATGTCGGCTATTTTAAATACATGCTCTTTGGTGTCTTTACATAGCTTCGGCAGCACTCTCATGGCGTAAGTTCTTATCTACAACACGCAATTCGCAATTTGTAGATATTACAAGAACAAAAAATATCGTGTGGAATTACTTCTACACTCCATATTTTGTTTTTGTTATGACATGAGAATGTCAACAGCAATTACCGCCTTCTTCCATTTAAATGGACGTCAGGGACATGCGCAATACATACATACATGTACTATGCTCCACACCTCAAAGTTTTATTTTAAGGCTTTTCAGGTTATGTATCTGTCAAAGTATAGTCAACGAAAGAAATAATATTATGTTTAGGCGTTAAAAATGTATAAATTTGTATAACATTACAATAACAATGGATGGTTTAAGAATTTAAGAATATAAATACTGCATTTAATGAAATTCTAAAGTGTACAGTGCCAAATAAGTAATATTTTTGTGCATTTGGTCCAAATATCTGGTTTTCTCCATCAAATAATTTTAACTAAACAGCATTTATTTTAAAAAAATCTAGCTTCTCTATTATGGAATAAGAATATCTGTATTAAAGGTAGGTTAATATATTATAACAAGAATATCATCTAATTTTGTAATTTTAAGGTTAGAAAAATTTATTTTGACCAAAATAAATAAGTATTTTGGATTGACTGTATAATATGGTATTTAAAAATGTGGTAGTTTTTCTTATCCAGCTTAAAGTGTACCTACATAAAGTTTTGTCAATACAAATAGTTAAAAAGCTTTGACTGAATTTGATCTACATCAAAAAATCATTATAACTTTAAAAATTTTAATAAATTACATGTCATGGGAGTATTAAATATTTTCACATAGCAAGTTTCTATAAAAATTGTTTGTTTTCTTATAATCTAACTTAAAGTAAGTATGCCGAGAGGTATGCACAAGTTTTGTATAAAAGCTTCAATTTAATTTGAACTATATTCAACAGTTATTTAGTATACCTATATTTATTTATGACCATATTAACAGGCCCTTTCAAATAATCCACTTATTTATTTCGGTCAAAATAGATTTTTCTAACATTAAAATACAAAATTAGATGATATTTTTTGTTCTAATACAGATACAGATATTCTTATTTCATAATAGAGAAGTTAGATTTTTTTTAATAAATGCTGTTTAGTTAAAACTATTTTATGGAGAAATGTAGACCCAATGCACTAAAATATCACTTATATCACTCGTATTGCACCTTATACTTTGAAATTTCATTAAATGCAGTATATATATTCCTAAATTTTTAAACCAACCATTGTTATTGTGATACTATAAAGATTTATTAACTTTTAACGCTTAAACATAAGCGGTAACACTATAAATATTATTTCTTTCGTTGACTATACTTTGACAGATACATAACCTGAAAAGCCTTAAATGCCAAATTTTCAAAAGACTGCGTTCCGTACGTGGTCACGTGGTGGGACTTTGAGGTGTGGAGCATAGTACCTGACAAAGGTTTACAGGTCTAGTAAAATTTCACTAGATCTAGTGAATTTTGAACCAATCTAGTGAATTAGGGAAAACTTTTTAATGATTTTTTTTTAAATTTTTGTAGCAAATACAACGTAATTGGGGTTTGGTGTCACCAACATGTGAGTAATTCCACTTTTGTGGGTAATTTCATGGTCTAAGTAATTTTATAAGTAATCATAAATGTATATTTTTTGATTGGATTTTTACTGACATATTTGACAACTCGGAAAATTAACGTTTGTTTTTTGATAATTGGCATTGGCATTGTGTGTGATAAATAAGTAAACCCAGAAACTTTTAAGATTAAATTGGCATAATCAGTTGGCAACACTTTTTCAAATACAGTTTTTTATTTGAGCTTTTGTTTTTAAATTAATGATCTTTTGTTTTTACATACCTACACCTCTTTATCTTCGTTAATTTATATTTTGGTTAAAAATGAGTATTACACAAAAATTGTAGATTTTAAACTAAAAATTCCAAAAAACTTTAATTAACGAAGATAAAAAGGTTTAGGTATGTAAAAACAAAAGAAGGTCAATAATATGGAAATAAAATGCTCAAATGAAAAATATTTATTTGAAAAAAGTGTTCTACAACCTCTATCAAATTATCGTCGTTGGTTGATATTTTTGATGAAAATGTTTTACACGAAAAATGTAGATTTTAAAAATCCGGTCATAAATAACAGAGATAATAAAGCTGGGTTCTAACAGAGAAATAACGTAATATAATTTAATTTAACTTTAAAAGTAATTTAATTTAATTTACTTGCGTTCATACAAAAAGTAACGTAATTTAATAGTGTTTGAAATTAAAAACAATATTTTAAAGAGAGTGCTTACTTAATGTATATAAAACTTAAAGTTTTAGATATATATGGCTTACTTTGGTAATTACAATCGAAATATTTGTCTTATTATTAAAACCGTTTACACAAAATAGGTTAGATTCTCCCGAAATAGGTTAGATAATACGAAATAACCTTGAAATAACGTAATTTAATTGACCATATGCAAGGAATGCGGTCGATGTTGCCAATGGTAAAAAAATAAAATTCCCTATTGAAAACATTCAACTATATATTACGTTTGCTACATTGAAAATTTGAATTTCCCGCACAAACTAAATTAATTTCCATCTTTTTTTTTAATAATAATAAATAATAATAATTCCTACATTTGAAATTCGCACCTTAATTTATTATACAACATTGGAACTACCTTCTTTATCTCTGGGAACTCTAGAATGTATGTCAGTTTGTGCGGGAAATTCAAAATTTCAGTGTAGCCAACGTAATATAATTCAATATTCCCAATAGAGAATTTTATTTTTTTACCATTGGCAACATCGACCGCATTCCTTGCATATGGTCAATTTAAAAGATAAAAGTTGGCCAACTATTAAATTAAGTTTTAAATTACATCACTGTATGAACGTTACAAAGGATTGTTGGGTTTTTAACTTTTAAGTTAAATTAAATTACATCTTAAATTAAATTACTTTTCTGTTAGAACCAGGCTTAAATAAGGTTTATGTAAAAACCAAAAAGGTTGATAATTTAAAAATAAAAGGTCAAATGAAAAAAACCATTTATTTCAAAAAATGATATCTACAACCTTTATTATATTGTTTATTTTTAGTAGAAATAAAGCGTGTTATAGTATTTAAGCTATATTAAGTTGTCGATAAGATGTTTATTTTTTATGTTTATGGATTTTTACTGTTTTCGTTCAATTATAATTTTATAGGATAAAAGCATTGGGAAAAATTAAAAATTGTGTATTATTTTTCTTATTCACTTATAGTTATACAAAAATATAAAAAAAGGAAATCTCCTAATTTAATAATTTGGTATTGTTTCGGCACAAAATAAACAACAAACAGAACACCAGTGCCCTCTTATTTCGGGAAATCATTTGTAACATGGAATTCAGGTTTAAAGCATGGAACCTGCACACCTGATTTAAATATCTCTCTACCGAGTTAAAAGTTGGTCAATAATTTTTAACTTTCTTAATAAAATTTGAAATGCTGCTTGGCCCCTCAAACTAGTTTAAAATGCAACTTACCTGTATGGTATCATCTTCGCACAAATCCAAAAGGGCATTGAGGGCTTGTTCTTGCAGGGAGGGAAAATTTTTGAAGAACTGTGAAATAATTTGTGCAGCAAGCAGTTTTTCCTTCTCTCCGCCTTTCGTGCCTTCTATACAAGCCGCAAAATCGTCAGTTACCTACCGAAAAAACGCAGACGAACATTGGAAAAATCGTTTTTTGACAAATAAATACCAAACTAACCTGTGTGGAGTCTTTGGCCGCGCCTAATTTGTCGTATCGCACGTACAAGTCGTTTAAATCCACTGCCATTTTAATAAATATTTCGTCACTTTATCATAAATTCGGGCCGTTTTTAATGTAAAATGAATTGTTGTGGAACAATTTAAATACCGGTAGGGAGTAGAAATCAAACGCGTGCAGTGGCCATATTGGCTTTTACGATTGTGACGTTTAACAACAGAGGGCGCTCACTAAATTTATGAAACTGTAATAAAACCAGTTATTTATTTTGATAAATGTTAATTTTACAATATATTTTTTAATATTTACTGTATTTTATTTATTTATATTGTTATACTTTCGTTATCTTCGATATATTTGGAAAACTATACATTGTAATCTGGGTTGCCTACCTACAAATTATAAGCTTTGGAAAATTAAAAAACATCAGTCTTGTGCTTATAAACAAATTAAAAATACATAATAAACATTTTTTGTCCAAAACATAAAAAGATTTTGATTTTTTATTATTTTATTGTTGTCATTTTCCTGATTTCAAGATTTAACTCAAATTTTTATAATTAATTTTAAAAGACTATTTTGTAATAACAGAACGTTCTGTTATTTTTAATTATGTTAGCCCTTATAATTTTTCAAAAGGTTACATTTTAAGCAAAAATATTTTCTAAAATCCAAAATAGAAATAGAAATATTCGTTGGTAATTAGACAGATAACTACATTTTGTAGAAGCCTGTGAATAAAACAGAAAAAGGATATAATAAAATAAGAAGGGATTACGAGGTGATCTTAGCTCTGCAATTTAAATAATAAAGAGAACCGTTAAAAACAAATGACTGGCCATTAAAACAAAACGTTCATCCCTCGAAAATCGGGGCGGCCGCTTTTAAAATTCGAGGCACGCTGTATCAACACGATATGAAATCTCGGGAGGCGCTGAGAGCCTGTAAATCAAGTCGGGCCGCGAGACTAAGCGACCCTCAGGGAGGCATTTCAAGCGACGAAAATCGCACACTATTTATTCCGATATGATTCATGAAGTGCCAAATGCTGCGAATTTCGTTTTGGAGAAGCGGGCGGTTAAATTTGTCAAGATTTGAATGTTTGGAGATATCGTCGTCTGGCTTTTATGTCAAATGATTGTAAAAACATCCATCCACTGCACGGGGGGTGGATGGATACGTCACCGGAGGCGTCACAAATAATTATTACCTTTTGTAAACACAAACGTCTTCTTTAACAGTACCTAGGATGTTTCTAAAACAAAATGCTTTGCAAATAAATAAAATATTTTGCATTACAAACTGGCGCCCATAATATAAAATTGTTAATTTTAATGATTGAAAAATACAAGTTGTGTATTGTTTTTATAAAAATATAAAGAAATCGGAAAAAAATCAGGATTAACTTATGAAATTTAGAAAAAAAATATTTTTTTATATTAAAATAGATTGTTTTATGAAAAAATCGTAAAAGACGTTTTATGTAAAGCGTAACATTCCTATAAAAAAATTTGTCTTCTATATTGTTGCATGTCTATTAATAAGCGAGTTAAAAATATTTTTTTATCCATTTTCCGTTCATAATGATTTCATTATAACACTTTTGGTGCTGTAATGAGATACCACCCAAAATTTTGATTTTATAGGTTGGCTATACTTTAAACAGCATAATATTTTACATATTGGTCATAATATTTTTATGATTTTTCTAGTACTTACAAGACTTTTCTGGCAATAAATTTTGGTTTACACCAAAGAAAATCCTTTTTTCCTTCTTTAACATTAACAGCCGCTTATTGTTAATAAATAAATTAAGAACTCTACAGTGTTCTAAAATAATATATTGTCGGCATTTTTTTGTCCGACTCTAAAATTATCTTTCGTTATAATATTTTTGTAGCGTAAGTAATCAGATAGAGGAACAAGTCCTTTATCAGGTGTTTATTGCATGATTTACAGCATACATTTCGAAAAGTTTATCGCTTTATTAAAAGATTTTAGACCTTTTAAAAGAGTTGCACCTTAAAGAAATATATTCATAATTTATACAGGGCTTTTAATAAAAAACAAGCCACCCTTAATAACTTTTAAGTTATAGTAAATATGATCTTGGACAAAAACAAGAATTCGCGAGTTAGAGCCATGGCATTTGCAAAAAAAATGTTATATATAATAAATAAATAAAACAAAGAATTTCATACAAAAAATATATTCAAAAAATGTTTTATTTGCTTCTTTTTAATTTACCTTTTACTTTTAGCAGAGTTGTTACACGTTTTAGTTAAAATATTTGCATTGATATATCAAACTACCTAAATACTATAAATATTATATTACAAAAATATTATAAATATTATATTAGAAACTTATTAGTAATAATAAGTTATTACCCAGTAATTAGAAAATCAGATGGACGAACAAGAAAACTTGTTGCTTGTTAAAGGACATTTGTACAAGAAGTAGCTCCTCCTCACTATGTTTTAGCAGTCACAGAATGGTTAACCCAAGGTTTCCCGAGATATATGGATTGGTAGAAGAGGTGCTCAAGAATGGCCGGCAAGATCTCCAGATTTAACGCCACTTGATTTTTTCTTTGAGGTAATTTAACAGTCTACAAAACACCACATTATTGCAAGAACTCAAACGAAGAATAATTCAAGAATGTAGGCAGATAAATTTTATGTGATTCTTTTAGCACTTAGCTGAACACAGAAATGACAAACTTAACATATTTTACTGCCATGCATTGTGTTATTTTTAATATATTATTAAATTCGTTTAATTCTTTCTTTGAAAAGATAAAAAATTACATATGATGTTGCATTATAAAACACACAAGCGCATTAAGACAGGTAAAAAGTCTTTAGTACCATAAAATTAATTACCACTAAAGTTTTACAGCTCAATCCCCAAAAAGCTCATAATAATTGTTTTATTAGTAATAAAACAGCACTTTGAATGCACCAAATTGATTATAGGAAAAAGAAAATGCCTCGTTTTTTGTTAGTTTTAGTTTTCTTTCATATATCACGCAGAATTTTAAGCTTAAGTAACTAGATATTTACTTATTAAGTTATTTTTACAGTAAATACGAACCTAAAGTGCCCATGTAACACTAATGCTCTTATTGCGATCTCCAAGGTCACAATAAAACTTTGAATAAAACCAAACGATCTTCAAGACAACCTTAGGACCATCATAAAGCATCTTCCAGCCAAAAAGGGCCCATACTAAAAGGGTTTTCAAGACTAAATTCTAAAACTATATTAAAACCATTTAGTTTTAATTTTATATTCTTAAAAAGTTCTTCAAGAATCAATATAATTAATCCTAAAAGGGTTTTATTTTGTTTACTAAAGTGAGACAAATTTTATGTGAAATAGTTAATGGCAGAATGGTAATTATAATGATAATTTAAGCTTATTTAGTTTTATTTTTTAAATTTATTTATTTTTTAAATTTTAATTAAAGTAGGTGCTCAAAATGGTGGCCTTCGACTTCAATGCATTTATTAATTCGCATTTCGTTTTAACACTGCTCTGCTATTACATTAATTTCATTATTTCCACCTGTGACTGTTGCTCGACGAACTCTTTTTTTCGGTTGAACACTCCCGTTTGTAGTAAACTGCTTGACTGTACGGGTGAAATGAAGTACGTAATCGAATTTTATCAGGAAAACGCGGAGCGTAGATATTTAACAGCATCATCAAGATTCCTGCCTGCTTCTTCATAAATCAAAATCATTTCTATTTTTTCTTCCACTGTTAAAAAATCCATTATGAATAACTGCTTAACGAAAGGATGTCTTTTTGTTTGCAAATTAATCTTCGAACTAAATTGATTAAATAATGCTAAACTATAAATAGTTTCTTTATACCTCAATAATTATTTAACTAAATACCATTTTTTATACCTTAATTAGGATTAAATTACTTAATTTACAAACCTTAAATGATGGATTTTTATTAAAAATAGTACAATAATCCTTTAAATTAAAGGATTTAATGCGGGCAGGTAAAAAGTGACCATGGTGCGAATTGATAATTATCACCGAATTAATTTAATTCAATTAAATAATGTATAAAACTTAAACCAAAGGAAACTTAAATATTAGTTAAAAAATAGTGGGTACTTAAAAATCAGATTTAATTTAATAAGGTAATTATTACCATAAAAAGAGATATTTTTATAGAAAAATTATTGCAGTATCGTACAGAAGAAAAATCGAACAAAATTGATTTTTTTTTTCATTATAGCGCCATCTATTACAAATATGAAAAAATGTTTTAGACAAAATCTACCTATTTTAATTAATAACACCCTCAAATTCAATTTTTTTGTAAATTTTCGACATCATCATTTTTGTAGTTTAATATCATATCAATAATTTTATTTTAATAAAGATTTTTTTTAAATACAATTGCCATTGCCATTTATTTACTACCTTACCATGCTGTTGAGAAAACCTAAATATAAGTGCAATCAAATTTATTGAATCAATAATACATTACTTACTATTCTCTAAAGAAGCTAAAGTCGTAGGTAAGTTTTAACAGTGTTTAGTGGTAAAAGGTTTTTAACAAAACCGTTAATATAATATAAAATTGTTAATATAAAATCTATGCCCACTGAATAATCTAAATATAATAAACTTATGTACAAAATAAAAAAAATAAAAAACTTATATAATGTTAAACCCCCCAAAACTCATTATTATTGAATAACTTTATAATGATTGGATGATTATATTACGTTTGTCTAAAATATTTGTAAAAATGATTACTTATATACATTTTTACATATTTAATAATAAAATGCACAAGATAGGTAGGAAATGTTTAATTCTCTCTAACATAAGTATAGCAATTACCTGAATTAATAGGCTTAGAAGTTTCGATGATCCGAACAATAATTTTGGGCCTGCATTATTTGCAGAAATTCAATTAGGCGACAAATAAACCCAACAAGACAAATAGCAACAAACATTCGTAATTCAAAAGAAACACCTTATCGTTGGTTGTTATTTAAAAGGCTTAAAATGTCTAATCTTGTTAAAATTTTGGGCAGGGCAGTCCCCAAGTAACAAGATTATGTCGTAAAATTTGCCGAATTCCGTACCTACAATTTAGTTTCCAGTGATTATGGCAGTTTTGCCGAAATTATTCAAATTATCTTCTACCTAGGTACTATTTCGAACAAAAATGCTAAATAGACTGGAAAACCTTCTTAAAGAGTGCGGCATGTTTTATTACATGGCAATTTTTATGAATCATCCTCGATTGCAATTTAAATGCAAGAAAGTAAATGTAAAAAATAATTTACACAATACTCCCTTAAAATACAATATTTTTAACGAATGACCACTTTTGATGGATGTTAATGTTCACAGATTTTTTTGAGGAATTCCTACTACCCAAGCCGTAAATGACCGTAAATATAAATTTTGATAATTAAAAAAAAAAATTTAATCGAACAAAAATTGTATGCGAGGCAGCACTGGAACTTTAAAAATTGTCGAAAAAGTGATTTTATTTTTTTTAAATATGGTTTTTAAGGCAAGTAGCACAACTGGTTAAATAACTAGCATTCTAAGTAAATTATTCAAAATTCAAAAAAGTAAAATAACATTTTTTTAAACTTGTTTTAGGTTACTGTGAAGTTTATAGTGTGAACTAAAAAATAACCCTTTGATTTTTTTAACTTTAAAATTTCAATGGAACACACTATTTTTTATTGCAGTCCCGATTGTGGTAAACTGCTTGACTGTACGGTGAAATGAAGTAAGTAGGTAAGTGATCGATTTTTTTCCGGAAAACGCTGACCGTAGATATTAACAGCATAATCAAGATTCCTGCCTGCTTCTCCATAAATCAAAATCATTTCTATTTTTTTTTCACTGTTAAAAAATCCATTATGAATGCAAATTAATCTTTAAACTAAATTGATTAAATAATGCTAAACTATGTATGAATAGTTTCTTTATACCTCAGTAATAATTATTATTTATAACTAAATACAATTTTTTATACCTTAATTAGGATTAAATTAATTAATTGACAAAATAATGTTTTTTTACCTTAAATGAGGCATTTTTATTAAAAATAGTACAATAATCCTTTAAATTAAAGAATATAATGCTGGCAGGTAAAAAGTGACCATGGTGCGCAATTGATAATTATCACCGAATAAAATAATGTATAAAACTTAAACCAAAGGAAACTTAAATATTAGTTAAAAAATCGTGGGTACTTAAAAAATCAGATTTAATTTAATAAGATAATTATTACCAAAAAAGTGATATTTTTATAGAAAAATTATTGCAGAATCGTATAAGAAGAAAAATCGATTTTTTTTTCATTACAGCGCTATCAATTACAAATATGAAAGAAGTTTTAGACAAAATCTACCTATTTTTAGTCGAATGATCCGAATCTGCAATAAAAAATAGGGTGTCCCATTGGAAATTTTAAAGTTACCCCCTGTTCCCCCTATAAGGAGGAGTGTATGAGGACCAATTTTAGTACTGATTGATTTTACCCCTCGAATCTTTTAATTTTTATTTTAAACATTTTTTCGTAAAATGCACACTAACTGAGATATTTCAAAGTTTCAAGTTAAATTACTCACCCTGTAAGGTAAGTTCAAAGGTTATTTTTAGTAGAGTTTAATTTGACTATAGGTAAACCAAATATTTAACTATAGTTAGTAGTATTTCATTTAAGTTAAAAAGTAGGTTATTTTAGAAATTACCTAACGTTATTATAACGTTTAGAAATTACCTAACGTTATACCATTTACTCAATGGTTATACATTACGTTATATATTATTATTATAAATATATTATTTATATTATATATTAATATATAATCTACTATCTATTAACCTTTAAAATGGCGAAGACTATTTAGTTTTTAGACCTATTTTGGTTTAGTTTAACTTTTCATATTTTTTTTTGGTAAATTAACCACAGCTTTAGTAAAATTGCATACATTTTGTTACCCAAGAAGTTATATTTTACCAAATATATGTATTTTAACTCGCTGGTAAATTAACGTTAATTAATAACTGGTTAAAAAAGTAATGTTTTTGCAGTTTTCATTGTTACCTGCGTACAAAAATTGGTCTTAATACAGCAACCTAAAAGTTGTAAGTTTTGTGTGACAATGGAGCCTTAAAAATAATTTTAAAAAATATAGACTTTCTTCAACTTATTATAGAAGAGTTAACAAAGTTGTAAATAATTATTTATCTACCAATCTTAAAACAGTCCCCTCACATTTAATTAATTTTGTAAGCATAGCAAAGGTTTTATCACCAAAACCAAAGAATTATAAATTACCGATTGGTAAATAAAGTAGTAAAATTATACACAATTAAATAACCAAATGGTTTATTAGTATATTAAAGAACTAATGTCATAAGACGTCATTTTGTCGCACGCGGACAATTTATAAAACGAGCGACAAAGGAGCGAGTTTTGTAATGGACGAGTGCGACAAAAGGTCATGACATGAGTCTTTATGCTGTTTTATCTATTTTGCAAAAATTCTATAAAAAAATTAATTTTATACCTTACATTTAATTTGGTCAAATTTTACTTTAGATAGTTGGTATTAAAGTCATTGGTTTGCCATTTAATGTCAAAATCGATTCGCCATGCCGTCTTTAATTTACTTATTTACAATAAGCGGCTGTTAATGTTAAAGAAGAAAAAAAAGATTTTCTTTGGTGTTAAACAAAATTTATTGCACGAAAAGTCTCGTAAGTACTAGAAAAATCATAAAAATATATTTTTACATAAAATCAATAGGCAAAATATTATGCTGTTTAAAGTATAGCCAACCTATAACCAAAAATAGGGTAATTTAAACAAACTAATAATAAAACAAAATATTATTTTATGTTTAAAAGTTTTTAAATCAATTTCAAACAAAATAAAGAAAAAACAGGCAAAAAATATATTTTTTTATTTCCTTTATTTCTTATTTTTACTACTGTACTTCTTTATAAAAAAAAATGTGGCATTGAATTTTCCCTTGTAAGGAATAGTTTTATAAAACTATCTCTTTAAAATACAGCACTTAGTATTTCTTTAACTGATGACACTATGAAAATTTTAAATTTAAATTGAAAAAATATCAAGGGGGATAACTGTTGAGGTATTTATTATATATTGTATATTACATTTAACCCCCTGACCTCCAGAGCACATTTCTTTTTAATTTATTTTTACCAAAATTGAAGTGGATTATCTCACGAATGTATGAAATGTATTAAATTTTAATCCGAAAATTAAAATAATGCAAGTTTTCAAACTGTTGCGTTTACTGTACCGTCGCAGCCATTCATTTTAATATTTAGTGTGAAACTACGTTTAAAATGCTTACCTTTATTTACATTTTTTTACTAAAAACAAAGTTTTTGTGAATTTTTTTTATTTTGTTATATCTGATATAATTTAGTGTTTCGACAAAATTTTATAGTGTCGTCAGTTAAAGAAATATTAAGTGCTGTTCGTTTTAAAATTGTCACCCTGTATATGAGAATTAATATAAAGGAGAGAAATTTTATTTTCTATAGATAATTATAATTACCTATACGGTAAATATAAACTTAAACCCGTTAATTAAGTTACTTGGTTAAAAGTAGTTAAAAAAGTGGTAAATATTACCTTCTTTTTAACCAAAAGGTACATTAATTTATTTATTATTATAAAATAAAGTTAATTTAAGGTTAATTTAACTGTACAGCACAATATTACTTAAATAAATTTAACGTAAATTTAATTAACAACTGTTAAAAATACCTAATGGTAATTTTTCTAAACGTTTACCATTGAAAAGTAAAATTACAAATCTTAGTTTCTATAGAATGACATTTACTATTACTTGACAGGATATTTTTAGTAAGCATATTTTTCATACTAAACTTACTTAATTTTATTAAAACTGTAACAGAGGTAGACATATTTTTACATATTTGAAACAAATTTAAATTTGGACTTACCTGTGATTTACCTCTTTCAATTCATAACCAGATTAATATTTTATGGATTAAATATTAATTTGTGAAATCCTCGGCATTTCTTTTAATCCTATTACAATTTAAATACTTCAGTAGTGCCTAATAAAAGAAGAAACGAATTTGCAAATTTTATTGCCCTATCGCTCGGTACGACGCGTCGGCTTTTTAAAATTTTATGGTTAAAGCAAGACTGTAAAATTGTAAACCGAGGATTATTATTTATGTAAACAAACATGAATGAAGAATGTCGTGACTTTGATTTAGTTTTTTACTATAAACAACAACAATTAACTTTTTAAAGTTGTCGTACCAATTGGCTAAAAAAAATTTCTGCTGTACACGATAGTTAAATTCATAAGTGTTTTAATTTACTGAACAATTTGGCGTAGGACAACATCCTGTAAATCGTAGAATTTAAAAAAATGTTTTTCTTAAATTAACCAACGCGTCTTTAAAACGTTTAATTAAGATTCAATTTACTATTAAAATCCATTCTTTAATGGACCTAAAGTCACGAATTTAATTTCGGCACGAGCGAGTTATTAAATGAGTGTCTAGAAAAGTTTTAGCCCGTGACTAAAACGCCATAAAGTCACAGCTTGTTAATGTGGGAGTATTATATTTTGTATCAAGTTTTATAAACGCCATTTTGTTACGAGTTTTATTAGGCACGAGCGAAGCTTGCGAGCGAGTGTTAAATAAAAACTAGTGTCTAGATAAGTTCATAAAACGAGTTGCATATACCTATTGTGATTCAAGCCGTAACTTATTTTTTCTACTCCCACCTTTAAAACGCCCTTTATGGTACATGTTTCCATGACACTAAGTGACCTTTTAAATACACATTGACAAGTTGTGGCTTTATGGCGCTTTAGTCACGGGCTGAAGTTAGCAACAGGTTTTTAGTCACGGGCTGAAGTTAGTTTTAAGTTAGTTGACAGTTGTCAAATGTCATATAATCGTTAAAATAAAGTGCCTTTCTTGTAAAATAATACTAAATGTGAAAATTATTTTATTATTTCAATACAAAAATACAAAAGTATTAAATAGTTTCTCAACGCCAATATTTGAAAAGTTTATATGAACATTGTACTGACCTTTTAATTTCGCGCCGGCAGTAAACTATAACTTAAATTCGGGCACGGACTACACTGTAAAGTGCTCATAAAACATTTTCTTTACTTTCACTGTGAAAAACTGTCAATTTTCAAGAAATACATTTCGATTTAGAACCTTTATAATCTGTGTTTATAAAATATAAAAATTTGACATTTGACGGTGACACACAGATTCCCTATTGTTTCATAGATGGCGATCTATACAAATTATTGATTTAAATCATTTTAAGATAATAATAAGTATTTGTCGTAGACTATTCCACTCATTACTTTTTGGACCAATCAGATTTCAGAAAACGAGTGGTTTTTTCAGTTTTGCAGCGATAAAACTACTATTCAGGTGAAAAAACCACTCGTTTATACTGCCGTACTTAGGGAAAAGGCAGTAAAGTGCAAAAAGCTAAATTGGAGAAAAATAAAATTTAAATTTCAGATAATTTATAACGAAATTAATAATATTATTCTTCTACAATTATATATAAATGACTAATAATATTTTACATGGTTTTCTAAGAAGTCATTTGCGTGTGTATTTAAAAAGTAATTAATTGGCGGGCCTAAAATAAATGACGTACTGTCTTTTATTGCTGTAAACCAAAAGGCAGTAACATATGACTTACTGCCTTTTTACTATGTAAAACAAGATTACTGCTTTTTTCCGTTGTTTTTTTTAATTGTCATATTAATTATTTTGTTAAAAAAGCGCAGTAATTCGGAATAAAATTTTTTTTTCGTTTTTAATAAATTTTATTCATTGAAAAATAAACACAACTAGGTAAAACAATTATTATCTTATCACCGTTGAATCACAAAATATAAAATAGTGATTGTAATTTTCTAATTTTTGCACATATAATTAATTTTTTTTACTATTACAATACGATTAATATTTATATAATAACAATTATATTGTTATTCATGTAACGATGAATACAAATATTTAACAATTATTTAATCTTTTAAAAATTAAACAAAGACTATTTTTTAAATTATTTCTTTAAAAATTATAAAATCTTCGTGAATTTAAACATTTTTCGAGAAAAAAAACGGAGGTTTAATCACATGGAAAACTTTTTGAACAAAATGAAAACTAATTAGAACCTCAACAAAATCTATCTAGTAACTAAAAAAATATGACTTTTAATTTAAAAATCATAGTTATTTTTCTGGTAAACTTTGCCAAAAAACTTTATGCTCATCAAGCATCAGAGGACAAATATTTTTTAAAATCGCATCTTTCTTTGTTTTACTTATTCCATTTTTCTTTTCACATGGAATCGGACCCGGAATACCTTTTTTGGCAGCTTTAACTTTTAAATAATTATTTAATAATTTAAATTCTCCGTTGTAATCAGTCTTATATTTTAAATCAGTCGTTCCTCTGTTAACTTCTATTTGTACGATATTTGTTAAATATACTTTCTCAGTCTTATCATGATTAAAATTTCTATTTTTTAGAGAAGTATGATCAACGAAGTAATAAAAGTCACAAATATCCATAACTTTTACGTTGACTTTATTTCTTGCTCCTTCAACAGCCGAAACGAATCCAGGAAAATCATAAATTTTACCTTTTTTCTTCATTGCTAGTTCAATTTGATGGTGAAATGAGTCTGCTGACATAAATGTATGTCCTGGTTCAAAGTAATTAACTTCAATTACCTTAGCTTTTATCAAAGGAGAATTTATAATATACGGCAGATAGGAGAAAAAAGCCCAATTTTTATTCTGAGCACAGCAATTATCTAACCATAAGATTATTTTTTCATAATCTTTATGTTTAAGAAAAAATTGGTGATAAGTGAAAGTTATCTCTTCTTTACTACGCTCTCGTATTCCTTCGTGCCATATTACAGCGAAAGGTGCAACATTAACTTGATTCTTACCGGCAGGAACGAAAGTTTCATTAAATGTTGTAAGTCTGTTTGTAAATATAGCTGACTTAAAACATTCAAGACGGGGTAACATAATTATTTTCTGTAAATCAGCAGACATACAAAGTGTTTTATTATTGTACGACATTTTGGCACAGTCTTGATAGTATTTTCTTGCTTGTTTACTTTTTTCATCATGTATTATCCACTTCTTACACTCGTCACACGTGTTATCAAGTTCTTTTGAGTGATCGGTTAAATGAATTTTGTGAACTTCACAAATCTCACATTCCTCGTGCCCCAATTTAGTGAAGTGAATATTTTCTTCAGATAAAATCTTTCTATATGTCTCATATGAAATATTAAAGTCTGGAAATTCTTCTTTAAAAAAATTGTGCATCAAGGTAATCGTCAAATCATTAGGTAAATATCTCACAGATTTACCGCGTCCATCTGGAGCAGGTTGCAACTGGATGTTATCTTTTAAAGGTAAATCAGTGTGGAGTACATTGAAAATAACTTTGTCATTTTTTGGATGAAAACCAAGAGTTGTAAGAAAAAATGTTTTACATACTAATTCACTTTTTCCTTCTACCGAAAACTTATATATAAATGATAAGTTTCTAGAAGAATCTTCGGATTTTTTATTTACTTCTTTTCTTACGCAAGTATTTAGGATAAATGACTTTTGTTCTATCCAACTTAATGACCAAAATTGTTTGTGTATAGCTTCTCGACAAGTTTGAGAGAATTTTGAGGTACATTTTTTTAAACAAGAATCAGGACAAGGGTCTCTAAGATAATGTTTTTCAATTTTTCTCTTTTTAGCCAAATCTTCTCTTGTTTCATTTTGCTTACGTTTACGTCTTGGGTTATCAGTATTTGTTTCTATGTCATCAGTATCTGTTTCCATTGTTTCGTTATTATTTGTGTGAACTTGAACGTTGTCATCATTTTTAGCACTGTCGTTGGTAATTTCTGATGAATCTGATGACGTCTCTGTTATAATGTCTTCATGTGCCACAGCTTCTGGAACTTCACTCATTAAGCAATCATCGATCTCAATAAACACATCATCAAGATCATTGGAAACTTGAACTTCCCCGTCAAAAATCATTGAATGCTCTTGCGAGTCTTCTAAACATAACGAGGGTAAAATTTGATCTTCTGTAAATGCCTCAAAAGTTTTCCAGCTAATGGTTCGAGTACAACTTCCTACTTTTTCACTCACATTGGATTCTGGTTCAGGAGAATCTACTTCCATTATAGGAAACTTATATGATACTTATCAATTTGTAAAAAAATGTTTTAATTATTATTGGTGTTATTATTATTAAAAAACTATTATCGATAGTATTATTATTATTTTTATTATTATTGGTATAATGGTTATATTTTATTTTAGCCTAGATACGAAACTTTATTTGAATCTTATAGACAACTGAGTAAAAAAAAAGTAGGGTTAGAAATTTGTAAACATAAAAAAACACCTTGAAACTTACAATACTTTGCGAATTACAACATGTCATAATACTATTAGAATTGTAAAATAAGATTTTTTTAACAAAATTACACTTACTTTCAAAATTATCAACGAGAAAACCCGGAACAAAACTGCACACCGCTCACAACAATATTTGACATTCAAATGTCGATAATTCAACAGAAAAAAGCAGTAAAATGACGATTACTGCTTTTTTTCTTGGTAACTACAGATCATAATATAATCACATGACACTTAATAAAGCGTAAAAAAGCAGTAATAATCTCTCTCAGAAGATAAAAGCAGTATAGTTTGAATTTTACTGCTTTCTTACTTTGAGAAATAGATTTACTGCTTTTATACTCAGGAAATATAATTAATTCAAAATATTTGCCACATTTAAAAAACTACTTTCTTATGGAAATAACGTTATTAATGTAATATTTTATACTGAATAAACGTTAAATCATTAGAAAAACATATTGGCACTGAAATTTCAAAAAAGCAGTAAGTGAACATTACTGCCTTTTCCCTAAGTACGGCAGTATACGAGTTGCATAACAACCAATTGGTTGCTATGATAAAAATAATTGTCACTGTTGACGTTTTTAATTTTAAAATTAAAATGTTAAAAAATATGCGTTTTGGTCCAAAAAATCATACAGAAATTGAATCAGCAGTTAAAAATATTCGTGAAATAGTCTTGCCGAATACCACTCGTGATAAAATTTTCCCTGAAAAAATTTTTGATTTTTATTTACTCAAGATTTTTCCTTGGAAATTTCGCTCGTGGCATTAACTTCAAACCACTCGCCTAGCGGCTCGTGGTCTTAAAAATTAATGCCACTTGCGAAATTTCCAAGAAAAAAACATTCGTATAAAAATCAAAAATTTTATCGGTAAAATTTTACCACTAGTGGTATTACCTATATACGAAAAAGTATAGTATGCACCTCGTTCATAAACTTTTCTATACACTCATTAATTTAAGCACTTGCTCGCAAGTTCGCTCATGTCTAAATTCAGTTTTCACTGTGATCAAATAATTAATTAAAAAATATAATTAACCAAAAAATTTCAAAGAACATTCATAATTATTTACGCATGGCGAGTCGTTTTTATCGAAACTTGGATTTTAACACCTTGGTGCTACATTTCCTAGAAGGCAAATTAGATTTCGTTACAAAAGAACCAAAATATTCGTAATTTCTTAACGTTTTAATGCTTCTCGCCATAAAAAAACCGTAAACAATCTTCGAAAAATATTTGTTGAAATAAGAGAAAAACAATTTTTTGTTGATGAGTACTAAAATAGCGACCAAATTGACCTCTAAGTTTACAACCATTTTAAGAGCCGTTTTGCAATTTAATTGACGGTTACTTTGTTGAGGACTTCTTCTTTATTTATTATAGGTACCACCGTGATTAATTATGGGTTTATGGTAACACCTTTATGTCTTAATTAAATATGACCTTTGCTATGAATCGTAAATACCAAATCGTTTTTGATACGAAAACGGAATAGAACCTTGAGGAAACCCTTGCATCAATTAAAATACTTAATACCCAATTACACTAATCAAACATTTAATTGGTCATCAAAAACATCTAATATGACAATTAAAAGCAAACATGTTCGAAAAATTAAACGCTGATGAGGTAAGAAACGATTTCTAATGCCTCCAAAATTAAAATAATTTCCTCCGTCAATCAAGCTATGTAGGTAATTATTCCGAAATTTATAACTGTACCTGATAGGTGTGGACCTCGTAGCTCGGCCATAAATACAACCTGCGCGGCGATTGGTCGGCGGCCGACTCCTCCCCCTTAAACAAACGAGGGAGCGCAAGTTATCTCCATTATCTTTTATAACCACCAGAGTCTCCGTTCGGTCAGGATCTCGGGATCAGTGCTCAGTTAAAAGTGCAAAGTGTCGTTTATCAGTGTCGAAAACTATGTCCATAGCCTCATACTACGGCTCGGGAATGTACCGCCACCAGCAGCCGGTGGCCCCGAACGGGCACTTCCAGCAAAACGTGCCCATATCGTGGTACTCCGGCTACCACCAGGCCCCGCAGATGACCCCGACGAGCCAGTACACGCCCTGCCTGGAGGAGCAGCAGATTTGGCATCACCATGGCGCTCCTCCGCACGGCGTCTTCCCGCACGATTACCAGGATTACGTGCCCAACTCGGGTATCCCGCACGGAGGCGCTCTGGAGCCCGAAAGTCAGCTGCCGTCGCCGCCGATCACCGTTTCGGGAAGTGAAATGTCCTCGCCAGGTGCTGGTGGAAACATATCGCCGCAAAATCACCAACAAATGACCAGGCCAGCGCAAGCCAGGAGCCCGTACGAATGGATTAAGAAGAACAACTACCAGTCACAACCTAACCCTGGTAAGTTCAAAAGATTGCTCCCGTCGGAAGTTTTTTGCCTCCATTAATAAAACGTTTCTTAAACTATTCAATACTAACATCTGGACTCCTGGGTTTGCCTATACAAACATTATTTCCATCGGCACCTTGGATCTTTAATTAGTATCAAATAAACAATGCATATTTGCATCTTAAACCTTCTTAATGTGAAAATTGAATTGACAAACAACGGCTGTGTTGTCCTTCCAAACATGAAATGTGGTGAACAAAATTCTTTTCTTGTATATTTAGATCTTTAAAACGCATAAATTTTTTATTGTTTCGACCTTTACTTGATGAAACTCCATGTCACTAATGTGTAATGTATGAGTAAATAAAAACAAACCCGGTTTTTTGAGTAAAATTTAATTTGACAATTGTTTCACTAACACAGTAGCTCCTTCTCTTCTCAGTAGCTATTTTAGTACTCATCAACAAAAAATTGTTTATTTTCAACAAATATTTTTTAAGATTGTTTACGTTTTTTTATGGCGAGAAGTTTTAAAACGTTAAGAATATTTTGGTATTTTGTAACAATTTGCCTTCTATAGGAAATGTAGCACCAAGGTGTTAAAATTGAAGTTTCGATAAAAACAACTCGTCATGCATAAATAATGTTTTAAAATATTTTTGGTTAATTATCATTTTTTAATTATTTAATACACGTGAATAAATAAATGTTTTTTCAATTAATCACAGTGAAAATCAATAAAATAAGATACGGTCAAAAGAAAAGGTCTAAATGGCTTAAATCACACAATCGAGGCGGTCAATTGATCAAAAAATACATTTTTAAAAAGTTTTTATTTTGGGAAATTTTTAAAACACAAAAAAGAATTTTTAAATTTATATATTTTTCTACTCCCACCTTTAAAACGCCCTTTATCGTACATGTTTCCATGACACTAAGTGACCTAGACTAAGTTAGCAACAGGATTTTAGTCACGGGCTAAAGTTAGTTGACAGTTGTCAAATGTCATACAATCGTTAAAGTGCCTTTCTTGTAAAATAATACTAAATGTGAAAATTATTTTATTATCTCAATACAAGAGTATTAAATAGTTTCTCAACGCCAATATTTAAAAAATTTATATGAACATTGTACTGACCTTTTAATTTCGCCGGCAGTAAACTATAACTTAAATTCGGGCTCGGACTCCACTGTAAAGTGCTCATAAAACATTTTCTTTACTTTCTCTGTGAAAAACTGTCAATTTTCAAGAAATACAAATCGATTTATAACCTTTATAATTTGTGTTTATAAAATAAAAAAATTGACATTTGACGGTGACACACAGATTCCCCTATTGTTTCACAGATGGCGCTCTATAAAAACTTTTGATTTAAATCATTTTAAGATAATAATAAGTATTTGTCGTAGAAAAAGTATAGTATGCACCTCGTTTATAAGTTTCTATATCGATTGTTAGTCTATTTTTAAGCTCAAAACTGTGTTGGCGAAACAATTGTCAAATTAAATTAAAATAAATTCGTGAAACTCAAAAACAGTCTTTGTTTTTTATCTAGTTATACATTAGCATACATTTTTATCAAAATTGTGAAAAAATAAATACATTTGGTAACATTCTTCTTCTTAACTTTATAGACTTAAAACAAATATAATAATTTATTAAATAACTAGTTTATTACCCTTTTACAACTACCCGCTATAAAACAGTACATAAATCAAAAAATTAATAATTGTTTTTTTGTTATAGAATTAGATTGTCTTGATATCGATTCCGAATATAACACAACCACTGGTATGATTCAATTTTTCTAACTAAGCATGTTTTTGATTATTTTTGGGCATGGTTTTGTGCATGATTGATTTTATTTTTGCTTACATTATTCCATCAGAATTCCCCAAATTTTTTGGAGCGGTGCTCATCAAAGATCCGTTTATTGGGGTTCCGTCGGTAATTTTATTGGACGGGGCAGTTATTGCTTTTATTGGGGGTTAATAAAATTCGACCTGGTATTTTTTCAGAATAAACAAGCTTAAAAGGGTAGTGTCTGGTCAAAATATCTTACTATGGATAGTTTTGCATCCTAAACATTTTTATGATTTTAATCTAATTTTGTCACCCCACCGCAGTTAATAGAGACATGAAATATGCCTCTATCAAAAAGCGTAACAGTTGCACAGTCAATTTATTACATCATTCGACAATGGCAATTTTAGTTTAACGCGGACCTTTGGCGCCAGCCTTGATAATTACTAGGGGTCGTGGAATCGGCCCCCGAACGCGGGTGCTATGCGTCCCCAGGGACCAATCAACGCTGTCTGTCGCTTACGCGCTCTTGCGGTTTTGTTGCATGCTCATTTTACAGAGGATTTATCTAATGCTCGGCGGGGTCGTTACCAATTACAAACCTATTTGTTGCGTTCGTTTCTATATCTATTCGGTCACCATGCAGAGATTTTGGTTATTAGTTTTCAGTTTAGCTGGGATTGTGTTTTCCTTGCCCACTTTATAACAAGGGGCAATAAATATTGCCATTGCAATACATTTTTTTACAATCGTTTTAATAACATTTATTTAATATTTTTTTAATTTAAAATTTTATTGGTTTAATATTTTCTTAACTAAAAATTTTAGTTTTACATTTATTTTTTTGCATTATGTATATTAATTTATTTATTTAATACCTTTATATACATATTTTCCAATAGGCTAACCAAATAGCTTGTCTAGGCATTAATATATTGATGTTTAAAGTTCAGCTAATACTTGCTACTCTTTCACTAAACATTTTGTATATTTATTATATTAATAATTTCCATTTTCTTTTATTTATTCCGTTTTAAATTTTCACATCCTTATCATCTTTTCAAAAAACTCCTTCTTTAATTTGCTAAGTCCTAATACATTTATAAATTTAAAATATTTTTAACTATCACATATTGAGACAAAATTCACTTCTGTATTAAACAATATTATTTCCAATCAATTTTGACAAACATTTTTCATCATTTTTTTAATAAAAATAATTTTTTAACTATGATTTATTTGGGTAGAATTTTGTAAAACATAAATACATTTTTTATAAAATTATTTAGATTAAATTGGTTTTTAGTAGGTATTTAAAAATAGCGTCGTGACATTTAAAATAAAAACACATATAAAACATTTTTTACCAATATAGTTTAAAAAGTTAATTTTTTTTACTCTCAAAACAATTGATAATCAAAAAATATTTTAAACATTAAATGTAAAAGTTTAAGTTTAAAATATTGGTTTTTAAAAATTTAATATTTTAATTTACAAAATTATTGGTTTAAATTTCTTAAGCGTCATTTAAATAATTAATACAAAAAATCTGAAATTACATTTACATGTAATGTAATGTTTGGATTAAAAATGTATTGACTATCATTTAAATTACCCTTGAGAAATTTAAACGAAAACTTTTATTTTTCACAATTTAAAATGATAAAGTGTAAACGCTGCTTTAGCTGACTGTCCGTTTCACCGACTAGTAAAAAATAACTAATTATAAGTCATATTTGACTAATTGTCAAAATCAGTCACTAATAATTAGTCAAATTGTACTGAATGAAATAGTCAAATTAGTAGATTTAAATTTAAAAAAAGTTTTGACCCAACCGGGGATTGAACTCAGATTTGTCACTTGTCAAGCTGTTGTCATAACCAATGTGGCTATTATTATAAAAATCAATTTTATTTGTAAATAAATATTGTTCATAATATTTTAAAGTTGAATATATTATTTGTGTTGCTGTTTTGAGCTAAACTTTTAGCATATTTATTTGTTTTTATGGGTCATTTAACCATGGCGCCTATATGCATTTAATTCAAATAATACTTTGTTGTTGGCCGCAAACGATTAAAGAAATTTGTTACTTTTAACTTTCAGAAATAGCCAAAAATTATGACTAATCGTAAAAACTATTAACTATAGTAAAAAATAACTATTAAAAAGTGAAAACGACTATTTTATTGGTAAAAAATACTGATATTCAAATAGTAGAATGTAAAGTCATAAATTTTGTGTTAAAAATGTATCAATTTAAAATTTTTAGGTATAAAAAGTTTTGGTTTGAATTTAAAAATTTATCGAATATCATTTAAATGATTCTTTTCAAATTTAAACCGAAAATTTTGTAGAATAAAATATTTGAACTATAATTTTAAAAATCAATATTTTTTTCTTATTTAAATGCAGCATAACTCCTTTTTCCACTTAGCTCCTCAATTATATATTTATATTTATATACATATAATACGTGTATAATCTAAAAACAACTCAGTCTTCTCTGGAATATTTCATTGTTAACCTTTAAACAAATTATGACACATTTTCTGTAACATTGCCTCACTCTCCACAAATATTAAAAAGGTAAACTTCATACTGTAACCTTAAATAGAACGTGATAAAACATTGAACGACAAACAATGAAAAATTTGCCCAAATAAAACAAACACATGACACAAATTAAAATGTAACTCAATAATTCACTGGAGTGACATATCTTGCACATTAGTGACGCCCTATTGCCTTCTGTTTGGACAAGCTTGTCACTTAGGCTATTATGGAAATAACTTATGTTATGCTACCTGCTGAGTTCGACAATGATTTAGGCACGTTTATCTAGTTCAACGTGCATAATCCATTTTAGCTTTCGATCGAAACAAATTCGTGTTATTGTGTTGTTATTTAGGGTCTAAAACCTGGCTATAACGATTAAATCTGGGCAGTGTCTGCGCAATAGGTTTTGGCGTCATAAAGAGCCGAAGCTACCGCTTTATGGCCATCGCAGTTGGCCACCTTCACCTCCATTTAGCGTTTACAGCAACCGCGAGGCCGTATTATCCCATTTTATTGAATAAATCAGGAGAAAACGTCGTCGACGTGGAAATTAATGAAGGAATGTTTACTTCCTCCCTAAATTCGAGATAGCAAAGTCCTAAATCAAGATTGCTATCAGGATGGGATGTTGGTACTAGTAACGCCAAGGCAAACACAGACTACAAGACAGAGTAGGTCTTGTTTTACATTGTTGTCAGGTGTTATGAGATTTTATCTTTCGGTAAAAACGCCGCCGCCTCTAATGTTTCCGAACATTAATCCGCTAGGATCAACGCTATCGTAGCCCCTTATCTAGACGCGCTTATCCAGGCGTTGTTTACATGCCGAGTGTATTAAATAATTATTAATACATTTTTGCGATTGATAGTTTTTTTTTCGATCAAAGGTGCCGAAGCAATTTTATCTATAACAACAATGCTTTGTTTTAAAAATCTTGCTTTTATTGTTTATGGTATCTTCAGAATGTACAACAACTCTTTTCTTGTTACAGGCAAAACTAGGACAAAAGACAAGTACCGCGTGGTATACACCGATCACCAGCGCATCGAGCTAGAAAAAGAATTCACCTTCAACAACAAATACATCACAATCAGGAGGAAATCGGAGTTGGCGGCCAATTTGGGTCTGTCGGAAAGGCAAATCAAAATCTGGTTCCAGAACAGGCGGGCGAAAGAGAGGAAGCAAAACAAGAAGAGGACGGAAGAGAAGCACCAAATCGACATTTCCCAGAACGTGTCGGCGCCCTATCAACCGAACATGATCAGTCAGCATCCCCAGGTTCAGCACCAGCTGGAGATGACGACTGCTCTGCCCAACATGATGTCCAATCCTTCTTTGGTGATGCAGAAGTTTATGGAGAGTCAGAACATGAAACTGGAGCCTTCTGAAAGAGACCAGATGGGAGGTTAGAAGTTGAGGAGATCAGCCCAAGATCTGAGCCGTCCTTGAATTATGTGCAATCCTTAATTAAAAATTTTTTTCTCGTGCAATCATATTCTCCAAGAGAATGACTAGTTTTAGTTGAATATTTATATATTTGGACACTGCTACTGCGTGGTTGAGTGACGTTAGTGATAATAAGAAACTGCAGAAATTTCGCGATATGATGAGGGTGTTGTTGATGACATTCACCAGGTTTTTTCACCAATCAATTTGGTTGTTTTGTTTATATAAGTGATAACAAATGACGTTGGTAGTTTTACGCCTTATGTATTAAATTATTTGTGTATAAAAGTTTTAATGTATCTATGTAGTTCCTTTTAAATAAATTTTATCGTTTTATATACATTGTTTTTTATTCCACTTTTGATAAATTTTCATTGGTTGTATCTAAATTTTATTAATTTTATGAACAGTAAAAAACTATTTTGATTTGGTAATAGAAGAATTCTTCTGGTCAACATTTATTATTTTAACTTTTTATCATTAACACAACCTTAAGGTTTCGGTATTTATTTCTAAATTCCATTAATGCTTTTGATAATAAAAATTAAAAAATTGAAATTTCCAATGTATCAAAAGAAATCATAAAAAAATCGACCTTCAAAGACAAATACATCACAATCAGGAGGAAATCGGAGTTGGCGGCCAATTTGGGTCTGTCGGAAAGGCAAATCAAAATCTGGTTCCAGAACAGAAGGGCGAAAGAAAGGAAGCAAAACAAGAAGAGGACGGAAGAAAAGCACCAAATCGACATTTCCCAGAACGTGTCTGCGCCCTATCAACCGAACATGATCAGTCAGCATCCCCAGGTGCAGCACCAGCTGGAGATGACGACTGCTCTGCCCAACATGATGTCCAATCCCTCTTTGGTGATGCAGAAGTTTATGGAGAGTCAGAACATGAAACTGGAGCCTTCTGAAAGAGACCAGATGGGAGGTTAGAAGTCGAGGAGATCCGCCCAAGATCTGAGCCGTCCTTGAATTATGTGCAATCCTTAATTAAAAATTTTTTCTCGTGCAATCATATTCTCCAAGAGAATTACTAGTTTTAGTTGAATATTTATATATCTGGACACTGCTACTGCGTGGTTGAGTGACGTTAGTGATAATAAGAAACTGCGGAAATTTCGCGATATGATGATGGTGTTGTTGATGACATTCACCAGGTTTTTTTACCAATCAATTTGGTTGTTTTGTTTATATAAGTGATAACAAATGACGTTGGTAGTTTTACGCCTTATGTATTAAATTATTTGTGTATAAAAGTTTTAATGTATCTATGTAGTTCCTTTTAAATAAATTTTATCGTTTTATATACATTGTTTTTTATTCCACTTTTCATAAATTTTCATTGGGTGTATCTAAATTTAATTAATTTCATGAACAGTAAAAAACTATTTTGATTTGGTAATAGAAGAATTCTTCTGGTCAACATTTATTATTTCAACTTTTTATCATTAACACAACCTTAAGGTTTTGGTATTTATTTCTAAATTCCATAAATGCTTTTGATAATAAAAACTAAAAAATATTGAAAATCCCAATCTATCAAAGAATATCATAAAAAAAATCACCTTCAACGACAAATACATCACAATTAGGAGAAAATCGAAGTTTGCGGCCAATTTGGGTCTGTCGGAAAGGCAAATCAAAATCTGGTTCCAGAAAGAGAGGAAGCAAAACAAGAAGAGGACGGAAGAGAAGCACAAAATTGACATTTCCCAGAACGTGTCGGCGCCCTATCAACCGAACATGATCAGTCAGCATCCCCAGGTGCAGCACCAGCTGGAGATGACGACTGCTCTGCCCAACATGATGTCCAATCCCTCTTTGGTGATGCAGAAGTTTATGGAGAGTCAGAACATGAAACTGGAGCCTTCTGAAAGAGACCAGATGGGAGGTTAGAAGTTGAGGAGATCAGCCCAAGATCTGAGCCGTCCTTGAATTATGTGCAATCCTTAATTAAAAATTTTTTTCTCGTGCAATCATATTCTCCAAGAGAATTACTAGTTTTAGTTGGATATTTATATATTTGGACACTGCTACTGCGTGGTTGAGTGACGTTAGTGATAATAAGAAACTGCAGAAATTTCGCGATATGATGAGGGCGTTGTTGATGACATTTACCAGGTTTTTTCACCAATCAATTTGGTTGTTTTGTTTATATAAGTGATAACAAATGACGTTGGTAGTTTTACGCCTTATGTATTAAATTATTTGTGTATAAAAGTTTTAATGTATCTATGTAGTTCCTTTTAAATAAATTTTATCGTTTTATATACATTGTGTTTTATTCCACTTTTTATAAATTTTCATTGGGTGTATCTAAGTTTGATTAATTTCATGAACAGTGAAAAACTATTTTGATTTGGTAATAGAAGAATTCTTCTGTTCAACATTTATTATTTCAACTTTTTATCATTAAGACAACCTTAAGGTTTTGGTATTTATTTCTAAATTCCATAAATGCTTTTGATAATAAAAACTAAAAAATATTGAAAATCCCAATCTATCAAAGAATATCATAAAAAAAATCACCTTCAACGACAAATACATCACAATTAGGAGAAAATCGAAGTTTGCGGCCAATTTGGGTCTGTCGGAAAGGCAAATCAAAATCTGGTTCCAGAACAGGAGGGCGAAAGAGAGGAAGCAAAACAAGAAGAGGACGGAAGAGAAGCACCAAATCGACATTTCCCAGAACGTGTCTGCGCCCTATCAACCGAACATGATCAGTCAGCATCCCCAGGTGCAGCACCAGCTGGAGATGACGACTGCTCTGCCCAACATGATGTCCAATCCCTCTTTGGTGATGCAGAAGTTTATGGAGAGTCAGAACATGAAACTGGAGCCTTCAGAAAGAGACCAGATGGGAGGTTAGAAGTTGAGGGGATCAGCCCAAGATCTGAGGCGTCCTTGAATTATGTGCAATCCTTAATTAAAAATTTTTTCTCGTGCAATCATATTCTCCAAGAGAATTACTAGTTTTAGTTGGATATTTATATATTTGGACACTGCTACTGCGTGGTTGAGTGACGTTAGTGATAATAAGAAACTGCAGAAATTTCGCGATATGATGAGGGTGTTGTTGATGACATTCACCAGGTTTTTTCACCAATCAATTTGGTTGTTTTGTTTATATAAGTGATAACAAATGACGTTGGTAGTTTTACGCCTTATGTATTAAATTATTTGTGTATAAAAGTTTTAATGTATCCTTGTAGTTCCTTTTAAATAAATTTTATCGTTTTATATACATTGTTTTTTATTCCACTTTTGATAAATTTTCATTGGGTGTATCTAAATTTTATTAATTTCATGAACAGTAAAAAACTATTTTGATTTGGTAATAGAAGAATTCTTAAGGTTTTGGTATTTATTTATATATATCATAAAAAAATTCACCTTCAACAACAAATTCATCACAAATTGACGATTGCAAATAGGGGTAAAAATATGATTATTTTACATCCTGAAACCACCCGACAAACTTAAATAAAAAAAATAAATGGAATCGTCGTAGAAAAGCATGGAAAAAAGGAGGAAAATAAAAGTGAAAATATTCGTTATAACGACGCGATATCGTTGGCAAAGTTGTTCTAAATGTAAAAGAAAAGGCTGTCGAGTTGTCTGTTAAGGGCGCGAGTTGAGCGGTCCCGGGGGCCTCGTGCGGCGGTTAACGGCGGCGGGGGCGGCGAGCGGCGACAGGGCCGTCCCCTGGTTCCACTTGCCGCGAAATATGTGCACGCGAGGCACGGCATTTCACCAGGAGTGTGTCCTGCGTTTTATTAGACACTCACTACTACCAGCTCGTTAACAACGCTATAACAAAACTGTTTTTACCATTTTATTTCTTTGTCCAAAAGATACACATCCTTAAATTAACCTAGAAAACTATAACAATGTATCTAATGATTTTTATGAAAATCGCTTGGATACACTGAAAAAAAATATTCTTGTATTAAATAAATTAATTTGATTCAAAACAATCTTTGTCACATACATAACGAAGAGAATATATTCTTTAAAATAGTAAAGTATTTTCTTAATTCACTTTGATTTACTTCAAGAATCTTTTCTTAATATAAGAAAATTAAATTTCTTTAAATAAAACTTTGATTGTTTAAAAGCAAAAATATATAATTTTTGAAATAAGGCAGCAATATTTACTTAATTTAAGAATAAATTTTCTTAAAACAAAAACATGTGATATTGAAATAAGGCAATAATTTTCTTAAATCGAGATATTTTCTATAACCCAATATTTTTTTTATTTAATAGATACAAGATTTAAAATTTTATTTCATCGATTACAAAATAATATTTATTTTAAAACAATGCAAGAAGTATCGTTCAAAATAAAATGTAACTATCTTAATTTTAAGCTACTTTTAGTAATGTTTCAAAAAATCTATCATTTTGTATTTAAAATCAATAAAATTTTAAATAATGATACGTCTATTAACTAAAAATCATTTATTTTAATAATAAAAATATAAATAAATAATAAAAATTTGTCCAAACACTTGAAAGGGGCTGGGGTAATTTAAAAAAACTTGTAATTTTTTAAGGATTCTTGTCTAATCTTAAATATAACTTTATATTTAAAATTTTGCTGTCAAAAACCGACTTTTTTGAAAAACGGGTCCCGTTTTTATAAATACCCGGTTCCGGGTACCCGGTTTCGGGTACCCGGTTTCGGGTACCCGGTTTCGGGTACCCGGTTCCGAGTACCCGGTTCCGGGTTTTCGGTTCCGGGTACCCGGTTCCGGGTATTCGGTTCTGGGTAATTGATTTCGGGTACCCGGTTCCGAGTAATTAATTCCGGGTACTCGGTTCCGAGTACCCGGGTATAATTTTTAAAAAGGTTAAATTTAATACACAAACTTTTGTAAACACAAGTTTTTTATTACAATTTGCAGTACGAGAACCCAATAAATAGGTACTAAAAGATTTAAAATAAATATGTAATGATGTGATGTAATTCATATATTTAGGACTAAATTTGAAAATTGCAAAACTAAGATACTACTAACTATAATACTACAAACTACAACACTACTAACTACAACACTACCACATAAGGAACATAGAACAAACTAATTAAGCTAAGGAAGGTTTATAACACTATACTATAGTGACTATAGTGTTGGTTTTGTTGTATTATTTTATATTACTTTGTATACAAACACTTGTTATAACAAAATACTTAAAAAACTATGTGGTAATACTTCTTATTTCAAAAACCAGCGATAATAATTATAAACAAGTTTTTAAAATTTAAAAAGGCCAACTTTGAAAATTATTGTTTGTAGATTGTGATGGTTAGTACATTTAATGTAATACATAGTAGCACGCCCTTTCTTTAAAATAAAGTTAATTTAAATTAGCTAAAAACTATAAAATATAATTACATTATCACAAAAGGGCATATCTCGAGATACGTCCTTATGTGATAATGGAGACAATATCTATGATCATATAAATTTTTTATTTTTATGGTATAACCAAGGATTAATCTTTGGTATAACAGTTATACTATAACTTAGGTAAAAGTTCTTTATTTTATTTCAATAAATAATATTTATTTTTGTTAAAAATGTTATAACTGAAAAAATCTTTATTATGTTGTTTATGCATTATACTTAAAAAATACATTTAATTTATATTTTGTTTTAATAATGTGTTTTTAATAAAAAAAATTATCAAGATAAAGAAAATAAAAAATCAGAAATTTGTTTTTATGAGTAAAATAAAATAGTTTTTAAAGTTCTCGTAATAAATAAAAGACGTTATTTTAAATAACAGCAATTTGTGCCCGAACTTGGGCACGACACTTTTTGTTTCCAAATTGTTTCGACACAAATCGGAAAACTTATGTCTAAATGGAAACTGTGTCCATTCTTCAAATTTGTGGTTGCTTTGGGTCGACACCTTGTGTCCAAAAAAAGTATGGGTCTAAGTAGCATTATTTCAGAAATATGTGCCCAAGTTGCGTCGCTTTTGTGCCCTCTTGGAAACAGTAACACAATTTAGACTCATTAGGGTCGACACTTAGTCGACTCAATGTTTCCATATTGTACCTTATCAATCTGTTTCCATTTTATTACCAAATTGAGTCAAGTGGACGCAAAAGTTTCCATTTAGCTGCATTTTAGATTCATGGTGTCTGATTTGTTTCAAAAATGTGTGGGGCGGGCGCATTAGGTTCCAAAGGGACACATTGTGTAATTCGCCATATTTTTTTGTTGAAACAGATTCGACGCTTTAATTTTTTTACATAATTTAACTTTCTGGTAAAATTTAAACTTAAAATTTAAAAAATGCAATGTTTTAAGTTACATAGAAGGCACATACGTCTAGTTTTGATAAAAATATAGGGAAAAAAAATATTTTTAATAAAAAAAAATTATAAATACTTATTATTTGTGAGGCCCTATCAATTTTTAAAAGTATTTTGCTTATAATCACCAATAAAATTTTGTTTGCAATAAAAATGAAGGTAACATATACCAAAAATGTTAGATTTAAGTTATAATATTATATTATATACATAATTATTAATAAGACATCACGCCTTACTTTGCCTCTTTGTTTGTTTCCAATTCGTTTCCAATTAAAAATAGTTAGTGTCCATTTGGGTTTATATTAGGACACAATACAGTACTTTGGCAACAATTCGGAACAAATGGTGACCATTTAGTAACATACAAATTAGAAACTCTTTGGGCATTAATCGGTCACACTACCGGGCACATTGTGGGCAAATTTTAAGAAAAAATCGGGCACATTTTGTGGACAAACTATGGACACTTTTTGGTACAACTTTCATCACCACTTTGGTCTCATTTTCCACACTTAGTGGTCTTAAAGTGGACTATGTGTCTTTAAAATGTGTCGTGTCCAAAATCATGTTTCGACGCTGTGTCGACACATTGCCCAAAATGTGTCATTCTTTGCTGCTTGGGTAGGTTCCGGGTATTCAGTTCCGGGTACCCGGAACCGGGTAACCCGGTTCCGGGTATCCGGTTTCGGGTACCCGGTTTCGGGTATTCGGTTCCGGGTACCCGGTTCCGAGTACCCGGTTCCGGGTATTCGGTTCCGGATACCCGGTTCCGGGTAATACGGTTCCTGAAAAATTCGGTTCTACCCGGTTCCGGGTACCCGGAACCGGGTACCCGGAACCGACTGACAGCACTAATTTAAATACTTATTCAAAATTGAGCCAAACTTACTGAAGGTTCAAAGTATACGTAGTATCGTTTCTAGGTGGTGCAGTAAGCAAAAAAAAATTTAGGTTGGTAAATAAAAAAACAAACGTTGAACAAACACATTTATTTTGTTTTTAACACAAGAAAAATATAAAATGTTTACATTATTATAAATTAACGTAAGGAACTTAATCATTATTATCGACATATTTTTCATTTTTATAATTTGTAATATTTTAGGCATACACTGAAAAAACCTTTCAATACTGCGGGGATATATACGTCCCAAAGAAAATTAAAAAATGTCTCTACTTAATTAAGTGCGTTTAAATAAAACAGGGTCGGGACAATTTAGTATTTCTATGTCTTGACTTGGGATATCAGTAATAAAAACTTAATTTATTTAACGTCATGTGAACAATAACCAGCTGTTTTTCGGCCATTGCACGCTCTAAATTGAAAAAGACCAGTCACATAACCTATTTTGTGCAGTTTTTGTGTAAATTTTGCTTGAATTTTTGTGATACTTTATGTGCATTGTACGTCACAACTCATTCCTCAAAATATACGTTGGGACAAAAATATCCCTGCAGTAATATGACAGGGGATAGTTTTATCCCATCAGTGTTTTTTGATAATAAACATTTTCAAAAATAGTAGAATTTCTTTAGTGTGGGGATAAATATATCCCAGGGCATATTACTGCAGGGATAAATCTGTCCCAGGCCTTTTTTTCAAATACCACCAAAGTTAAAAATCTGTTATTCAGTCAATTAACTATTTTTAACCTAAATATAGTTTTAACACTAATAAAAAAGTTTTAAATTAATTTCCGAAAAGTCGTATTGAAAGGGTTAATGGCGAGTGAATCCGTGCATTTGCCATTTTTGCTTTTGTGGCAAGGGAGACTCCTTAATTTCAATGGTACTGCTTTTGCGCTAAACAAAACTACTGAAATTGGGTCAAATTCATCGTGCATTGTTATGCATTCGAGCCAAATGAGATGCTTTTATGTCAAAT